CAAAAAATTCTAAAAAGTTCATTAAAATGCTTTCTTTGGGGCTGGGGTTGTGGCTCAGTGGTAAACACTTTCTTAACACGTGTGAGGCACTGGGTTCAAACCTCATCACCACATAAAATAAATAAATAAAATAAAGGTATTGTGTCCATCTACAACTTAAAAAATTAAAAAACCCCAAACCTTTCTGTGTCCAACTACATGTCTATGTGAGGCCAATTTTCTTATATACTTCAACCCAAACTATTCAAAAATAGACTGAATGCAGAAGCAAATATGAAGACCTAGCTGTCCTATTCCAGAAATGAGAGATTTTCAGAATTACAGGACAAGGCCCTTCTCCCCTACTCCTGCCCCCCACTTCCTTTTCACCCTCTCTTCCTCCATCTTCTTTACTGAGGGTTAAATCCCGAAGTGTTCTACCATTTAGCTAGTTTCCTAGTCCTTTGTATTTATTTATTTTTACTTCTGAGATAGGATCTCACTAATTTGTTGAGACTGGCCTTGATCTTGCAATCCTCCTGCCTCATCCTCACAAAGAGGACTACAGGAGTGCCGCTGTACCCTGCAAGAAAATGCTCTTCTAAACTTTAAATGTTTTTTTTTTCTTAAAAATGTTATTTATGTTAACGTGTTTTAGACTAATCATTATTTTTTTTAAATGAACCAGTTAATAAATACTTTTAAAGTCCCAATTTTAATTTCTAATATGGAAAATACTGGTAGACTCAATTCGAAGTTTTTTGGGGGTTGTTGGTAATTTTTATAAGTATGAAGTAATCCTAAGTCTAAAACATTTGAGAACTGCTGCTCTTGGGGATAAGAGACACTGGAATGTGGAATGGTCACTAAATTGCCCACAATGTTAAAATTATTTCTGCCTCACACTTCACCTTCTAGCTCTCTCTCACATTCTTTCAGCAAAAATTTTGGAATTGTCTAATTAAATATGTGGTATGTGTACCCACCAATTTTTTTTTTTTTTTTTTGTCTCTGCCAAAGTTGAAGAAGTAAAATCCTGTTCTCTTTCTGCTGTACTACACTGAAAAAAAAAAAAATAAGACAATCTCCATTTTTGCCATGGGGGTCATAAATAGCTTTTAAACTATTTAGGCTTTACTGTCCCAGATGATGATAAATTTCTTAAAAATCAATTATTTAAAAGTATAGGTTAACTAGTAACTCCAAGAAAAGTTTGTTGTTGTTGTTGTTTTTGTTTTATTAGATTACACAGATCATTCAGATGTAGTCCTAGTCAAGTTCTGGATAATTTAATAAGCTACTCTGAAATAAATACTATGTGTGTGGGATGGGAATGTGTACCTCAGGTCAGTGGTAGGACACTTGCCTAGCATGTGGCATGGTTTTGATCTCCAGCAAAATACACACACACACACACACACACAACACACACACAAATAAATAAAAAGTAAGTAAAGACCATCTATGTATGTACATAATAAATTTGTGGGTATTTTGCTGCTCGGAAATCAGAAAGGATTGAGTTCATTAAATTGGGAAATCTTAGCAGATTAAAGTGGTTATATAACAACTAGGCCCGACATTTGGTTTAAGCTTTGTATTTTTTTATTCAGGGACAGTTGTAAAGAACAGTAATAAAAGAATCTTCCATTTCCTCTGTATTCCTTATCAAAATGATTTAACATGACCTGAAGTGAAAAATGCTTTATTTGTGTATTTTACTCCCCAGGAGACTGGGTAGCCCTGACGCATGTATGACACTTGAGGAAAAGGAGATCTTTCACTGCTGTTTTGAAACTGGGTTTTTGGACTGAAATAATGAGGGATTTAGTTCATGGAGAGAGGAAGGAAGGGGTGTGACATCACTTTGGTTTGTACCTTTATGATCCACTCTGTTGGGAGGGTCACTGTTGAATTCCTCTAATTCCCCAGTTGGCTCTGTGGAGAATTCATAAATGCTTTCTACTCATTTACTCATGAGTTTATATGATCTGGAAACTCATTCTAAGGTGCTAAATACCTTTGTCCAAGAAGGCAGTACAGGAAAGTGTTAGTAAAATCTCTCACCTCTGTAGGAGAAGTGGCATTTTGGAGAATTGTGGTTTATTTAGTTGACATCATATTTTTAGAGGTTTTCCTTTAAAAAAGAAAATTACTAACAACAAAAGAATGTTCACCTTTTATTACCAAAAAGGAAAAAAAAGATGTAAGATTATTCTGTGGTCTCTTTCAAAGTATACTGCTAAATGCTGCCCTCTGGAAAGAGTATTTAGTGAACTGGGTGGCACATAACTATAATTCTAGCAATGAGGAGGCTGAGGCAGGAGAATAGCAAGTTGAAGGCCAGCCTCAGCAACTTAGCAAGACACTGTCTTAACATTAAAAAACTGATGGGGGGGGGGGCGGTTTGCTGAGAATGTACCTCAGTGGTAGAACACCTCTGGGTTAAATCTCTGAAAGCACCAACATAAAAAAATAAAAAATAAATTTTTTAAAAAATTATTTAAAGGAAAATCAACATACCTCATGGTAATGTTGGTGCAACAGGCCTTTAATTTCTGGATACGTTGGGTTTGGATGCTGTTTTTCTGAGTGTTCCTCTTGGATCCAGTGAGTGAAATGAGGCATCCCTGCAGAGTTCAAACAAAATTCAGGACAGGGCTCTGAGCTGATGCTTCTGGTGAACCAGCCAGCTTTGCACTGATACTTTTCCTAAGCCAAAAGATTGTTCGTGCACCTGCAAGTCCATTTGCCTGGCACTCAGTCTGAAGGGGTCTTGCTCCAAGGAAGGAGCTCTGTGGAGAATATAGCAAACATCACTCTGGAGTCTGAAAATCTTCCTTCTTCATTTAACCTATTCTATTGATTCCCCAAAGACTGCAGATTCCAAGATAAATAAAGCAATGCCTCTTTTGATGTAAATTGTAATAAGGTTAATAAGTAAAGATAGCAGACCAAGTACAGTCAAACTTCAGTACTGTCATATGTGAATAGAACCGGTGGCATCAAAATAGGAGCAAGTCATTAGTTCATCCAAAAAGTATTTATTAGATGTTGGATTTTATTTTATAACTTTATTTTGTTTATTTAGTTATTTATGTGGTGCTGGAGATCAACCCAGTACCTCATACTGCAAGACAAGTGCTCTATGACTGAGCCACAACCCTAGCCCAGATGTTAGCTATTTGAGGGTACAACCTCCACTCTTTTTTAAAACAGAAAAGAAATGACCTGTTACCTGTCCCTTCTTATGCCCAATCGTACCGCACTATGGAATCAAAACAAATAAAATAATTTTCTGAAAGCTAAGGAATCTCTAAGATTATACCTGCTCAGAGATTTCCCTGAGAAAATGGTCTGGAAACCCTCAAAAATTGTAGAGTAGATATGCTGTCAGGGAGGGGCTGAGGCTGGGGCACTTACCTGGAATGGGTGAGGGCCTGGGTTTGATCCCTCAGCACCACAAAGCAAAAAAAAAAAAAAAAAAAAATACTGTCAGTTAGGGAAGTGTTATTTTATGTACAGCTGCTGTTGGAGGACCAGTCTTTGGAACAATTCTTTCTAATTCCTGGCCCTCACCTGAGGCCTAAGATTGAATGTAAAATCGGATTGTATTTTAGGGTAAAGCAAACTGAAGTCAACACTATTTTTATTTCTCCCTTTTCCTCCCCCAAGTAACAATAATTACAAAACAAACAAAATACACCCCTTCTGTGAAGGCTGCCACAGTGGCCACAGAAATGGCATAGTCCCCACTGTTAACTACTATTGTGTCAATGGTTTACTACTCCATCAGAAGAAGCTAGCCCATTGGGCATTTGTCCCATCCATATTTGGGCTACTACATCAGAACCAGCAAACCTTGACCATGGGGTCTCTCCAGGGTGTGTTGGAGAGCATATTGAAAATGAGACCATTATGAAAGCAGAAAAGAATAAAGTTTTAAAGTAAGAATTATTTGAAATACTTGAAAATCAAGACTGCTTTTCTCTTGCCATAATTTTGAGCTAAGATATGGGAGTTTAGGAAAACCAATTCTATGTTCTTTTTATGCGTGTGCTTCCTTGTTTACACCTGTGGAGGAAAATTCTACAAAGTGTACCTGAAGTGTGTTTTAAGTGTGTTCATTTTGTTGCCCATTCAGAAAGCACTGGGTTGAGCCCTGGGGCAACAGAAATGACTGGCACTGGGACTATGGGAGCTATCATAAAAGTAGGCCATAAAGGACACTAAATTGTATTATGAGTGGTCCTGTGAGGAAGATTTAAAAGTCAGGATGTATTTTCTGTGGGAAAAAAAATACATTAAATTTAAATTCTCAGGCTACCAACCAAAAGCTGAGTTTTACCTTTGATTTGACTAAAAATATATAACATGGAATTTAAAATATTTTCATATTAGATAAAGGCCAAGCTTATTGGTTGTTGGAGTTCTGTGGTAGAACCAATGTCATCTGCCTCTAGACTTTCAATCCAGCTAATGAAGGAGGTTGGCTATGACTTGCATTTTGTGGAATGGGACAGATTTTATTACAAAGGAAGAAAGAATTCCAGTGAACCACTTCGATTTTGGGACGGTTAAGGGCTGTGTAACATGAGGCAATACTGCCAAGGTAAACTAGGTTTATGGACTATGTATAGAATCTTGCCAAGATGGCATCTCTCCTCTGGCACTTTTTATTGCTCCCTGTGAAATCTTAGGCAAAGGAAAAGGTTTTATGAGTGAGATTTTTGAAGTTTTGAGAGCTAGGTATTTATGCCACAGGAGTATGGTGCAAGATATGAAAGTGATTTTTAGCTGACTTAAGAGAACCCATCAGTTATGTATTTATTAGGATACATGTTGCTCAAAGTGAGATAATGGATGAATTGTATTTTTGTGTTCACATTTGGCTTATTTATGTAGTAGAAATCAGCTTTGGTTGATCTTAGCATTTTAGTGAGTAGCCATGATAACGAAACATTATCTTGGTTAACTGAACTACCGTGGTTATGCTTCTAACTTAGACACTTTCTGTTCAGTCCCAGAAATCCTGGATCGAAGGAGTGTTTGACAAGAGAGAATGCAACAAAATCATACCCAGTTCAAAAGACCCTCACAGGTATACTTTTTAATTAAAGTTTTCTTTTTAAAACAATTTGACTAGCAAGACCGTTTGTAGACATTTAGAAATACCCCTTGTCAGAAGATCTGGTAATATCTATAAAGTTAGCATTAATTAATTTTAATGAGTGTTTGTTTTTTTCCCTTTATAAAAGAACTGCATGATTATTGTAGAAAATCTGCTAAGAAAAGGGACCTTGTCAATTTTGTGCCTCACTTCAGCCCCAGTGCCTATGACAGTCCCTGTCCCAAATGAGGCTCCTTATAAGAGCCTGATCATTGAATTAATGAAGTGTAAAGAAGAAAGAAGTTAAACACAGTGATATCACTGTTCATATTGTAATGGATTTTTTTCTTTCTCTTTTTTGTTTGGTAATGGAGATTGAGCCCATGGGCGCTTAACCACTTTATATTTTTAATGTAAACCCTTATATTTTTAAGTTTGAGACGGAATCTTGCTAAATTGCTAAAGCTGGCCTTGAACTTAAATCCTCCTGTCTCAGCCTCCTGAGCTGCTGGGATTATAGGCATGCCCCAACATGCCCAGCTGTGGTGGATTTTATTCTACTTGCTCTTGTTCCTCTTAATGGGGGAGATAGATGTTATAGGAAAATAATATATCCATTCCATCAAATTTGGATAAATAATTTATAATATTTGGATATTAAATGTTCAAAATATTGTGAATATTCTTCATCCTCAACTGAATTATCTGTGACTATTTTGGACCTATCAGGATACTGTACTTAGATTATATGAACAGGTAATTTCAGTTCTATTTTCCTCCCATAGGTTTTCTGTTTGAACAAAAATTGTCAGTAGAACAGAGTGATTTGAGTTTGACTACTTTGTGTTCTTGACAGCCCTCTGGAAACTCCACTTGCAGAACAAAGTTCAATAAGGCAGCCTGTGAAAGATAGGGGAAGAAATGGATATGGAAAATTCCCCAGGGCAATCAGATCCATGGAATTAAGATTGGCTATCTTTGCCCTTGGGGCAAAAACTAAAAGGAAAATAGAAGAGTCACATTTTAATTAGGGGAGCCACTCTATACTTAGGTTCTTTGAGCCATTGGCCTTAAATTCATTAGAGTGTAGAAATCATAGTTGTGTGCTTAGGAACACGTTGAGGTTCTTGAAATTCTTTTTCTTTGGGGATGACTAAAATAGTGTTCCTTGCCTTTGTTAAACATTGACCAGTTCCACCCTCATCAAATTACCTGCCCTCTATAAGCCCCGTGATTGGAAATTCTCATTTTACTTGTTTACAAAATGTTTATAGATGCCAAGGCAACCTTGTTTTTCTCCTTCGTCTTTTATGATGTCTTGTAATATTATGTGGCTGCAGTGGAAAGCAGACTAAGTTCCAAGTGGGTCATTTTGCTTCTGAAAATAGAAAATCATCTTCATGATCACCTTGAACTTCACAAAAAGTGATCAAATTGCTAAATCAGTTAGACTTGAGAACATCAGTGGGAGTCAAAGGTATAGCTCAGTGGTAGAGCACAAATGTAGGAGGCATGAGGCCCTGGATTCAATCCTCAACATGAAAAAAAAAAAAAAAAAACAATGATCATGATTCCATGAATGATCTAAGACCTGATATGTTTTATGCAGAAGAGAGCTAACTCCATCTTTGTGAGATTATAAAAAGTTACTGGATGGCAAAGGCTTTTTTCTTAGATACTAGTAAGATTATCTAAATTGTAGCTTTTATGTAATTTTCTTCATTATAATGGAAAAAATTGGCAGTATTTCATTATTATAAATTTCAATAAAATTTATCTTTGATTCTTTCTTATTTTTACTTCCTAATGAGAATCAACCTGATAGACTCAGTTATAGCATCTTTTTCCTCTTCCTTCTCAACATGCTATAGAGGTAAAACTTCTAAGCACAGACATTCCCTGAAGGCAAGGACAGGAAGACATGAAAAGCTTGAATATGAGTTTCGGAATTACAGAATGACCCTTATTCTATGAACATTGCCTTTGTTTCTATTATTTTAATTTGAGTTTCCTGTTAAAACTTCTTTACACTGAAAATATGATCTTTGATGACCACAGTGCTAACCCCCAAATCCACAGGTTCTTCTGAATCATAAAAGGAAAGATTAACAAGGATAAAGATCATAATTATGCCAACTGCCTTCCAAATTGTTTTATAAATTTAATAAAATACCTATCAAAATCCTAAAAAGGCTGGATGTGGTGGCTCATGCCTGTGATCTCAGTGACCCAAGAGTCTGAGGCAGAAGGATGGCAAGTTCCAGGCTAGCCCCAGCAACTTTGCAAGACTCTGTCTCAAAATAAAAAGGGTTGAGGATGTATCTCAGTGGTAAAGCATCCCTAGATTTGTTCTCCAGTATCCTTCCCTCTAAAATATTCTAAAAATATATTTTTTTCAGGAAACTTGACAACAATTCAAAATTCATATGAATGTATAAAAGTGTCCAGAAAAGTAAAATAATTTTTAATATTTTGTTTTGGGAACCTAGGGTTGAACTGGGCATTTCACATGCTAAACATGTACTCCAGTCTAGGAAAGTAAGATAACTTTTTAAAAACAAGACTGTAGCATTGAGGGCTTTCCATATCCAGGGTCAAGATACATTGAAAAGCCAGGTGAGGTGGCACCTGTAATCCCAGCAACTTGGGAGGCTGAAGCAGGAGAATCAAGAGTTCAAAGCCAGCCTCAGCAAAAGTGAGGTCTTAAATAACCGACTGAGACTCTGTCTCTAAATAAAATACAAAATTGGGCTGCAGATGTGGCTCAGTGGTTGAGTGCCCCTGAGTTCAACCCTTGGTTACACCCCCTCAAAAAAGATATTGAAAAGCATAATAGTGAAAACATTTCTTCTTGCACATGCAATGATGTATTGGATGCGTGCCTGACAAGTAATGAGCTTGCCAAGCTCAAATAATCATTTTAATTAATTTATAGGGCAGATGTTATTTCCAACTGTGAAAACTGGGACTTAGAGGAATCACTAAATCAATGAGATTTAAGTCTAGCATATTGGTTTCAAACTCCAAAATGTTTTAATAATTATATCATTGTTGTTACAGTATATGTAGTAAATGACATATGGAAAATACATGGTATAGGAATACTCAGCAAATCTTGATTACCAGACTATGGAAAATAATGGGTATTGACTATATAATCATTAGGTATATTTTTAAATACAAAAGTAAACTAATAGATGTTTGGTTTCTTTCATTTAGATGTACTCCAGGCTGCCAAGTTTGCCAGAATTTAATCAGGTAAGATTTGTATAAATAAGCTTCTTTTTAACTTTAAGGCATGTGTTTATGACTCAATAGGATAGTTTCTTGCATCTTGAATGGACTCAGTACAAAGTCTATGCTATTTGCTTTTCCAAGGAAGGTTTTAAAAATGAGATTTTTTTTGATGGTGAGTGACTGTTTGAATGTAATTGATTATTTGAATTACTTGAGACATTTACCTACATAACTGAAGGTCTTTGACAAGAGTTGCTGCCAATTGAAACATGGAAAACATTAAAATTTTATCTTAATATTATCTTGTGCTTGGATAAAATAATATGCATCATGTGCTTGATCCATGGCTTGCAAGTAAGTTTTATGCATACCAAGCTCTATGGGAAAAAACATTTGTACTTATTGAAATTCACAGTGCAATACAAATTTTAACAATGATGTATACTTTAAACTATGTGTTATTAACTGATTTTACCTTCCTTTTTTAAAATATTTTAGGTGATTTTTGGTGACCAATTTTACCTTTCCTTATTCTTCTTTCTTTTTTAATATTTCTGGTAATTTTTATTTTTTTTAAATTTTTGTTTGTTCTTTTTAGTTATATATGACAGTTGAATCTATTTTGATATTTTATACAAACATGGAATGTATCTTATTCCAATTAGGATCCCGGTCTTGTGGATGTACATGATGTTGAGAGTCACTGTTGTGTATTAGCATATGTACATAGGAGAGTTATGTCAAATTCATTCTACTGTTACTTTTTTTTTAGTAGAGAGAAATAAAATTACCTTAATTCTGATTATATCCTTAGGTTTACATTAAGAATTGGATAATGAAAAATAAATTTTTATAAAATAGAGTCCTCAGTTTAGCAAGTCAGATAAAAAGGAAAATAATATGCACAAAATTTTAGAGTGTTTGAGAAACACCTACTAAACTCTATAGCACCAGATAAGCATTGGTTATTGTGGTTGTAATATTATACTTAATGACTGATTGATTTGACTGAATTTGGAAAATACTCTGGCACTTTTTTTTTGTATCCAGGAAGGACTTTGATGTCTTTAGCCACATATGAAGTACTTTCCAGGTGGATTAATATCTGTAATTATGTGTTGATTCCGTCTATCTGCATTGGTTTTAGTTGCTCATAAGAATCTTTGCAAGAGCTACACACAACATCTTAAAATCATACAATATATTCTCTTCTCTCACAATTCTCCCTCACTTTTTTTTTTACCCCCTAGTAGTGGGAATTGAACCTCAATACCTTGCATGTGCCAGGCAAGCACTCTACCGATGACACTGAACTGAGCTACATCACTGGCCTTTTTATTTTATTTTGAGACATGATATCTCTGCCCAGGCTGGATTGAAACTTATGATCCTCCTGAATCAGTCTGCTGGGTTTCTGGGATTATAGGAATGTACCAGCACACCAGGATCTCACAATATACACTCTAGAACATTGGGTCATTAAATTGGGATGTATAAACTCCACAGAATTAAAAAAAATACATTGAGGGATCCTGAAGAGAGACTGGAATTTGTATTTCTGTTTTTAAATCTAAAAAATAATTAAAATTTACTATTATATTTTTCAACATGCTGTAGAGGTAAAACTTCTAAGCACCGACATTCCCTGAAAGCTAGGACAGGAAGACATGAAAAGCCTGAATATGAGTTTCTGAATTAATTACAGAATTTTAGAGTGTTTGAGAAACACCTAGTAAACTCTACAGCACAATTTTCAATTTCACATAGTTCAAAACTAAAGTTTAAGAAGATTTATAGTGAAAAATGTTCATCTTATTCTTGCTCTAGGGTGGAGGCAGAGTTTTTAGTACACACATAGCAAAAATAAATGTGTTAAATTTTTCTTTATTCCTCTGTTTTCCACAGACACTAAGACATAGTAGAGGATACTCCCTGTGTGCTTTGTTGAATGCTTCCATACACCTTAAAATGCTTTCTGTAACAGGATAGAGAGAGCTCTGGATGCCCCATGAATTACATGTTTGATTTTCTATTGATGAATGTTTAGGTTATCTAATTATTTGCAATCTTTTGCAATTGTGAACTGAACAATAATGAATAACCTGGGGCATTTGTAATTTCACTTATGTCTTGACTAATTTATTATGTAGATTAACATTAATACACACTATAATTTATACATAAATATACAGCTATTGGGGTGCATTCTCAAATGATTTTTGGTGTTGATAAAGTGGTCTTTACACATTTTACTGGGTATGTATCATTAAGTTTTGGGGAGTATGTACATCCTAGCTCTTTCTTAATGATTTTGAAGTATAGAGTTCAGTAGTGTTTAGTACATTCCTACTGTTGTGTAATGGATCTCCAGAACTTTTAAAAAATTATTATTATTTTTATTTGTTCTACTTTGTTGTACATGACGGCAGAATGCATTTCAATTCATCATATGCAAATGGAGAGCAACATTTCAGTTCTCTGGTTGTACAAGGTCACACCATCTGTGCAGTCATACATGTACCTAGGGTAATGATGTCCATCTCATTCCACCATCTTTCCTACCCCCATAATTCCTCCCAGCCTTCCCCTTTGCTCAATCCAAAGTTCCTCCGTTGTTCCCATCTGCCCTCTCCCATCATAGATCAGCATTCACTAATCAGAGAAAACATTTGGCCTTTAGTTTTTGGGGGATTGGCTTACTCTGCTTAGCATAATATTCTCCAGCTCCATCCATTTACCTGCAAATGCCATAATCTAATTCTCTTTTAATGCTGAGTAATATCCAGAATTTTTTCATCTTGTAACACTGAAACCCTATCCACTACGTGTCTCTCCATTGCCTTTTTTCGCAGCCACTGTAACCACTATTTTACTTTCAGTCTCTATAAATTTGACTCCTTTAAATATCTCATATAAGTGGAATCACATCACATTTGTCTTTTCTGGCTTATTGAATTACCATAATGTCTTCAAGTTTCACCTATGATTTAGCATATATCAGAATTTCCTTCCTTTTAAAGGTTAAATCATATTCCATTGTATGTATACGCATTTTGTTTATCCATTCATCCAAGATAGATATTTGTGTTATATCCACCTCTTGGCTATTGTGAATAATGGCTCTATGTACATAAATATGCAAGAGATTTTTAACATTTTAGAAAAACATTCCCCAAAATGATACTTATGTCTAATCAAAGGAGAGAACCAAGGAGGGTATTTCTAAATTTAGAAGACAATCCAATGTAATGTATATTAGTCTAATATAAATATTAATGTAAACTTGTAAGGCTTATTAACATATGGCATCTGTATATTACTCTGGGAAAATGTAGAAACATTGCATTGATTTTCTATGCTAAAGTCATTTATTTTCTGGAATGTAGGTGTTGCTGTGGCCGATTGATCCAAGACCATCATGGGATAGATTATGCCTGGACTTGCTCGGCTGTCAAGGGTAATGAAAGTGAACAGTGGTCTGTTGAAAAACATACAATGAAAAGCCCGACAGATACCTTTGGCACTATTAATTTCCAAGATGGAGAACACACCTACCACTCTAAGGTTTGCTAAAAAGATTAATCTTGACTCATACTGTCAGAGGTTTCAGTCCACGGTCACTTGGCCTTGTTGCTTTGGGCCTGTGGTAGCACTGGACATCATGGCAGGAACACATGACAGAAGAGGTCTGTTCACCTCATGGAGGCTAGGAAGCAGAGAGAGAGAGAGATGAGAAGGGCCTGGGGTCCCAACATTCCCCTCAAGGACATGCCCCCAATGAATGACCACTAGGACCCACCTCTGAGAAGGCCTCCCTAATAGTACCTTAGGATGGCAGCCAAACTTTTAACATGTGGGCCTGTGGAGACACATCTTAACCACAACACATAGTATTGACAGGCTAGCCATCCTTCAGGTCCTTTCTCTTGAGCATGTGAATTCCCTGTTGTTTGAATCACAGGCAGTTTTCCCAGGTAAGCCCACTTCAGGAAAGCTGTGCATCAGCTGTACCCTGGAGTGTGACCAGCAGGTGGATGGATTTGAAACAAAAGTTCATCCTCGTGAATACAGTTTTTTTCTTTTCTTTTTTTTTTTTTTTTCAGTCCTGGAGATTGAACTCAGGTGTGCTCTACCACTGAGCTACATCTGCAGCCCTTTTCAATTTTATTTTGAGACAGTCTCTCTCTGCCCAGGCTGGCCTTGAACTTATGATCCTCCTGCCTCAGTCTCCCAGTTTCTGGGATTATAGATGTGTGCGACCATGCCCATCTTTCTAGTATTTTATTTTTTCCATATTTTTTTTGGTGCATTATAGTTGTACTTAATGGTGAGATTCATTGTTACATTTCTGTACATGCACATAATATAGCCATGTAGTTTGGCTAATTTTTGTTATTTTAATATGTCCTACCTTGTAAATTAAATCATGATTATTCTTGGATTCTTTCAATTACATTGGTGATAGCTTTCCTATCCCAACATTCAGAAATTCAAAATTTTAATAATGAAATAAGGGATGGTGTATTATGAATTTCAAAGATGAATAGCTACCATTTGCTGGGTGCAGTGGCACACATCTGTAATCCCAGCAGCCTTGGTGGCTGAGGCAGGAGGATGGATAGTTCGAAGCCAGCCTCAGCAACTTAGCTAGTCCCCAAGCATATCAGTGACACCCTGTCTCAAAATAAAAAATAAACATGGCTCAGCTGTGGCTGGGTTCAATCCCCAGTTCTCCCCCATCTTGTCCCAATTTCTACCATTCTGGAGGATAGTGTGAGATCCCTACCTGCAGGTATGATTTCTACCTGTGGTTCTTCTGGGTTTCTTATTGCTCTAATTTCATTCTATAAATCTGCTTTTTGGACATATACTTGAGGGAGGCAAGCCCATCTCAACATTACAGTATTTGAATGGCTTGTATGTGGCTACATCATCCTGGACAAAGAAGGCCAGTTGCGCCATGTAAATCTTAGGCAAAATACAAAATGATCCGGAAGCTACTTGCTGGTTTGGATTTCCCTCATCTTTTATTTTGCTTGCATTGACTATTCAGAGATGATTGTTCTGTGAAAAGAATTTGTTTTGGAAAAGAAAATGTTTTTAGAAGGACATGCTGAATAAAGGAAATGATTGGAAGGTTAAAAACTTCATAATAAGTTTCTTGTAAGTGCTTCTGAATCTTTTGTTATGTGAATATATGAAGAGGTCCAGTGGATGTAAAGCCACAGCATTTATGAAGTCACATTTCACCTACTTCTCGCAGCTTTCTGTTACCAGGTTTGCTGAGGTGGTGATTTTGGCTAGTTGTTTGAAGTGTTTCTGCCTCCCCTCAGGCCTTCTGGAGGACAGTGGGGGCCAAGCCTCTAGCCAGAGGAAACTTTCCTACAGTGACTTAGAATTCCCAGAAGGAACTTAAAGGGGGTGTGGGATCTTTTAAAAGTAAATATTTCCAATATGTGAGGATGAACTTTAAGAGAGATTGTAGACACTTCCTTGCAGGTTTTGGCCATTTTGATCTCCCTGCTGTGTGCTCATTGTTTCCATGCCTGGTATGTATTTTTCACTGTTTTCTGTTCATGGATATGTGTCTGTCTTCCAGTACATTAGAACTTCTTATGATACCAAACCGGATCATCTATTACATTTAATGTTGAAAGAGTGGAAGATGGAGTTGCCCAAGCTTGTCATCTCTGTCCATGGGGGTCTCCAGAACTTTAAGATGTCCTCTAAGCTTAAAGAGATCTTTAGCCAGGGTTTGGTCAAAGCTGCAGAGACAACAGGAGCATGGATAATAACGGAAGGCATCAACATGGGTAAAGCACGTGTTCGTCTTTCTGTCTCTCTTCTCTCCCTCCCCTGCTTTCCTTCCTTCTTCTTCCTTCCCTCCCTTCTTTTCTCCTCTTTTTCCTTCCTTCCTCATTCCCTCTCTCCCTGTCCTTTCTCACTGTGCAGCAGGCATTATGGCATCTAATCTCAGGTCTGCAGTGCTCCCAGGACATGTGGTGATGTGAAAGGGAAAGGTAAAAACTTGTGACTGGGGCTGGGGATGTGGCTCAAGTGGTAGCGGCCCCATGCATGCATGTGGCCTGGGTTCGATCCCCAGCACCATATACAAACAAAGATGTTGTGTCCACTGAAAACTAAAAAAAAAAAAAAAAAAATATTAAAAAAATTCTCTCTCTCTCTTTAAAAACAAAACAAAACAAAACAAAACAAAAAACTTGTGACTGGAAAAATAAGCCCAGAAAAATGACAGACTTTTCCTAGAATGTTTTTATCATTGTCAAAATATGCTATTTTAATGTAACTTCAAGTAAACTTCTGGCAAAAAAAGTAGTCTTTCTTGAACTTAAGTCTCTTAAACCAAAACTCTTGAGACCAAGGGTTCTCTGTAATAGTAGGGTTCATTGAGCTATTCCAGATGTTAGCCAGAAGAGGAGCTGGTCCTGGGACAATTTCTACAACTACCAGCAGCAGGACCAGCACAGTTGGAAATGTGTCCACTGGATACAAGAGTCAAGAGCATTTTTATAATGAAAATTTGGGGAAGGAAAGCATAAATTGTTCATGTTGAAGTCACATTGGTGATATATAAGAGGGGTGGGATAATATGAAGGAGAGAAGAACAGTTTACAGAATACCATTGGGGTTAATAGTCTGGAAATTTCATTTGTAAGCATCATGTAAGCATCATTTGTAAGCAACCTGATCAGCCACCTGGAGTTTTGAGTCAAGGTTTCAACATACATTCAGGAATGTGAAACAACCTTTTGTTCCTTTCAGCCTATAGCTGTTAACAGATTAATTTCTCTTATCTCTCCCCACTTCTGTCCTCTGGTCCTTGTAACTAAATTTAGGACATCTTTTAGTCGGGTGTGGTGGTGCATGCCTGTAATGGTAAGTGACTCAGAAAGCTGGGGCAGGAGAATTGCAAGTTCGAGGCTTGGGCAACTTAGCAAGACTGTCTCAGAACAAAAAATAAAAAAAGACTGACAGTGCAGCTCAGTGCTAAATTGTCCCTGGGTTCAATCCCCAGTACTGCACCATCAACAACAACAAAAAAGGACGTCACAGAAGTTTTCTTTTATCAAGGCTGTTGTAAGATTAATAGGAACATCAAACCCATACAAATGTGTAGTGTGTGTTGCCTACATAGTAGCTAAACTCAGTCATTGTCAAGTTCTTAGATATTGGAAACAAATGATATGCATAAACATTGCATTGATTATTTGGGGAATGAGTAGACAATTACTTTTTTTTTAATGACACGATTGTCAATACACTGTCTATATCATTGACTTATGTTTAATTAAATTTTATTATTATTATTTTTGCAGTTCTGGGGATTGAACCCAGTGATGCTCTTTTACTGAGCTGTATCCCTGGCCCTTTTATTTTTCACTTTGAGGGTCTTGTTAAGTTGCCCAGGCCAGTCTCAAATTTGTCATCTTCCTACCTCAGCCTCTAGAGTTGCTGGGGTTATGGGCATGTGCTAACACCCCTGGCTAATTGACTTTTTTTTTGTGTGTGTACCACAGATATAACCCAGGGGTGCTTAACCACTGAGCAACATCCCCTTTCTCTTTTTATTTTTCATTTTGAGATAGGATCCCGTTAAGTTGCTGAGGCTGGCTTTGAATTTGCGATTCTCCCACCTCAGCCCCCTGAGTCTCAGTGCAACCTGACATTCAGGAACCTCATATAGTGGCCTTTGAACCTTATTCCTTTGCATCAGTTTATGAACATCCCGCACATAAGAATCCTCTGGGAACTTAAAACAAACAAACAAAAAAACCCAGAAATAAAAAAAAAACAGATGCACATGCTCTTCCTCAGATGAATTTGCAGCTTCCAAGGGTCTAGCTTCTGAAGTGAATCTAACGTGCAGCCAGGCTTGAGAACAAGTGACTCCCCCAACCCTCATCTCTTACTGATCTGTTGCTAACAGATGGCTTTAGATCTCTCTTTACTCTTCTCTCTTCTGAATCCAAAGTCTCTGATTAAATCATGCCCATCTTTTAGGGCTGACACAAGATTCAACACATTCATGAAGCAGCATCTGATGTCTCAACTAGAGCTATTTACTTTTAACTCTTAATTCCTATAGCAGTAACTACCTGCAGCCTGTGTCTGTTTGCTTCACACATTAGCATGAGTCTGTGTAGTAGCTCTCTGCCCTGTGGTGCACCAGAGGCCAGCCTACACCTTTGTCTAAGTAATTATCAACATGTGCTGATTTAACAATTTCTTTTGACTGAAGAGGAATGAAGGAAGCAAATGATAAACAAATTAGCAACAAATGACCACAAAAACCCATAAAAAGCAAAATGAAACAAGGGATTTGGCCTGTCACTAATAGGAACCTGATAGTTTGTCTTGTATATTTTATAGATGATTATTGTTTCACATTTTGACATAAACTGAAGCTGGCAGAGTTCTAAGTCTATTGTATGGTACTTATTTTATTTCCTGTAAAAAAAGAGAGTGGGGAGGGGAACTTTTAGAGAGCTCAGAAAAAGGTCAACTTGGAAAAGACAATTTTTTGTTAAATAACTGCATTACAGGTTTCATTTTACTTATTGCTTTTTAGAAAAGAAAATTTAGGTGAGGGTCACCAAACCTAAAGAAAAGCATAGACAGTAATGGGAAGATGATTTAAGTAGATTATATGAACAAGAGAGATGATGGGAAATGAGGAAGACTTGCAACTCCTCTAAATCACTATCAGTCTGATTCAACCAGAGCTCCTAAACAGATCTCAGGTCCTACCCCAGACTCACAGAATCAGAATCTGCATTTGAACAACACCTTGGATGATTCTTGCACATTTAAATTTTTCTTTTGCACATTTAAATTTGAGAAGCTCTGCTTATGAATGCCTGTCTATCTTGAGACGCTTCTGAACTAAACCTGAACATTTTTTTGGCACGGCTATTTGACAATTACTGAGTTGAATGCCACCAGCCTTCAAGATCTACTAGGTCTAGAACATTTGGATAGGTGTGGATGAAAGACAAGCAGTGTGGCCCTAGGTGAGGGACACAGGTGGGCTGTGACAGCAGACAAAAGGCAACTGATTAGAATTTGATGCTGGCAGGGTTAAAAAGAAAGTTTGAGGAAGAGGAAAGGAAGGATGAATTCTGTTTTGAACTGAGGGCCCCTTTAAGGCTTGGATGAGGATACAGCCCATGGATTGGTCTTCAGCAAGGCAGCGGTGACACTTCATCATGAGAATCACAGAAAGAGATCAACGCAAGTGTAGATAGAAGTGATAAGGTCACTGGCTGCAGTGTGTGCCATGTGGCAGGGTTCAGGGACAGTAAGGGAGACTGGAGCCAGACTGGGTGCTGTGCTCGTGGCCTGGCATTGTTCTCTGTGTGGCAGAGGGCTCTTGAAGGGTTTTGAACCAGAGAATGGATAGGGGAATGATATGGTCAGATTGAATTTTGCAGAGACTCTCAACAGAGTATTTGCATTAGGATAGCAGGTGGGTTTCTTAAAACACCACCACCACCAAAAATAACTGTACAGTATTGCTACCCTAAACCAGGCCAAACTTCTGGAATAAAAATCTCTATTGGGATGGATAGCTCTACAGTTGATATACAAGTTTTCCTGAAGTTCAGAACCCAGGTTCTACAGATGAATCTGGCAGAGTTTTAATGGATTGGGGGAGAAGATGCCAGAGATAAGAAAGTGATTTAGGTGCTCTGCATCAGATCCATGAAATATGAAGGTGTCTTTCTTAGTCTGTTTGTGCTGTTATTTTTTTTTTAAGAGAGAAAGAGAGAGAGAGAGAATTTTTTAATATTTATTTTTTAGTTTTCGGCAGACACAACATCTTTGTTTGTATGTGGTGCTGAGGATCCAACCCGGGCCACACGCATGCCAGGTGAGCGTGCTACCACTTGAGCCACATCCCCAGCCCTGTTTGTGCTGTTATAACAGAACACTGACACTAGTAATTTATAAGAACAGAGCTTATTCTCTTACTTTTTTGGCTGGGAAGTTCAAGATCAAGGGACCAACATCTGATGTGGATTCTCTGGCTGTTTCCTCACTGTTGAAAGGTGGAAGGGCAAGAGAGAACAAACCCATACTCAGAAACCCCTTTTATGTATCATAAATCCATTTATGAGGATGAAACCCTCATGACCTAAACAATTCCTCAAAGTCCCCATTTCAGACACTGCTGCATTGAGGACTAAATTTCCAGTGCATAAATTTTAAAAGGGACACATTCAAACCATATCAGCAGGTTTTTTCCTCTCTGTGCTAATGACATATGTAAAGTCATTAGCATACATAAAGAAGACTGTCTTAAGATGCAGTGTTGTAACTAAAGGTCAGAGTCAAAGTCAAAGGACTACTTATTGTATGATTCCAATTATGTGACCATCTGGAAAAGGCAACTATGGAAAGAAAGATCAGTAGAAAGAAGATCAGTGATGTCTAGGGCTTAGCAGAGAGGAGGGATGAATATTCAATGCACAGAAAAATTTCAGGGCAGGAAAAATATTCTGTATGATACTACAGTGGTAAATAGGTGTCATTATACATTTGTCAAAACTCATAGAATATATAACCCCAAGAATGAACCCCAATGTAAACTATACCTCTGGTTGGTAATTGATTATAACAAATGTACCACTCCAGTGGGAGTTGTTAGTGGGAGAAGTTATGTTTGTGAGATGGCAGTGAGCATAGGGGAATTTCTGTACTTTGTGTTCAAACTAAAACTCTTTAAAAATAAAGACTATTTATTTTAAAGAGTCAGATTATCTAAATTGGAATCTTAGCTCTACAAATTGCCAGCTCTATAACCTTGGGCAAATTATTTGACCTCTCTGTGCCACCATTTTTGTCTATAAAATGGACTAAAAAAAATCCTAACATGTAAATGCTTGTAAAGTAGTTAACACTTGCTGAAATCTTATGTTCTAGAAAGGGGTGGCTACTATAATTATTATTATTAACTCCAGGAGATCAAACATTAATGTACTATTTCTTAATGTATTCTCTCTGAATTATTTGTGTATATGAAGCTATTAAATTAGTTTGCCTTAATGAAGCCAGGGATACATCTGCAAGGTGTTTTGCTGAGATATTAGAGAAGATTAGAGATAAAAACATATAGAACATTCATGATATCAGGGCTGGACTTGCTGAGAAAGGACAGTGCACAGAACATTCTGGTCATTCAGCAGGGTCAGAGCTGAGATTGTAGGCAGAAATTGCCCAAAAGGAGAGGGAAATTCTTTAGGTACAGAGGTCAGTGATAAGAGAAAAAGGTGTCAGGAGAGAATAGGGGAAAATGAGATACCAGAAGTCAATTCCACTGTGCCAGCAACTTTCCTTAAGAATAACCTTTTGCATTATCTGTATCTATTTGACTCTGTTTTATGTGATTTGTGAGTTAAAATTTGACTTCTGAACTGTTTGTCCCTAGGAGTGTCCAAGCACGTTGGAGATGCCCTAAAAGCCCATTCTTCTAAGTCATTGAGGAAAATCTGGACTGTTGGAATCCCTCCTTGGGGTGTCATTGAGAACCAGAGAGATCTCATTGGAAAAGATGTAAGTAGACAGTCCTTTCAAAGCAAAAGGAAATGAATGCAAATTCAAATTGCCCATGTAACACTGCAGCTAGGTGTCTAATAGACCCCTCAAATGTAGTAAATATATCCCCAGCCAATTCCTGCCTTCCTCCTACATCCCTCATCCTATTTTATTCTTTTACTTTTTAATACTTTAGTATTAGGATTGAATCCAGGGGTGCTCTACCACGGAGTTACACCCCCAGCCCTTTTTATTTCATTTTCTGAGACACATTCTCCTTCAATTGCTCAGGCTGGCCTTGATCTTGTGATCCTCCTGCCTCAGCTTCCCAAATGGCTGGGATTATAGGCGTGTACCCCAAATTCAGCCTTCATCATGTTTTAGAAAATGACAATTCCATCTTTGCAGTTGTTCAAGCCAAAAACCCCAGATCAATTCCAGAATGAACTCTTTGTCTCATGCCTCAGACCTGATCCATCAGTAAACTACTTGAGCTCCACTTTTGAAATATGCTGAAAAACCTGACCTCTTTTCATTATCTTCACTGTTAGTGACCAGGTCTAAGTGACCTTATGATGCTAAATGATAATAGTCTTCCTTCTTCTTATCGTTTTCTCCTATTACAGTCTAGTCTCAACACGGTAGCCAGAATGTTACTTGTAAAATAGAAATCAAATCATGCTATTCCTCTTTGCAAAACTCCTCAATGGTTCCTGTCCTGCAAATAGCCAATATATTTGGAATGGTTTGAATGTAGTAAAACAAGACAGATTCTTAATTTGGCTCTTGCTAGTTCTTTTCTCTTATTTCATATTACTCTCTGCTTCATTCATTCTTATGTATTGATTCTTTGATCCTATCTATGTGTTTATATTAGGAGGGAATGGATGTGTCTATTTATAAAGCTTTTTTTAGTAAGATTATTGGTATTAGAAAAGATATAAAGAAGAAAGAAAGATAACTACTGTTAATATTTTGGTGTGTTATGATTCCAGAATTTTTCTCTGAATATGCCTATCTATGTTTTTTAAAATTGCCTTTAAAAAGTAACAAAAGAAACTCACTGCTATGCTTTTTTTAAATTTAACTATTTAGCATAGTTATTTCTCTATGTTAATCAATGTAGTCATGTTTATGGTATGTTTAAACACTTATGTTGGAAATTTTCAAATGCATTAAATAGTAGAGATATTAGAAGAGTGAAGTCTTGCGTACTCTTTCTCAGCTGCAATAGTTATCAACTCACTCCCAATTTTGTCTCCTCTATGTCCTTATCTATTGCCAACCAACCCTCTCTGTTATTTTTTTTCTTTCTTGGTAATGGGGACTGAACTCAGGGGCACTTGACCACTGAGCCACATCCCCAGTCCTGTTTTTTTTTTTTTTAATATATTTTATTTAGAGACCAGGTCTCACTGAGTTGCTTAGCACCTTGCTTTTACTGAGGCTGGCTTTGAACTCATGATCCTCCTGCCTCAGCCTCCCAAGATGCTGAGATAACAGGCATGTGCCACTGTACCTGGTGTAATCTTCTCTGTTATTTCTAAGCAAATTCCAGACATCAGATAATTCCATCTGTAAACATTTCAGTCTGCATTTCTTTCTTCTCCTTCTCCTTCTCCTTCTCCTTCTCCTTCTCCTTCTCCTTCTCCTTCTCCTTCTCCTTCTCCTTCTCCTTCTCCTTCTCCTTCTTCTTCTTCTCCTTCTCCTTCTCCTTCTTCTTCTTCTTCTTCCCCTGTACTTTAACACTGAGTTAAGTCCCAAGCCTTTTTATTTTTTATTTTGAGATGGATTCTCACTAAGTTGCTAAGGGCCTTACTAAGTTGCTGAGACTGACCTAGAATTTGTGATCTTCCTGCCTCAGCCTCCCAAGTTGCTGGGATTACAGGTATGTGCCACAACCTCTAGCTCAGTAGGCATTTTTTTTAAGTTGTAGTTGGACCCAATACCTTTATTTATTTATTTACCTGTATTTATTTATTTTTATGGTGCTTAGGATCGAACTCAGGGTCTTGCACATGTGAGGCGAGCGCTCTACTGCTGAGCCACAACCCCTGCCCTCAGTAGGCATTTTTAAAGTGTATGAACAATTTAAAAATTACAATGCTGTTATCATGACTAAAAACAATAATTCCTGAGTGTCATTAACTATTCTATTTTGTCAAGTTTTTCATTGCCTCATAGTTAATTGTTTGATTTCATCGTTCAAAAATGTTCTATACATTGTGATCAGTTAATAGGTCTCTTGCTTCACATTTTTTGTCTTTCCTTTTTTTGCTACTGGAGATTGAGACCAACCCAGAGATGCTCTACCACTGAGCTACATCTCCACATCCCCCTTCTAATTTTTTTTTTATTTTGAGAGAGGGTCTCACTAAGTTGCCCAGGCTGGCCTTGGACTTGGGATCCTCCTGCCTTGCCTACTGAGTCATTGGGATTATAGGTGTGTGCCACCATGCCTGGTTTGATTCACTTTTCCCCATTCTTGTAATTCATCTCCTTTTTTCCCCCCTTCAATTTGTTTGTTGAAGAACTTGGGACATTTGTCCTGAAGAGTTTCTCACAGTTTGGATTTTCCAAATTTAACCTTTTGTAGCAGACTTAACATGTTTCCTTGTTTCTTGTCTTCCTTGTAAATTGGTAGTTTGGTCAAGAATAATGATCAGACTTGGATTCTTTTTGTTCAGGTTTATATTATGGGAGGTGTGTCCTTCTGCTGTAACCTTTGATCACTTGTCTTTTCTTGGTTTTAGCAGTCATCACCTAGATTCATTATTTCAATAAGGTTGGAAATGCTGATATTTAATTATAGCATTCTCTTTTCAATTATTTGCTTTGCTATTCTTCGAAGAAAATAGTTTCTCATCAAGCACTTGTCTTACCTTGTACAGTTGGATAGGAAAGGCAGAAAAAATGTCTGATACTTTATTTTCCAGTTTTCAAAATAATGGGATGATTATTTACCATCCTCCAAAGGTGAAACTTACTTTTTCTTTAAATTCATGAATTTAAACCTATATATTTCACTATGTTAGTCATTATTGTTAGAATTTTTTTTTTCTTCATTGTACTGGGGATTCAACTCAGGGGTGCTCAACCACTGAGCTACACCCCTATCCTTTTTATTTTGAAACAGGGTCTTGCTGAGTTGCCCCACTTGGCTTCAAACTCATGATCCTCCTGCTTTGGCTTCCTGAGTTGTTGGGATTATAAACATATGCTGTCACCATGCCTGGCTATATAGTATTTTTTATCATACTTAAATTGCTCCATTTTGTCTAGTAGAGGCTTTAAGTCTCTTGTTGAGTCCTTTTGCTCAATTCTTTCATCTCATAACTTTCTTGCTTTTTTAAGATGAAAAAATATTTTGGGCTTATTGTGTATAATTTTTGTTCCCTAGAGATACTGCTATTTGCTTTCAGTGGGGCATAGTGTTAGGGGACCACAATTTGGGCCTTTCATTTTTCTTACCTGATAGTGTTCCACCATGTTATAGTTAATTATTCCTCTATGATTGCCCTTTCTTTCTCACTTTTATAGACATTATTAATATTGTGTGAGATATACAAATCTTTGGTACTGCCTTGCTTGTTTCCTTAGAAATTGTTCTCAAAGATCAGGGCTTGGTCCAGTTGCTGTATATATTTAAAAATATGAAAGGTTGTCTTACACAAAGTTGGTAAAGAAAGAGTTATTGTTCACAATGTACCAAGGGGGTATGTGAGTGCCCAAGTGCCCTGTTCCTTGGCCAATTAGGAATCTTCTGTGTTTAAGACTTTTTTTTTTTTTTTTTGGTTGCCATTCTTACAGGTATAAAGTCATACCCAACTGTTCTTATTTACATTTATCTGGTTGCTAGTGAGGTTCAGTGTCTCTTCACATAGTTTTTTTTTTTATTTATAGCCTAGTAGTACTTTTGTAATGTATACTACATTTCCCTCAAATTTTATTTTATATTATTTATGAGATTTTTTCCATAAATATAAGATATATAGTAATTCTGCCAATCATTTTACTTTTGGTTTCTGGTCATGTTTCACAATTATAAAGGTGACTTTTTTTTTTAAATTTGTTGTTTCTTTTTAGTTTTACATGACAGTAGAATCCATTTTGATATAATTAGAGCCTAATGTTAGCAAAATTCATAGTGTTTTTTACATCCATTATTTCTTTGAAGGCTCATGGCAATCCTCCAAAGTAGGAATCATCCTTGTTCTCATACGTGAGGAAAATAAGCCTGAGAAAGGAAGCAGGAGTAACCCAGGGTTAAGGTCAGCAGGAACTTCAACTTGGTCTTTCTGATTAAATACCATGTCCATACATCTAAAAGCAAATAAGAATTGGAGCTGCTTAAAGGGGTGTTCATAAATGTTAAAAAGACCTTAATTTTTTTTTTTTTTTGTACTAGGGGTTGAACCCAGAGGTGCTTAGCCACTGAGCCATATCCCCAGCACTTTTCATTTTTTATTTTGAGACAGGGTCTCTCTAAGTTGCTTGGGGCCTCACTACATTGCTGAGGCTGGCTTTGAACTTTCGAATCTCCTGCCTCAGCTTCCAGGATTACAGGCGTGTGCCACCACAACCAGCTGACCTTGATATTTTTTATCAAATAAAATGCCAATTGGCTGGTTGATTGTTACCTCTTACTTCATTTGGAATACTAGAAAAAATCAATGGCACAATATTATTCTGTAATAGATCTACTAAGAGACAGCGTGTTTTGTATAGTGGTGCCAATTCTTGAACTGTTTTTTCATGGTCTGAAACAAGGTGAGTATGGAAGTGGAAAATAAATATGTAGAACCTTTTTAGCAATGCAACTGTGCAATGGTATCTAAGTGTTTGATGGGTGTGCTCATCCTGCTGACCATGGTGTGTGTATGTGTGTTTTAGAAATTGTGTTATGAGGCTCACATACAATGGGCTGCATAGTGGTTGTATATAATAAGAGCACATTGGTATTTTATTGGCCCATAGAAAGGGTAAATTTAAAAATCTGATCCCTGTCCACAGAGAGTTTGAGAAGCACTGTGCCAAGTAGCAGGTAATAGTTTTTAAACTTGACAGCTGCTCTGTTAGTGCATAGAGCAGCTGAACCTGGGGAAGTTGAGCTCTGACCCTCTCTTGTCCTTGCTGTCCTTCAGGTGGTGTGCATGTACCAGACTCTGGGTAACCCCCTCAGCAAGCTCACCACACTCAACTGCATGCACGCGCACTTCATCCTGTCCGATGATGGGACTGTGGGCAAGTATGGAAATGAAATGAAGCTCAGGAGGAACCTGGAGAAGCACCTCTCTCTGCAGAAGATACACAGTCGTGAGTTCTGTCAGGGCTCAGCTGACAGGTCTGCCTGGGGGCCTGCTGATGAGCCCAGTCCAAGCCAGCTCCTGCCTCCGAGCAGCCAGAGAGCCAGAAAGACGGTGTAAGATGGTACAGAATTGTGGGTGACAGTGGGAAAGAGGATCACAAGTTAGGGGGACAGTATAGCCAGGAGAAGTTTCATGGAACAATGGAGACACTAGCAAGGCCTCCAAGAGTCCATAGAGTTGGATAGTTAGAGGGAGGGTTTCCACAGGGAAGACAATAAGGAGACAAACCTGAGAGGAGCAGGGGTCAAGGAAGATTATGTTTCATATGTGTGTGTGCTTGAGGGGAGTAGAAGCATGGATGTGGTTCATACCTGCCAGGGCTTTTAGAAAGCTGGGCGTGGAAGGCGTCAGGTTTGTGTTGTGCTAACAGTGGTGCTTCAGATGGCCATTTTGGGCTGCTGTGTTCAATGAACCCAGAGCTTGTGCAAGGCAGCCGTAGCTCAGTGGCTGACACTTCTCTAGCATGCATGAGACCCTGGGTATGATTCATTTTGGTGGCATCTGTGGAGTGGGAGTCTTTGGGCAGTGAGGAGGGCTTCTTTATAGAGAGGAGGAGAGCTGGATGCTGGCTGGAGAGATGGAAACTTTTTTGGTCCATCAGGAGCAGCAGAAGGTGGCCTTTCCTTCTTGTGATGAATTAAATCTTCCACACAATATTTCTACCTTCTGGGACAGGCCAAGGAGTGAGAAGGCTCTCCAGGAGGCTTTAATTCTGTTCAACCTTTGAGTGTTGGCTGAAAATACTGGAAGTCCTTTTAATTTTCTGCCTTGACACCCTGAGACAGTAGGAAGTAGTGAGGTTAGAAAAGTCACAGCTGTATTCCACTGCCTGTGACCTTGGGGGATGGAGTTCATGTGGTGAAGCTGCTTTTTTATTATCAATTGGAAGGACCCTTTTACCTCTAACTGTTGTTGCAAGAATTAATTGAGAAAAGGTATGTTAGATGTGCTTAGAATACTGTTGGGTGCATAGTATCACCTCAATAAATGTTTGTTTCTTTCTTTCCTTGTCTTCCCTTGGTACAGTGGTCATCTTGTGGTTGTGGGGTCAGGTGGGGAGGGGAGGGGCCATGGAAATCGCTACCAGTCACTTATGGCTTAGAGTGAATGAAGGTCTTGAGTCTCATTTAGGTCAGGAAAAGGGGAGGTTTGGGTGTGTGGTCCTCTGTGAGACAGAGGTGGCTAGGGGAAAAGAAGACCAACGGAGCACAGGGAAAGAGGAAAGGTTGGAGAATGGCCCTGAAGAAGAACCATGCTGGGAAAGATCTGTTAAGTCTCTAAAATGCTAGTTATTTGAAGTATCCCGTGGTTTCTGTTGACCTGCACTCACTACCTGAATTGCTCAGGTTCTGTGCAGAACAGTAGTGTATGCTTCATGAGGGTCTTTGTCTTTCTGGTGCCCTACTGATTTTCCATTTTTTCCCTCCAGTATTGGGAACTGAATCCAGGGACCCTTAACCACTAAGCTACATATCCTCCAGTTCTTTTTCATTTTGAGACAGGATATTACTAAGTTGTCCAGGCTGCTGTGGAACTTGGGATCCTCCAACCTCAACCTCCTGAGTGGTCAGATTACAGGTGTTTGCCTCTATGCCCAGCTGATTTTCTGTTTTCGTGTGAATGCAATCAACCGCAAGCTTGCACCGAGCAGAAACAGTTGATGTTTGTACTTTCAGACTTTGAAACTTACGACAAGCTGGCTGCAGTGGCTCATGCCTGTAATCTCAGTGACTCAGGAGGCCAGCTTCAGTAATTTAGCAAGGCCCTAAACAACTTAGTGAGACCCTGTCTCAACAGGGCCGAAGATGTGGCTATGTGGTAAAGCATCCCTGAGTTAAGTCCCCATTACAAAAAGACAAAATAAAACAACAGCAAAGAAATCCTTTGGATGTACCTGGAGGGCTTCCCTGACTGTGGACAAAGAATGTGGGATCCATCGTAGTGGATTGGTAACATCCTTATTCTAAGGAGAACTCATATGAAAATAGCAAAAACAATAATCACTCCCCATACAGAGCAACATTTTTAAAATGAAAACTGGGATGATAAGATATCTGTGCTTGTTTTGTAGTCTCTTCTTTCCCACTAAACATGGATGCATTTTCATGTTAATAAGCATGCTAGTACATTTCTAATGGCTATGTAATATTCTATTGTATGAGATGTAAGAGATTCTCTTAGAAATTTTTTTTCTGTCACAAGATTAATGAATATTTATCTAAGTTTTCTTTCTTGCCTTTGTGCTTCAATAAAACATTTTCCACATTTAATTTAGTTTTGATAAGATGATATGATTGGAAGACCCTATGTCTACTGGTTGATAGATCCTAGGTTTGCTTTTTGTGATATGGAGACAACAATAAGGAGGTGGAATTGGCAGGTATGCTGTTGCCTGCTAATTTTTCTTCTTTTGAAAAGTAAAAGTAAAAGTATTGATTTAAAAGTAATATATCAGTCAGGTATTGGTGGTACACACCTGTAATCCCAGTAACTCAGGAGGCTGGGGCAGACGGATTACAAGTTTGAAGCTAGCTTGGGCAACGTAGTGAGATCCTATATCAACAAAACAAAACAAAACAAAACAAACAAACAAAAAAGTAGAGCACCCCTGGGTTCAATCTCTAGTATTGCCATTGCATAATAAATAAAATTAATATATCAATCTGGAGTGCATTTCAATGTTAAAGTGTTTTCTAAACATGTGCAAAGACTTGTGTTCAATGACAACACCAAAAAAAGTGATATATACCATGAGTGTATGATATTAAAATGTAATAAGAAATATGTAAGATGAACAAATTTATCCAAACCCTCCCCTACCTTTTCCACTGCTAATAGTTTGATGTATATCCTTCCAGATTTTTCTAGTCATTTATATAACATGCTAAAGATATAGGCATATGCATGTAAAATATATAGGCAATTATAAGGTTTTGAAAATACAAATTGGGTATATTATTTATTTCATTCTATATGTATATTTTTTTCACTTAATGTCTTTTTTAAAGGAGTGACTTGGCTGCTTCTTATTTTTTCATTGTTGTAATAAAATAATTAATGCTGCCAGTAAGAATTCAAACAGTTAAAAACCAGAATATATTAAAATGTAAACATCTTTGAGGGTTGCCCAATTCATCTTGTTTAAATAATGATAATTCAAATAATGACTATTAAAAATTTATTGAGCTGGGTCCCATGCTTTAATCCCAGTGACTTGGGAGTCTCAGTCAGGAAGATCACAAGTTCAAGGCCAGCCTCAGGAACTTATCAAAACCCTGTCAATAAATAAATAGGACTAGGGATCTAGCTCAATGGTAGGATGTCGCTGGGTTCATTTCCGAGTACTGCAAGAAAAGGAAAAAAAATATTTAAAAAATTGATCATATTTATAGAGGAGTGATGGATACATTTGAATCCATCATATAGTTCTGTTTACTTTTCGATGTTTGGGATTTCCCAAAATGAAAAGTTTAACTTTCTTGAAGACAATGTCTTTTTTTCTTTTTTTAAATCACTGAAAGACTTGAGTTAACTTTTGTCCTGGCAAAAACTTAAGGAGGCCCTCACCATATTTTATGCTACATTTTATTTGAAGTCCATGTTTATGGCTTGACTTCATCTAAGCAAACTGGGTAAATTAAGAGACAGGGCAGGTGCAAGCAATGAGGATATGTGGTAGTGGAAAGACTTGTGCCTAGAAACCAAAGGGGCTGACTCTTAGAGAGGGATGTTTTGTCACAGTCTGATGATGGTTTGTGATCTGAAACAGGCTCACGACAAGGCGTGCCTGTGGTGCAGCTGGTGGTGGAAGGAGGTCCTAACGTCATCCTCATGGTGTGGGAGACTGTCAAGGACAAAGACCCAGTGGTGGTGTGTGAAGGTACAGGCAGAGCTGCCGACCTCCTGGCCTTTACCCACAAACACTTAGAAGATGAAGGGTAAGTCCTCAACTCTTCTTTTAAAAATGTCAGTGACCTACTTACTTTTCCATTTTAGATCTTTAAGCCGTACATGATGTGGGCCGGATATCCTTGGAGTACAGAGGGTGACACTGGAAATCATTTTTGTTCATTAGTCCCTAGATGCCTCCCCAACAATGAAGGCTGTATTTTCTTAGCTGAGGAATGGCTTGCCTTTATTAGGGAATCTTGAGCCTTGTTTGAACTTCCAGAAAAGGCATTTCCAGGGAAATCAATGAAGAGATGTCCCTGCAATGGGCCCTTATATCTGAGAGAACTCTGCAGGGAGGGAAGGAACCAGATCTCCTTCAAACTCATTTGCCATTAGAAAAAATAGTGTGAATAGGGAAAAATTAACATGCCAGCATTTACATAACATGTGTTTACCGCAAGCTTTCTGTCCCCTTTTTAAATGAGAAAGTTTTTCTCCAGCCATTCCTATGGGCAGCATGAATCTTCTTTGAAAGCAGGTTTATGCTGTATAAATACAGTGCCTAAAAGTAAAATGCCAACTCTGTTAATCTATTTGGTAAATGTATTTCATGCTTATGTTCTTCTATCAGCTCTCTGGGATCTCTTTCCTTCTGATTTCTCTTCCCATTCAGACTTCAGCCACCTATTTCTACCCTGTCTGTCTATTCTACCCTCTCTGTCTTTTCATACCTCTCCTTTTCCTAAAGTCACCTGGATGAGTGGTTCTTAAAGTTTTTAGCATTTCTCATCCTTTTACTCATGTTCCAGTTCAGCCTTGTGCTGGATCCCCTCCTTGCATTTTCTTCCTGCTCAATTGCTCTCTGACAGAACTATCCATAGAAACCTTTTCAGCGGGGTGGGCAGTTGGGTTTTCTTGAATTGAAGTTTCTGGCTTGGTGCCTTCTCTGGGTGCATCCAGTCACGACCATTTATTTCTCTGTCAGGATGCTGCGTCCTCAGGTGAAAGAGGAAATCATCTGCATGATTCAGAACACTTTCAACTTTAGTCTGAAACAGTCCAAGCACCTTTTTCACATTTTAATGGAGTGTATGATGCACAGGGATTTTGTGAGTATGAGTTGATGATTCAAACTGACTTCAAAAAATACCAGTTTGCAGACATTTCGATGTTTAATTTTTTCAGTTTTTCCATTTTGAACTTGAGTAGGTGTAACTCAACAGAATTCAACCTTTCATTGAGTCACCTTAGCTTTTTCCTGCTTCACCCTCACCTCCACCCCAATCCTTCATGATTCAAATTTCAGACTATACCTAGAAAAGGCCCCTAGGATAGGCCCCTGGATAGGATAAACTGTATTACAGAAACATCATAAAACTTGGTGAAAGTTACACATAAATGTTTTCAGAGTGTAAAGGAACAGCTTCCTGTCTTCAGTGAACTCAAGTCTGCTGAGTTCAGATGACAGCATCATGGACTGTCCTAGAGGAAGTCGTTGGGATTGTACTGGACAACAGGAAATGTGAAAATACACACTGGAATAGAAAACAGAGTTCCTAAGCTATGGCTGCGGCCATGTGCACACTTCAGAAAAGTGTTTAGTGTGTCAGGGACTGGGGTCAAAATTTTTATCGACTTGGATAATATAAGGCTGAAAATTAGCTCTACCTGGTGTGTATGCCTGTAATCTCAGTGGCTCTAAAAGCTGAGGCAGGAGAATCTCGAGTTCAAAGCCAGCTTCAGCAAAAATGAGGCACTAAGCAACTCAGTGAGACCCTGTCTATAAATAAAATACAAAATAGTACTGGAGATGTGACTCAGTGGTTGAGTGTCCCTGAGTTCAATCCCGAATACTCTCCCCTCAAAATAAATATAATAAATAAAGCTGAAAATTATAGCACATATGCAGATATGTCATGATTCAAAGTGAACTTTCCAGAATTGGAAGAATTTTGGTGATATTATAGTACCTACCCTCAAAAAACCTGTTGAATAGAACTAGGCTACAGAAATTGTGGTAAAACATGTCACAGTGACCTAATAACAATCGGGTTTATAATTAGCATTGTGCTTTTGAATATATTTTTCTCCTGAAATAGCCCCATGAGTGAGTTCAGTGTAACAGCGGTACTCTACTTTAATTTCAAAAATGAAGCTGAAAGCCAAAGAATCTAAGTGATTTGCACAGCCTTGCAGTTAAAAAATGTTAGAACTGAAACTTGAGGTCCAAGGTGAAATCTTGTTCTTAGTCTACTACACTTTTTATTTCCACAATAATCAGTAAATTAAGAAAAGGACAGGTTAAAGAGGATGCCATTGTGCTTGCCCCTTCCTGTCATCAACGAGTGAAATGAACAGTGTAATGACTGGGAGAGTAGGGAAGGCAGCTAAAGAGTTTGCACATTATAGCAACTGGGTTTTCAGCTCCTGTGCCCTTGAAGGTTGATTTTATTCATGTGCATTGTGAAGGGAATGAATGTGTGAAGCTGTAGGAACATGATATTTATATCTCATAGGAACTGTTTTAGCTCTTCATCCCTGTGACAAAATGCCTCATGAAATCAACTTAAAGAAGAAGGGATTTATTTTGGCTCATGGCTTTAGAGATTTCAGTCCATGGTTAGCTGACCCCATTCATCCTGGGCCTGTGGTGAGGCAGAACATGGCAGAAGGGCCTGGCACAGCAAAGCTTGTCAGTCCCGGCTCTTTTCTGTTAATCCAGTTTCCTCTGCTATATGGAACATAGTTTCATCTGGAAAGGCTAAAATATATTCATTAGTTTTTATTTGTCTTTTTTTTTTTTTTTTAGACATTCACAACCCAGAACACTCTGGGAACTTTGACATTGTGAACAATGTCTGTGCTACTGTTCATTGTACTTGGTCACTAAGTCCATTGTAATATTGCCTTGCTTGTTTTAGGACAAATGTCTGAGGATTCATTTCTCATTAAAAAACAAAGGTCTTGGTTTCTAAGTTTAAGTGAGTGGAGGATCTCATTTGGTATCCCTTCAAAAGGAAGATTGATCTTATTTTCAGTAGAAATAAGCATTGAGGTTCTTTTTCTTCTTCTTTTTTTTTGAGCATGCACATGGCAAATTAATATAATATTGTTTTTTCAGAAATGTTTCTTCTAATACACATGGAGTTTATAAAGTTTCTTCTTATTCCAAGCGCCTACGATTTTTTTTGTTACCCTATTTAAAAAGATTTATTCTATAAGTAAAAAAAAATTAAATTACATTTTGAAATTACAAAATGAGGAATGATTTCTTCAATTCATTAGCTTAAATGTGAATTATATGAATATTGGTTGAGAGCATGTCTTTGGTAGTTTCTGAATATAAGGCTTTTTTATTTTTCAATTGTTATAGATAACCATATTTGATGCTGACTCTGAAGAACAGCAAGATCTTGACTTAGCAATCCTAACAGCTTTGTTCAAGGGTGAGTGACTGAAGAGATTTGTAATTGTTCCTCACTTCCTGTTCTCACATTCCAGGGCACCTTGTGCTTGTTGCCTGGATATTTTGAATAGAATATATGATTGTTCCTTTCTTTTACCACAGGCACAAATTTATCAACATTAGAACAATTAAATCTAGCAATGACCTGGGACAGAATGGACATTGCCAAGAAACATATCCTAGTTTACGGACAACATTGGAAGGTATGATGAAAACGGTGTTGTTTGGAAAAATATATCTTGCATGTTTTGTTAGGGAGAGGCAGAGAAAAAAATTAAAGGAGAAATAGATAGGTTTGGGAGGGATATAGGAAGAGCATCTTGATGTCTGGGCACCCAGGAATGGCTAGGACATTTCTGTCAATACTTTGCCTCCCTGAAAATAACTTTTCCCTCTTTAGTTAATTTAAGCTGGAAAAGAAAGTTGGAAGAAAGACAGAATGGAAGGATTTTTATTTTATTTTTTGAATGGGTGGATTTTTGTTATTTAAAACTTAGAAAATATCTCTATTTCCATGAATATGTAATAAATACTCACAGTTGAAATTAGTGGAAATAGGAAAAAATGATTACCTGTAATGGTAATGATGATCACTATTAACAGTTCATTAAATAATAAAGTTGTTGGGCAGGAGCTGTGGCTCAGTGATAGTGCACTTGCCTGGCATGTGTGAGGCACTGTGTTTGATTCTCAGCACTGCATATAAATAAATTAAAGATCTATCAACAACTATATATATATATATATATATATATATATATATATATATTAAAATAAAGTTGTGACTATATCTTGGGTAAATTATATTTGGGTCAAATGATACATGCACATTGTTTAAAACATCAAATGGTATTAAAGGGCTTTTAAAAATGTAATTCCCTTCCAGAAGGAGTCTACTACTTTTGACATTTTTGGACTGTTCTGTTCTGACATTTACAAATTTTCATTTCTCTCTCTCTCTCTCTCTCTCTCTCTCTCTCTCTCTCTCTCTCTCTCTTTTGTGGTACTGGGGATTGAAACCAGGAATACTGTACTACTGCACTACAGTTTCAGGACAGGATCACCAAATTGCCCTCAGTGGCCTAGAACCTGTCATCATCCTACCTCAATCTCCTGAGTTTCTGGGATTACAAATGTGTGGTGTGCCACTGTGCCTGGCTAAATCTCCCCATTTCTAAATAAAGTTGTATGGCTATCTTCTGATTCATCAATTTTAGAAGACTCTCAACATCTGCCTTTTGGGGGCCTCATGGTTGCAATGTGGGCAGATTGCCTCTATTCCTGGTGCTTGGCTGTACTCCTAGAATCTACCTCCATCATGCTGGGAATCTTTTTCTCTCACTCCCCTGGAAGAGTGCCTGTTTTCTGTACATGAGGACTTCCTCTTTGTGATTTATTCCTTTATTTTGATGGCATGCATGCTTGGGTAACTTCTAAGAAGGGACTATGGGAAATAAATATTTTGAGGATCTATATGTTTTTCTGTATTTTAATCTACACTTAAGTAAGTTTTTCTACAGAATTTTGGGCACTCAGCATTGCTGTTGAGAAATAGAAATTTGTTTTCAGATCCTTTATGGCCATTTTCCCCTCCCGCTGTAAGTTTCAAAAATCTTTTTCCAGTGTTCTGAGATTTCACAATGATATGTGTTACTATAAGTCTGTATATCCATTCTATATTATTGGCACATGATATCAGATTGGCATGGATGTTTCCTTTCCTTTCCATTCCATTTTGTTTGTTTTTTGCATTCTCTTTGTGGATTCCTATATTCTGAATGTTGAACCTATGGATTGCTTTTCTAATCTTCTTATCTTTTTCCTCCTATGTTCCTTATCTTTTCTTTAGTAGATTTCTTCAACTTTAAGTTTTCTATGAAGCTTTTCTCTTCTGAAAGCATGAAGTTAATCTAGTAATTTCCCAGAGCAAATATGTTCTCTGATAGTATTCTCCTACCCTTTGTTCTCATTGGCATCCATTATATGTCTTATTTTATCTCTCTGAGACTATTTAATGATAGCTTTTTTGAAGATTTCTCCATGCATTATCTGATTTCTCATTGTTGATGTTTTCTTATCTGTTGGCTTTGGTCTTTCTGTTGAAGGGTGGAGGATGGAAAGCTCTTTAGCAACTCTGAGCCTCTAGTTGGAGCTTTCCTGTAGATGTAAGCTTCACAGTAATGTGCCATTTGTTGTGGGACTCCCTCAGATGTCAGCAGATTCATGTGTTTTCTCTTGCATCGGTGTTATTAACCAGAAGAGAATCTTATGATCCCCTGCCTGGAAGTCCAATGGGGAAGATGATAGGGAAGGACCCAAGGCATTTATTTCATCTTGGTGCTGCTGGAATTCAGTGGCATAGATCTTGTTTGGTTCTTGACATTTCCCAATTGAATTATTTGGCTTTCTGGAAACTGCTAAGTCAATTACCACTTGACTAACTGCTTTCCAACTTCCAAAATGTTGCACTGTTGTCTCCACTTTAGTCCTCCTTGTGCTTGTGAATTTCTTTAAAAAAAAATTCTTTTGCTGAGTCTTAATGGTGGGACAAATTTAGAGAAGTATGTTCAACTTGCCGTTTATACTCAGAAACCAGGTAAAGCTTAAATGAAAACATTATGTTACCAACATTAGAAAAAATTTTTTTAAACCCCAAACCAAAAAACCCTTTGATTTTTATTAGAATTGCATTAAGTCTGCACATCATTTTGGGAAGTTCTGAAATCTTTGTCATAGTCAGTTTTCCCATGAAATATTTCTTGATTTAGTCAAGATGCCTTCACTTAGGTCCTGCACATTCTTGGTAAGGCTGTATTTTGTAATTACTGGGTGTGTATGGCTTAAGTGCAAATATGTAAAATTCCTTAGTTCATTCTACATTAACTGTCTTTTAATTTGTACCTTATGAAGCCTGGCACACTAGAACAAGCAATGTTAGATGCCTTGGTGATGGATCGTGTGGATTTTGTGAAGCTTTTGATAGAAAATGGAGTGAACCTCCATCGCTTTCTTACGATTCCCCGACTAGAAGAGCTCTACAATACGGTGAGTATAGAGCTTCATCAGCCATCTGCTTGAAGGTTTATTTACTAATTAGATTAGGATTTACCTATCTCCTTGAATGTTCAGGTACACAGTTTATAAAGATACAGGCTTTTCAACCGAAGGAGAAACCTTCTCACCAATTCTAGTTTATTCTACCAAGATATAGATAAAGACAAAGATGTGAATAAGAACAAATTGTCTTTTATTGAGTTACTTGAAGTATCTTAACCCAAGGCCACTGTTAAAATGCTGTTACTGCAACTTCCCAATGCAAATCCTTTGTTGAAACTAGTCTGACTTACTTTACTTGTTTTACTGAAAACACCAGTTGCTGAAGCAGTGGAAATACCTATCCTCTATCTTTGAATATTATTCTCTCTTCAATGTCCTATTCAAGCCCTCTCTTCTTTATGATGCCAGATAGTTCACAGCAATCTGTTCCTAGGGTATGAATTGGTTATAACTCTTTTTGAGCACCCACATATCCATTTTTTAGTGTAAGTACTCACTGCTTTCTATTTTTATAAATATGCCACTGAATCCCTTAGAAACCTGGTTGATCATAATAAGGTTTCAATAAATATCCAATGTTGAAATGTACTTGTGTCTTAGGATTTATAATAGTATGAACATTTATATATAATAAAGAATAGTTATAAATTACTTAAAATGTATTTCTCCATCTTATCACATAAAGCTGACATCCTTAATGTATAGATAGATAGATTCCTTGTTTTGAAATTTTTTTTCATCCAAAGACAAAAGAAAAAGAAAAATATTTCATCTAAATACATCTTCCCTAGAGAGAGTTCTTTCTTAAAACTAACCAGCTTAATCTTCATTACTAAAAATGTTGAACAAAAATTTCCATGTTGTGCATTACTTACACACTTGGAAATAAAGGGTCCTCCCATTTTACCACATATTAATTAAAGGAAATAATTTTTTCTATTGTTCTTTATCACAGAAACACGGACCGACTAATATGCTGTTGCATCATCTTGTCCAAGATGTAAAACAGGTAACCTAATTACAAAGATATGAAAATATCTTTGTATATTGTCTTAGCTTTATTATGAGAAGAGTAGCCATATTTTGCTTCTTTTGATTTTCTAGTGAATTATCTACCCTTTTTACATATATATGATTCTAAGCAATTTTTTCTCATCAAACCACACTCTTACATTTTTTTCCTTTAGTTCACTTTATGTTTTTAGTTTGGATCTACCAAGAAAGTGACATTAGCTAATAAAGAACAAAATGTGAGATATATACACAATAAAATATTCCTCAGTCATAAGGAAGAATGAAATTATGATATTTGCTGGTAAATGAATAGAAATGGAGAACGTCATGCTAAGTGAAATAAGCCAGACTCAAAAAGCCAAAGGTTGAATGTTTTCTCTGGAAGCTATTCCAAAATAAGGAGAGGGGAATCAAGGGTGGAAGATTCCATCAAAAAGGATGGAAGGTGTGGGCTAGATGAAGGGGACTAAGTGGGAGGGAGAAGAGATGGGATAAGGGAAGAACAGAGAAATGAATCTGACCTAACTTTCCTATGTGTACACACATGAATACACCACAGTGAATCTCACCATCATATGCATCCACAGACACTAACCAACAAGAAAAAAAAAGACTTAAAATAAGTAGCAGAAAGATCAGTGGAATAGAGGGAAGGGAACAGGGAGAGGAAGAAAGGAAGGGGAAGAGAAAATACTGGGGACTGAATTAGAGCAAATTATATACCATGCTTTTTTAATTATGTCAAAATGAATTCTAATGTTATGTATAACCAGAAAGAAACAATAAAATATGTGAAAAAAGAAATTGCAAAAAAGAAACAAACAAAAGCATGAAACAGAGACATGTAACACTTCCAATCAGAACTTCAGCTCTACATGATAGGGCAGTGGTGCCCATGGTGACAACTGCCAGCAGAAAAAGAGTCTGTGGTTCTGTTGTCTTTATTGGAGGACTAACATGATTTTGTTGCTTTTGTTGATACTGTTTTGAATATTTGTGACAGCTCGGGGACACTGGCACATTTTTTTCTAGGTCTAACCACTGTTCTAGGGAGTCTGGAAGGACCCCACTGCTCAACACCCTTGTTCAGATTTTGCTCCTGGTCTTCTCATGGAACTTTGAGTTAGATCAGACCCAGGAATTGGGACTTCCTGTTCTCCCCCTGGTCTTGTCACTCTGGTTAAAATCGACTGAGGCACATTTTAAAACTTCCCTCATTTCTTTGAAGTCTAGTATCTCATAGGATGGAATGATAGAGTGTGGAATTTCTGCTTATGTTGACTTGGAAGGAGAACCAGAGCGAAAGAAATTTACTTGGCAAATTTGTAAAAAGCAAAAGTGTCTATGCTGAGGTGGATTTTATTTATATTGATTTATGCTATGTCAAGATAGTTTCTTAAATTATTTCTTTAAACTCTATCAGTAAATTGAAGAAAAAGGCATAAAATAGGTTAAAGATGCTCTTATTAATTTATTTACCGTTGTTTTTATTGGGGATTGAATCCAGTGGTGCTTTACCATTGATCCATAAACCCAGTTCTTTTTATTTTTTCCTTTGAGACAGGGACTTATTGGGTTTCCCACACTGACTTTGAACTTATGGCCCTCCTGTCTCAGCCTCCCGGGTCCCTGGAATTATAGGTGTGCACTACCATGCCCAGCAAATTTATGCCTTTAACTAGCAGCAAGTAGGAATGTTATTTATTTATTTATTTTTCTACCAGGGATTGAACCCAGGGGTGCTTGACCCCTGAGCCACATCCCCAGCCCTTTCTATTTTTTATTTTTTTGAGACAGAGTCTTGCTAAGTTGCTGAGGCTGGCTTTGAACTTTCAATTCTCCTGTCTCAGCCTCCTGAGCCACTGGGATTATAGGCATGTGCCACCACACTTGGTTGCCAGGAATGTTATTTTTTTGATGTTCTTTGAAAAAAATAAATAATAAATGTGAAAAAAAAGAGAAAAGTATATATGGATACACATACTCTCTCTCTGTCTTCTCTCTCTTTCACACACACACACACACACACAAAAAAAAAAACCAAAACCCTAATTTCTTGTTCATAGCTTCGTGAATGTTATTCACAATTTGTCCATTTTAGAGACCTTGTTTAACACTCCACCTTAAAAAACTTACTACGAATGGCAGTTTAGAAGTCAGCAGCTATACAATGTGAGTAGGGGGTCAAAATAATTTTCATTTAGAATAAGAGCCATGTACTTGGAAATTTGCTGTTCAATCCTGCTGTCAGCTATAACATTTCTCTTGGCACAGCCTCATGTTTTGAGATATCATTTGACTCTGTAATTCTATGTTCCTTATTTATGTTTGTTCTACTTCCTTCCACATTCTTGTTTTACATATGATGTGTTCAACACACTGCAAGGTGTAACAGCCATTTCAACAGAAGCTGAAAAATTAACCCAATATAAACCGGGCATGGAGGTGCATGCCTGTAATCCCAGCTAAGGCAGGAGGATCACAAATTCAAGACCAGCCTCAGCAATTTAGCTAGACCCTAAGCAACTTAGCAAGATCCTGTCTCAAAATCAAAAATACAAAGGGCTGAGGATGTGGCTCAGTGGTTAAGTATCGCTGAATTCAGTCCTTGGTACCATAAGAAAAAAAAGTTAACCCAATGTGAATTTTGGATTTCCTACATTTACTATATACTTCATGATTTTACTTTTGTTGTTGTAGTTATATATATATATATATAAAACAAAACAATCTATAGATTCTCTATAATACTACATTTAATTGTATCTTATTCAAATATATGTGTGCCTATTCATGATAGGGAGAGGGAAAGAGAAGATAGATGTAGGCGTACATTTGCTGTCTATGAAAGTAAAAAGACGTTAAGGCTAAGATTTTTTTTTCTTCTGAATAAGTAGATTCTATCAATATCTGGCAATATAAATCGATTAGTTTGTAAAGAGGATTAAAGTATACCTCATTGAAAGTAACTTGGTTATTGTCTGATAGCACGGCCGAAGAGGCAGAGAAAGAGAACTGAAAGTCACAACTCCTTGCGTGCTTTTGTTGCAGCACACCCTTCTTTCAGGCTACAGAATAACTCTGATTGACATCGGATTGGTGATAGAATACCTCATTGGTGGAGCATATCGCAGCAGCTATACTAGGAAAAGTTTCAGAGCCCTCTACAACAACCTCTACAGGAAACACAAGGTAGATAATTAACAAGTGCCCCTAATGAAATTAAGAATAATTAGAAATTGTAGGTTTAGAAAAATGGTTTGTTATGTTCAGATGTCAATAGCTTCTAACATGGACGTTCTATTTGTGAACCTTTTTTACCTGCTGTATGTAAATACTGTGCTTCGTCCTGGCATGCTGCGATGGGATGAACATAAAGAGCAGGAGTTTAGAAACTTCTAGATGATATAGATTTATGAAGAACTAACCATAATACAAAACAGAACATAATAAGTGATATATTGAGGGCTGGGGTTGTGTCTCAGTGGTAGAGCACTCACCTAGCACGTGCAAGGCCCCGGGTTCGATCCCCAGCACCACATAAAAATAAATGAATAAAATAAAGGTATTGTGTCCAACTACAAGTAAAAAATAAATATTTTAGAAAATAAGTGCTACATTGAGATAGAAGTAATGTGATGAGATTGGACTTGTTAGAGAGAGAAATGGCCAGTTCTTTTTCTCTTTGTTTTCTTTTGAAAATATAGAAGTTAAAAGCTTAATAGGATTAGATCTATAAACTCTTTAGCCCACAGCCAGATGATGACAACCTTGGGATAAACACAGGGATTTTATTGGGAGATGCAAACAGAAATTTTTTAAAAATAGAAATAAACACTTTATTTTCTATCATAGTTTTGAAAATCTAAGAATAAAAGTTTAGAGTTGTTATTTAGTAGATTAGCACAAAAAAATTGCTTGTGTTTTGGAATTTCCATTTTAGACTCTACTGTAGGAGCCGAACTCCTCTGAGAAGATAAGGGCAGAAGAGGGAGTTGGGGGTATTTATGTTGACAGGAGCAGGAGCAGTGAGGGCCTGAGCACTCAGACACCAGAGTATGTTTTTTGCAGTGACAAGGAGACCTTTACTGGAGAGTAAGTGCCAGAGGCACAAGAGATGAGATTTGAAAGGTGGTTGGGATCAGATCATATAAAGAGCCTGGACTATTCAGCCACTTTGGCCCTTTATAAAAAGTAATGAGAAGTGGAAGCTGAACTTGGCTTTAGGACTTGGAAAAAACAGGACAATGCAAAACAGATGGAACCCCAAAACTTACCCAGAAAATTCTCTGTTAAGATTTTAGAGGCATAGGGATGTATTTAGGAGGTACCAGCTATTTCATTAAAAAAAAAAAAATATATATATATATATATATATATGTGTGTGTGTGTGTGTGTGTGTGTGTGTGTGAGTATGTATATATATACATATATAATGTTCTACCAAATATCTATATATATATTGCTGTGAGTTTACCAATGGCAGATATGAGGACTGATTGTAGCCTGTAGTTTTTAAAATGTGTGTATACATATATATATGTGTGTGTGTATGTGTGTGTGTGTGTGTGTGTATAATTTTTTTAGAGACACAGTGATGTATTTAAGAAAGCAGAGACACATTCAAGGGAGAATGTGGACTTTCTTAAGAGTGAGAAACATGGGGAATGGGGATAAAGCAAAGAGTATACATTCAGGGGAGAATGTGGGCTATCTCAAGAGCCAGAAGTAGCCTGTATTTTTATGTCAGTTCTTTTAATATACTTCTTTGTGTTTTTGTTTCTTATTGATGAACACTTGATGCTGATAACAATGACTTATGTTCCTATTGGGCCCAGTCACTGAAACTCTAGATTTAAATATAAATCTAGAGTTTATAGATCTAATCCTATTAAGCTTTTAATTTCTATATTTTCGAGAGAAAACTATATAACATCTGGAGAAATTTCATAACTTTCTAACTTCACTTATTCTTGGAGCCGTTTGTGAATGGGAACTTTTTCTTATCAGAACTATAAATCTTTATTGCCTATTTTGAACTTGTTCCAATGATAGAATATCCATTGATTCTAATGGAATTTCCACATAGAGAAGGAATGCAAATATACAGTAGGGAGCAGAAGAGTGTGTTCTCTAAGATGTTAGAAAGTAGCAGTGTGCTTAATAAGAGGAAGATTATGAGAAGCTCTTGAGTAATTAGACTCCAGGGAGATGAAATGCTAATGATGGATGAGAGGCATAACCATTAGATATTTGGTGGAACATTATATTTATTTTTATATAAAATATATAAATATATATATTTATATTTATTTATTATATATTTTAATTATTGTCTATGAAAAAATATTGTTACCACTATAACTTTCTTTTTTTTCTGTTTTCTTTTCTTAAAAAAAAAATAACAAAATAACTATATATGCCAGAGAACGACCAGCTTTGCTCAAAGCTTCTCCCAGCACCCTCTTCACCAGCGATGTTCTTTGTCAAATAGAAACGAGTCTGCAGAAAACACCTCGCATTCCCAGTTCTTCAGAACTGCCCAGCCTTATAAATTCAAGGTATCACTCATTTATTTTTAGAGTGGACAATAAATTATTCTCTCAGACTGAGATTGTTTCTTCATGGAATGTTGGAGAAAGCAAGGTGCAAATAGAGGAACCATTTGTAAGTGCCTTAAACAGATGGCGCAAGTCAAAAAGCATAACACAGCTGTCCTCTGACAATCAGGAGCAAAGGCCTAGGATATAGCACTGGCAACCCAGTGATTGTCTGGGCTTGCACTTTGGTTTCTCTTTCTTTCTCCTAGCTTTGCCATGCCCAGACGGTGACTCAGGCTGGCAGTCTATGCCATAGTATTAAAAATTTATAATCATTGCCCAACACTACATCCTTGTCTTTCCTGAACCAAGGTTAAGCTGTATGAGGACTGCTTCCTTCTCCTTCAGTGCTCTCAAAAATGCCTTTTTGTGTCTTCCTTTTTCCCTTCAGAGGTTTTCTTGAGATTAATTTAGCCTGTCATTATGGTATAATGATAATTGCATGTGTGTGTGCGTGTGTGCCTGCACATACACAACAACCTTAATATTTCCCTTTGCTTCTTACTTCCTTAATCCCATTTTCTTCTGGAGATAAATGATTTTGCTTAAGCATTTCCATAGAAATATTTGCCATGTTGGATTAAAGAGATTTGCTTTCCAAGGCTCCTGGGATGAACATATATTTGATTACCCTTGGCCATCATTAATGAATACAGATTTCCTTTATTTATGGAAAGAGAGAAAATAGATTAGAATTCTTTTGCTATGATCCCTCAAATTGCAAAGAATAATTACTGAATCGTTATTATATTTCCAAGTATTATGCTGGCTACTAGGTTAAGTTTGGGAAGCAAGTGGGTCAGGAAAGATATGAAGATGACTCAGAAATGGTCCCATTTTTCTCCAGGTTATACGGTAGTACAGTACGAGAGACAATGAAATAAAGACATACGAAGTGACATCTGAGATGAGCTAAGAGTGACCTCACCAGGAGGAGAATACTATTTCATTATTATCCCTAGAGAAATGAAATTAGAATAAGGGAAAGAAAACTTAAAAACAAATCTGTTTTGATGCATGTTTGGAATACTAGTGACATCCACTTAAGGGAAAAATTATAAATCTATTTGATAAAGTGAGGTTAGAGATTTTTAAAATAATTTCCATATTTCCAATATATTATTTCAACATACTTCCTTGAGAAATCAAAAGTTGCCATATAGTTACTGGGTATATCCCAAAAGTAGTTGTGCCATGTGAATTTAAAGTGTCTCAGCTTAGGGACTCTGGATACCTTAAATACAACAAGAATACATCACTGTAGAATGTTTAATTTTTTCTTGCTGGTTATTAAGTCCTATCAATATTTCCATGTCTTGTTTTAAGTGATTTTAAAAATATCTCTAAGATACTTGCTGTGTTATATTAGGTAAAACCTCATCTAGTATTTGGAAATGTAATCCTATTTTGCTTTCCAACAGGAAAAGTCTGGAGTCTCTCATAAATCAAGGAAGAAGTCAAAAGAAAGACAAGACATTACAGATGACCCTGAGTCCACTGGCTTTATTTATCCTTACAATGACCTGCTGGTTTGGGCTGTGCTCATGAAAAGGCAGAAGATGGCCATGTTCTTCTGGCAGCATGGAGAGGAAGCCACAGTTAAGGCAGTGATTGCTTGCATTCTCTACCGAGCGATGGCCCACGAAGCTAAGGACAGCAATATGGTGGACGACGCCTCAGAAGAGTTGAAAAATTACTCAAAGTAGGAGTTACCTCTTTACTTCATACTAAACACGGACAGTTCTTAGAATGGTTAGACACTTTTATCTCCCTCGCCTTAGAACTTATAAGACAAGTAGATTTATTACCATGTCAGTTAGTCAGGATTCTCCAGAGAGACAGAACCAGCAGGCTACGCAGGTAGATACATGAGAGGGGATTTGTGTTGTGTGATTATAGTGGCTGAGAAGTCCCATAACAGGTTATCCATAGACTGGAGACCTGTGGATGCTAGTAGCATGGCTCAGTCCAAGTTCAAAGACTTCGGAACCAGAGAAGCCCCACTGGTAGTACTCTCAGTTCCAGGCTGAAAGCCTGGGAAACTGGGGAGGGTGCCCCTGGTATAAGTCCTGGATCCCAAAGGCTGGAGGGCCTGGACTTCTGTTGTACAAGGCAGGAGGAGAAAAGCTTGGCCCAGGCCTCAGGGAAAGAGACCCATTTGCTTTCTGTATTTGTTCTCCCCAGCAGATTGGGAGAACAAATACTGAGGATGGATGTCCCTGGTCCATTTCAGACTTACAGACTAAGCTCCTCTGGAAACACTCTCATAGACACACCCCAAATAATGCTTTATCAGTTTTCTAGGTATTCCTTAATCCAGTCATGTTGACACCTAACATTAACCATCACATGGTACATTTCATGGACTCTCCTGTTAAAGGGTATGTAGGGATTTTAAGGACCTTTGTGGGATATACGAAAGAGAAGAGGGCTTCAGGTCAGAAAAGCTGGGTCCTAAGTCCAGCTGTATACTAACTGGACAGGTCACTTGACCATATTTCTCGGCTTTAGCTTCCCATCTATAGTTAATGATTTTGAAATGAATGATGTTGAAAATTTTTCCCAAATCTCAAACTCTTTGACATTCAGTGAAATTAAGAGTTGTTTGTAACCTTAAGTATCTCTCATGTTGGGAAAATGAATAAATGTATTGTGTTTAAGAACCAGAGAGTAATGGCAGAAGACAGAAAAGTTGGGAATGTTTTTGATGTTTTGATTACTAAAGTATTGTGGTATTAAGAGGGGAAGCCTAGAGATAACGGAAACTCATTTACAATTGTGATTTAAAATTCCAGAGAATGGCGGTTTTTTCCAAAGGAAACGTCCTCCTGGAAAATCTTCTGACTATGTCTCTAGGTCTAGCTTTTTATTTAAGTCATCCAGGTATCTGGTAAAAATAAAAGAAGAAGGGCTGGGGATGTGGCTCAAGTGGTAGTGCTCGCTTGGCATGCGCAAGGCGCTGGGTTCGATCCTCAGCACCACATACAAATAAGATAAAGACGTTGTGTCCACCAAAAACTAAAAAATAAATATTAAAAAATTCTCTCTCTCTCTCTCTCTCTAAAAAAATAAATAAATAAATAAAAATAAAAAAGAAAGAAAGTTAGAAAGAAGAAAAGTGATTCCACAACATTCCTTAGATGCTAGCTTGGTTTTGAAGTGTTTTTCACCAAATAATTCTCTATTAGGTCTTACCAGGAGTCCCACACCAAGCCTTCTGTAGCTTGTTGCATAGTGTGCACTGACTCCTCCCTGTGAATATGTCAGGTGTCAACTAAATTCCATATGCTACCAGGAAACTCCTCTGAGGTTTTGTTCCTTCATGAAGAGGAGAAAAATCCCTTTCCTAAGCAGCCTTTCCTTTAACTTCTGCAAACTGAGATTCTTCATGTTTCTTAAATAAAGCCTAATTGACTGGTGCTTTTTGAGTCTCCTATCCAATCTTTTAGAACATTTCTGGAGCTCTCCCTTGGCCTTGCATTCTCCGTTCACCACTGTGTTCTTGCAGGCAGTTTGGCCAGCTGGCCCTGGATGTGTTAGAGAAGGCCTTCAAGCAGAACGAGCGAATGGCCATGAAGCTGCTGACATACGAACTCAAGAACTGGAGCAATTCTACCTGCCTGAAACTGGCTGTGTCTGGAGGGCTGCGTCCCTTTGTTTCACATTCTTGTACCCAAATGCTGCTGACAGACATGTGGATGGGGCGCCTGAAAATGAGGAAAAACTCTTGGCTGAAGGTAAATTGACTTTCCTTACAGAGTTTAATGTTGGTTCAGTGGAAAGGTCTATATTCTTGAGCTCCATTTTTTTTTTGTTTGTTCCTGCAAGGAACTCGCAGGAAAACCAGTTGCTATCTTCTCACAGATGAGGCAGGATTTTCACAGGGGCATCTCCAGGGGCATCTCCAAAAACTACTTTGTCTGCCATTGACACAGTTACTTTTCAACAATGGGAGTAATTGAACATGTCCGGTCAAAGACCCATGTGAAGGAGGGGAGAAGAAGTTAAGCAGATTCAAACATGTAGGTGTTGTTATTATTACATGCCACTGCCTGGGAGAATCCTGACAGAAGTAAAGGAGACTTTTCAGGGAAATTTTTCTTAGTTTAAGAATACTTTCTGATCAAACTGTAATTAAAAAGACAACAAAACAAAACAAAAACAAACAAAAAACAATAATACTAACAGAGGCTGGGGTGTAACTCATTGGTGGAGTATACATCCAGCATGTGTGAGGCCCTGGGTTTAATCCCAGCACCAAAATAACAACAAAACAAAACAATAACAACAAACACTAATAGATAGTAAGCTAAGTAAGATTAGCGATGTCTGGCAATTCTCATCCAATGTGCTGTTTCAGGGCCCAGTGACTCTTTTATAAGGCTGCCCTCAAACTCGTTTCTTCACACCAATAACCATCTCCAAATTCTTTGCTCCTCCTTCATCTTAAATTACCAAGAGTAAAATGAATTAAGTAAAAAGGACATTTCACCTTTGACATGGAACCTAAATTTACAGTTTTAGGTTGTGGTCAACCTATAGAATGTGCTTCTGAAACTAAATAGAAGGAGATAAATCATGAATATTAAGAACTACATAAGAATACACACATATACTTATATATACATATATGCATATATATTTTTAAAGAATTTAACCTTTATTTATTTATTTATTTATGTGGTGTCAAGGATCAAACCCAGTGCCTCATTGTGCTAAGCAAGCGCTCTACCACTGAGCTGTTCCCCCAATCCCAGAGAGTCCTTACAGGAAATCATACTAAAACAAAACAATAAAATAAACAACCCAGCAGGAGTTGGGAACGTAACGCAGTGATAGAGTACTTTCTTAGCTTGTGTGAGTCCCTGGGTTCCATTCCAGTACTGCAAAAGAAAAAATAATTATTTAAGCATGACTTCAGTTTTTTAAAACATGAATAGTGGGTAGTCAGGCTTAATTTTATTTTTGCTCACTCAATCCCATAATACCGAGGCTTAATGTTAGCTAAAAACAGGTAGGATTTAGCAAGTGATCTTTATAGCATTTATTAAGTCTTCCAAACACTTCACCTTGAAGGCCATATAAGTTGGACAAAAAACATCTTCTTCTTTGTTTTGGGGGGCTGGGGTGTGTTGGGGATGGAACCCAGGGCCTTGTGCATGCTAAGTAAGTGTTCTGCTGACCTACAGCCTCAGACCTTTTCATTTAATTTTTTTTTTAATTTTTTATTGTGGGTTGTTCAAAACATTACAAATTTCTTGACATATCATATTCCACACTTTGATTCAAGTGGGTTATGAACTCCCACCTTCACCCCATACACAGATTGCAGATTCACATCAGTTACACATCCATTGATTTACAAATTGCCATACTAGTGTCTGTTGTGCTCCGCTGCCTTTCCCATCATCCACCCTCCCCCCTCCCCACCTCTCCCCTCCCCTCCCCTCCTCTCTCTCTACCCCCTCCACTGAATAACCCTGAGGGTCTCCTTCCATTACCGTGCAATTTCCCTTCTCTCTCCCTTTCCCTCCCACCTCTCATCCCTGTTAAATGTTAATCTTCTTCTCCTGTTCTTCGTCCCTACTCTGTTCTTAGTTACTTTCCTTATATCAAAGAAGACATTTGGCATTTGTTTTTTAGGGATTGGCTAGCTTCACTTAGCATAATCTGCTCTAATGCCATCCATTTCCCTGTAAATTCTATGATTTTGTCATTTTTTAATGCAGAGTAATACTCCATTGTGTATAAATGCCACATTTTTTTTATCCATTCGTCTATTGAAGGGCATCTAGGTTGGTTCCACAGTCTTGCTATTGTGAACTGTGCTGCTATGAACATCGATGTAGCAGTGTCCCTGTAGCATGCTCTTTTTAGGTCTTTAGGGAATAGACCAAGAAGGGGAATAGCTGGGTCAAATGGTGGCTCCATTCCCAGCTTTCCAAGAAATCTCCATACTGCTTTCCAAATTGGCTGCACCAATCTGCAGTCCCACCAGCAATGTACAAGTGTACCCTTTTCCCCACATCCTCGCCAGCACTTGTTGTTGTTTGACTTCCTAATGGCTGCCAATCTTACTGGAGTGAGATGGTATCTTAGGGTGGTTTTGATTTGCATTTCTCTGACAGCTAGAGATGTTGAGCATTTTTTCATGTACTTGTTGATTGACTGTATGTCCTCCTCTGAGAAGTGTCTGTTCAGGTCCTTGGCCCATTTGTTGATTGGGTTGTTTGTTCTCTTATTGTCTAATTTTTTGAGTTCTTTGTATACTCTGGATATTAGGGCTCTATCTGAAGTGTGAGGAGTAAAGATTTGTTCCCAGGATGTGGGCTCCCTATTTACCTCTCTTATTGTTTCTTTTGCTGAGAAAAAACTTTTTAGTTTGAGTAAGTCCCATTTGTTGATTCTAGTTATTAACTTTTGTGCTATGGGTGTCCTATTGAGGAATTTGGAGCCCGACCCCACCGAATGTAGATCGTAGCCAACTTTTTCTTCTATCAGACGGCGCGTCTCTGATTTGATATCAAGCTCCTTGATCCATTTTGAATTCACTTTTGTGCATGGCGAGAGAAAGGGATTCAGTTTCATTTTGTTGCATATGGATTTCCAGTTTTCCCAGCACCATTTGTTGAAGATGCTATCCTTCCTCCATTGCATGCTTTTAGCCCCTTTATCAAATATAAGATAGTTGTAGTTTTGTGGATTGGTTTCTGTGTCCTCTATTCTGTACCATTGGTCCACCCGCCTGTTTTGGTACCAGTACCATGCTGTTTTTGTTACTATTGCTCTGTAGTATAGTTTGAAGTCTGGTATTGCTATACCGCCTGATTCACACTTCTTGCTTAGCATTGTTTTTGCTATTCTGGGTCTTTTATTTTTCCATATGAATTTCATGATTGCTTTCTCTATTTCTACAAGAAATGCCGTTGGGATTTTGATTGGCATTGCATTAAACCTATAGAGAACTTTTGGTAATATCGCCATTTTGATGATGTTAGTTCTGCCTATCCATGAACAGGGTATATTTTTCCATCTTCTAAGATCTTCTTCTATTTCTCTCTTTAGGGTTCTGTAGTTTTCATTGTATAAGTCTTTCACCTCTTTTGTTAGGTTGATTCCCAAGTATTTTATTTTTTTTGAAGATATTTTGAATGGAGTGGTTGTCCTCATTTCCATTTCAGAGGATTTGTTGCTGATATACAGGAATGCCTTTGATTTATGCGTGTTGATTTTAAATCCTGCCACTTTGCTGAATTCATTTATTAGCTCTAATAGTTTCTTTGTAGAGCCTTTTGGGTCTGCTAGATATAGAATCATATCATCTGCAAATAGTGATAATTTAATTTCTTCTTTTCCTATTTTTATGCCTTTAATTTCTTTCGTCTGTCTAATTGCTCTGGCCAGTGTTTCGAGAACTATGTTGAAGAGAAGTGCAGAGAGAGGGCATCCCTGTCTTGTTCCAGATTTTAGAGGGAATGCCTTCAGTTTTTCTCCATTCAGAATGATGCTAGCCTGAGGCTTAGCATAGATTGCTTTTACAATATTGAGGTATGTTCCTGTTATCCCTAGTTTTTCTAGAGTTTTGAACATAAAGGGATGCTGTACTTTGTCGAATGCTTTTTCCGCATCTATCGAGATGATCATATGGTTCTTATTTTTAAGTCTATTGATGTGGTGAATAACATTTATTGATTTCCGTATATTGAACCAGCCTTGCATCCCAGGGATGAATCCTACTTGATCATGGTGTACAATTTTTTTGATATGTTTTTGTATCCGATTCGCCAGAATTTTATTGAGGATTTTTGCATCTAGGTTCATTAGAGATATTGGTCTGTAGTTTTCTTTCTTTGAAGTGTCTTTGTCTGGTTTAGGTATCAGGGTGATGTTGGCCTCATAGAATGAATTTGGAAGTTCTCCCTCCTTTTCTATTTCCTGAAGTAGCTTGAAAAGTATTGGTATTAATTCTTCTTTAAAGGTTTTGTAAAATTCTGCTGTATACCCATCCGGACCTGGGCTTTTCTTAGTTGGTAGTCTTTTTATGGTTTCTTCTATCTCCTCAATTGATATTGGTCTGTTTAGGTTTTCTATATCCTCCTGACTCAATCTGGGCAGATCATATGACTTAAGAAATTTATCTATGCCTTCACTATCTTCTAATTTATTGGAGTATAAGGATTCAAAATAGTTTTTGATTATCTTCTGTATTTCTGAAGTGTCTGTTGTGATATTGCCTTTTTCATCCCGTATGCTAGTAATTTGAGTTCTCTCTCTTCTTCTCTTCGCTAGCATGGCTAAGGGTCTGTCGATTTTGTTTATTTTTTCAAAGAACCAACTTTTAGTTTTGTCAATTTTTTCAATTGTTTCTTTTGTTTCGATTTCATTAATTTCAGCTCTGATTTTAATTATTTCTTGCCTTCTACTTCTTTTGCTGTTGTTTTGCTCTTCTTTTTCAAGGATTTTGAGATGAAGTATGAGATCATTTATTTGTTGGTTTTTTCTTTTTTTAAGGAATGAACTCCAAGCAATGAATTTTCCTCTTAGAACTGCTTTCAATGTGTCCCATAGATTCCGATATGTTGTGTCTGTGTTTTCATTTCTCTAAGAATTTTTTAATTTCCTCCTTGATGTCTTCTATAACCCATTGATCATTCAGTAACCTATTGTTCATTCTCCAATTGATGTATGCTTTTTCCTTCCTTCTTTTATCGTTGATTTTCAGTTTCATTCCATTATGATCAGAAAGGATGCATGGTATTATCTCTACTCCTTTATATTGTCTAAGAGTTGCCCTGTGACATGATATATGATCTATTTTTGAGAAGGATCCATGTGCTGCTGAGAAAAAAGTGTAACTGCTTGATGTTGGGTGGTATACTCTATATATGTCAATTAGGTCTAGGTTATTAATAGTGTTATTGAGTTCTATAGTTTCCTTATTCAACTTTTGTTTGGAAGATGTGTCCAGTGGCGAGAGAGGTGTGTTGAAGTCTCCCATGATTATGGTGTGGTGGTCTATTAGACTCTTGAACTTGAGAAGAGTTTGTTTGACGAACATAGCTGCACCATTGTTTGGGGCATAAATATTTATGATTGTTATGTCTTGTTGGTGTATGGTTCCCTTAAGCAGTATGTAGTGTCCCTCTTTATCTCTTTTGATTAACTTTGGCTTGAAATCTATTTTATTTGATATGAGTATGGACACGCCTGCTTGTTTCCGAAGTCCATATGAGTGATATGATTTTTCCCAACCTTTCACCTTCAGCCTGTGTATGTCTTTTCCTATCAAATGCGTCTCCTGTAGGCAGCATATTGTTGGGTCTTGTTTTGTGATCCATTCTACTAGCCTGTGTCTCTTAATTGGTGAGTTTAAGCCATTAACATTTAGGGTTATTATTGAGATATGGGTTGTTCTTCCAGCCATATTTGTTTATTTATGTTACTAAACATGCTTTGTTTTCCTCTTTGATTATCCCCCCGCTTTACTGTCCTACCTCCCACTGTTGGTTTTCATTGTTATTTTCCATTTCCTGTTCCTGTAATGTTTTGCCGAGGATGTTTTGAAGAGATGGTTTTCTAGCTGCATATTCTTTTAACTTTTGTTTGTCGTGGAAGGTTTTAATTTCATCTTCCATCCTGAAGCTTAATTTCGCTGGATACACAATTCTTGGTTGGAACCCATTTTCTTTCAGTGTTTGAAATATGTTATTCTAGGATCTTCTAGCTTTCAGAGTCTGTGTTGAAAGATCAGCTGTTATCCTGATTGGCTTACCCCTAAATGTAATCTGCTTCCTTTCTCTTGTAGCTTTTAAAATTCTCTCCTTATTCTGTATGTTGGGCATCTTCATTATAATGTGTCTAGGTGTGGATCTCTTATGATTTTGCACATTCGGCGTCCTGTAGGCTTCTAGGATTTGGGATTCTGTCTCATTCTTCAAGTCTGGGAAGTTTTCTTGTATTATTTCATTGAATAGACTGCTCATTCCTTTGGTTTGGAGCTCTGTACCTTCCTGTATCCCAATGACTCTTAAGTTTGGTCTCTTAATGTTATCCCATATTTCTTGGATGTTCTGCTCATGGTTTCTTAACAGTCTTGCTGAGCTGTCTATGTTCTTTTCCAGTTGAAATACTTTGTCTTCATTGTCTGATGTTCTATCTTCTAAGTGTTCTACTCTGCTGGTAGTATTCTCCATTGAGTTTTTAAGTTGGTTAATTGCTTCCTGCATTTCTAGGATTTCTGATTGCTTGTTTTTTATAACCTCTATCTCCCTGTATAGTTGATCCTTTGCTTCCTGGATTTGTTTGCGTAATTCGTTGTCGAAGTGATCTTTCATTGTCTGATTTTGCTGTTTAATGTCTTCCTTGATACTCCAGATCATCTGAAGCATGTATATCCTGAATTCTTTATCTGACATTCCATCTGCTGCAGCTGTTACCTCTTCTAAAGTTGCGTTGACCTGCATTGCTTGTGGTCCTTTCTTTCCTTGTCTTTTCATACTGCTTGCGTATCTTTCCTGCAGGTGCGGGCGGCAGCTCTGCTCTCTCCTTATTCCAATTGGGGTGTCGTGGCTACCACGCCAGCAGGTCACTGGGCCTGTTCTGGGAGCTGGTGGCGGCTCTGTTCTGCCCCTACTCCAATTGGAGTGACGAGTGTACCACGCCGGCAGGCCACCGGGCCTGATCCGCCGGTCGGTTGCAGGTTTGCCTACCCTGCAGGCGCGGGCGGCAGCTCTACTCTGCCCCTACTCCAAATGGGGTGACGTGTCTGTCGTACCGGCAGGCCACTGGGCCTGTCCCGCTGGTCGGTCGCAGATCTGCCCACCTTTCGGGCACGGGTGGAGGCTCTGCTCTGCCCCTACTCCAATTGGGGTGTCGTGACTACCCCGCCTGCAGGACGCTGGGCCTGTTCCTGGCAAGGGAGGCGACTCTGCTCTGTCACTACTCCAATTAGGGTGGTGTTTGTACCACGCCGGCAGGCTCCTGGGCCTGATCCGCCGGTCTGTTGTAGGTCTGCCTACCTTGAAGGCGCGGGCGGCGGATCTGCCCTGCCCCTCCTACCACGCCTGCGGACCCCTGGGCCTGATCTGCAGGTTGATCACTGGTCTGCTCACCCTGCGGGCACGGGTGGCGGTTCCGCTCCGCCCCCACTCCAATTGGGGTCACGTGACCACCACACCGGCAGGGCCTGATCCGGGCGTGGGAGAAGGATCTGCTCTGCCCCTACTCGAGTTGGGGTGACGTGTGTACCACACTGGCAGGCCACTGGGCCTGACCCGTCAGGCTGTCACAGGTCTGTTTACCTTGCAAGCGCGAAGGGCGGCTCTGCCCTGCCCCTCCTACCACGCCCATGTACTACTGGGTCGTGGGTCTGCCCACCTGGCGGGTGTGGGTGGCGGCTCCGCTCCGCCCCCTCTCCAATTGGGGTCACGCGGTCACCACGCTGGCGAGCCGCTGGGCCTGCTCCGGGGGCTCGCGGCTGCCCGGCTCCTTCCCTCTGGCTCGAGGACAAATTGAGGAGACTCGGGTGACTGAGCCTCACCCCCCTTACCAGGAGACCAACTGCTTATGTCACCGCTGGTATTGATGAAGATCTCTCCTCCACCGCTTTCTGCTGACATCAGATCTCTGCCATGTTGGTATCCTATGCGAATGGCAGCATTTCGTTCCCCTTGCCGGGCAACCCAAGCAACGGGTGAGTCCTGACCAGCCCTCAGCAGGACCCGGACCGAGACACAGTTTCCGCAGGCTCCTAGCCCCGGTCCAGGGAAGTTCCGGGAGCCGGAACTCGGTCGCTCCGTGCTCGGTGTAAGCTCCTATAAGTGTAAGCTCCAAGAAGCAGCCCCCGCGGGCTCAGTTCCGGGAGCCGGAATTCGGCTTCTTGGTGCTTGGTGTATGCTCTGATAGTAGCAGGGTCCAAGAAGCAGCCTCCGCGGGCTCCGCAGCCCTGAGCCAGGGCGGTTCCGGGACGGTTCCGGGAGCCGGAACTCGGCCGCCCCGTGCTCCGTGTTCACTCCGATAAGATCAGATTTTAAGAAGCACCCAGGCGCTGAACCCTAGCAATCTGTCTGCGAGCCACAGGCGAATTGCAGCCTGAAATTACCTGTTCTATAGCTGAATGAGCTGCGGTCAGTCAAAAACAGGTGTGGTGACGTCAGTTTACCAACATGGTGGCTGCTGGCCTCCTCTGTGGTCTGACCGGTGTGGAGAACCGAGATGGACCGCTTCCTTCCCCCGTCTCGAACCCAGAATTCAGCCCTGAGTGTGGTGCTTGCGCGTCTGGCAGAAACTGCAGCACTGTAACCCTGCGTCTCTATCCCAGCGCGCGTTGCAGACTCTAGCCGCGGGGCGATTTGCTGAATAAGCAGTTTTACCCTCCGTGCGACAAACCTCTCGCGTTTGAGTCCCCGTAGCCGATCCTCGTGCGATGGAAATCCTTCCTCCAGGTTCCGGCGCACCCCACTATTGCTGGAAATTCCTAACAAGATATCTTTTAGCCGTCCTGACTTGTCATACTCCCACACAGTGAAGCAGCACACGGGGGTAATGCACTCCCCTCGCCGCCATCTTCCTTCCCCTCCCTTTTCATTTAATTTTGAGACAGGGTCTCATTAAGTTGCCCCGGCTGACCTTGAACTTGCAATCCTTCTAAGTTTCCCCAGCAGTTGGGATTTCAGGCATGCACCAGCACACAGTTTACAAATAATTGTGAAAAAAACTATTAATAATTTATAAATGATAGCAATATAATGAAAAAATTGGGTCTTACTGGCAGACAATATATTTGTGTAGGATGGGAGATAGATATGTTTTTGTGTTTTTATATTCTTGATTTAAAAATATGAATAAATTCTAATATGTTTTATATGGTAATATATACTTAAAGTTTTTTTAAAATTATTAAAACAATGTATTCATTGAAAAATAATACTTGCATTTCCTTGCCCAGGTCCTGCTGGCATAGTATACTGTATAGTATGTTATACTACATATTTCTAAACTTTAAAATGCATATATGTCTATGATCGTATATTTAAAGTTTAATTTTTTTTTTAAATGGGATCACTGTTCTATGATTTTTTTTTCTTTTTTTGGTCACTCAACAATATTTCCTGGATAATCTTTTCAACATTGTATTTGTCATTTAATGATTGGGTATTACTTTACTTTTATGTTGTTCCGTGCTGGCTGTCAATGTATAGATGAATGTTTAGGTTGTCACATGAGTTTTGTGCTTTTGTAAATAACCCTACAGTGAACATCTGTATCTACATGTTTGTACTCTGGAGTATTTCTTAGGGAAACACTTGTAGAAATGAAATTGCTGAGTCAACAAATATGAATAGAATCAGGATATAAATTGAATTGGGAATGGATCTGATATTTTCTAGACACTTAAAATCTTAGTTTTGTTATCTGAGTGCTACATGCATCTGTGTATCCTTTCTTACTTATTTTATTTTTTTTTTCGCAGATCATCATAAGCATTCTTTTACCACCCACCATTTTGACACTGGAATTTAAAAGCAAAGCTGAGATGTCCCATGTTCCCCAGTCCCAGGACTTCCAGTTTACATGGTATTATGGTGACCAGAACCCCATCAATAGCAAAGAAAGTGCTTGTATGGTCAGTGTGACATAGTAAATTGAGTTTTTATGGTATTGACTGTATACAAATAGACATACCCACAATGTTTATTTATATAGTAATCTGGTAAACAAAATTCCTGTTGCCAGGGATGTGCCCTAGGGTTATGCATTATTCTCAAATGCCTGACTCATCAATCAAGCACATGGTTCTCTTCTGCCTAATTTTTTTTTGTAGTTGTAGATGAACAGAATGCCCTTAGATTATTTGTTTTTTATTTTTATGTGATGCTGAGAATTGAATCCAGTACCTCATGCATGAGAGGCAAGCGCTCTGCCACTGAGCTACAGCCCCTGTCCTTCTTCAGCCTAATCTTAATATTATTATATTGTGGTCAAGCGTGACATATATGAAAGGCCTAATTAACTATGGAGTATTGAATGAAATACTCCATTTCTAATTTTAAGCCCAAATCAAAGACTTTATTATACTTAACGTGTAAGTTTTCATTTACCTTTGCAACTAGTATAGTAAATTGACTCACTATTCTAAGGCAACAATGAAAAATGCCTCATGTTCCTAAAATGCTTGTTCCTAAAGATCTGTGTTTAGAATTTGTGCCAATCTTCCCAGTTCCATTCCACAGATCTTTCCATATGTTATATTCAGTGGCCGAGGGGAGTTATGAGTTCCACATGTGTGGTCTGTCTGAGCTACTTCTGCCACAGCCCATCTTAACTGCAGAGTTTCCAGTATGCTCTGAATATGTTCTTTGCTTTTCATGTTTCTAATTGGGTCATTGCTTATAAAATCATCATTTACTATGAGGTATAGTAATGTCTTCTTAGGTACTTACACATGAAGGAAGTGTCTTTAGAATCCTGTCTGGTGTACTTTTGCATTTATAAAGTATTTTTATAATATTTAAAAATACATTCAGTATATGCTAAGTGAAAATTATTTTTAATTAGTGTTTTATGATTGGCATCTGTTGTATTTGGTTGAATAGCCATTCTGATTGGTTGATGCTTCTGTCAGATAGGTAGTTAACTATTTTAACCATCACTATCATTTGGGTATGTGTGTGTTCCTCTCCCCTCCTTCCTTCTCCCCTTCTTCTTTCCCTGCCCCCTTCCCTATTTCCTCCCTCCTTTCCTTCCTTCCTTCCTTCTGCTTGATAGTCTATCAGGGATTCTTAGAATCCAAGAGGCCAGGTACATTTCAACCTCTGTAGAATGTGTGGGAAGTCATCTCTCACATACCTGAGCTAGTCAAATGTGGCCTCTGCCCCTCTGGGTTTATCATCAGACAGAATGTCCATGATGCCTCACCATTATTCATTTTAAATCATAAATCAGTTATAAAAAAGTATTTCACATATGTGTATTACAAATAACTTATAATCATAGGAACACGTTTTCTTTAATCTTTGAATTTTACTTAAGCAACACTTATTGATTAGCTGACTAGGTTTTAGAATTTTGCTGGGTAAGGATGAGAGCAACAGTTTGTTGGGATATACAAGATTTCATAATGCATATTCAGCCAATTTAATTAATTGAGGAGCATAACTTGCATTATGTATTGTGGGAGAAAACTAGAGGAAGGCAAAAAAAGTAGATGCCTTTGGAGTGCCTTTGAAATAATAAATATAAATATAATGAGAATATGTATAGTAATAGGAGAATGAAGGCCATTATTCTCGTGCTGAAACTATATAGAATCAAATACTGTATTTGTTTTGTGAGGCTTTGTAAAATTCCTCATTGAAATTTGAATGGGCAAAATTACTTTGCCAAGAGAAATTTAAGTTTTCCTAGTTGCCAATCTCTTAAAAGCAGGAATTTGGATGCCATGGGCTGTCTTAGGAATGAACTACAGGAAGAGGCAGAGTGGGCTTACCCATGGAAGATAACCCTCAGCCCATAGCTGAGGGTTAGGGGTTGGTGACAGCTTCATGATAGACGTGATGTTTGAGTTGAAACTTGAAGATGTGGAGAGGGAAAAGAGAATGACAACAGGAAGTGACACAGAGGCAGGAAATAACAAGGCATCAGCAAACTTCACAAGTGCCATTGTTTGTTATGGAGGATATGTAGGCATGGAAGGATCTGTAGGCATGGCTTGAAAAGTAAGTTGAGGTTAAATTGTAGAGATTCTTGTATGCCCTATGAAGGAAAGAGTTATATCTTTATTATACATGTTCTAATTATACATGACAGTGGCATTCATTATGCATGTTCATTCATGCACATAAAGATAATTTGGTTACTTTCATTCCTCAGCACCTTCCCTCTTCCTCCCCTCCATCCTCCTCTGGATCTGCTTGCTTTACTCTATGAATTCCATTTTAATCATTGGAGAACCAGTGAACGTGTATGACTAATAGGAAAATTATACTGCCTGCAGTGCATAGGATGGCTTAACACCAAGACAGGATGAAGGCAGGGAGAACATGGGTCAGGAAGAACACTCCTGTGAGAAGTAATATGGGCATTATCCAGGATCAGTAGCAATAGATTGGGAGAGAAAACGACAGATTTTAATGAAGAGTCAGTTGAGCATGGGGAATGAGTTAAAGGGAAATGGCAAATGTGATTGAGAAATTGGTGGGTACACAAGGAGCCTTGAAAGGGATGCAGGAATGAATGAAAATGGAGTAGGTTTGGAACGGGAGAGATGAACTCAGTCTTAGGTTGATAAATAGCAATTGAAAAAAATTAAGCAGGTTGAATAATCTATTCTACCTGCATCAGGGTTGAGTGTTGTGGTTGTAATTTTATTTTGTGTACTTGCTGGTATTAGAGAGAAAGAGAGTGGAGGAGAGGAACAGAGAGAGGGAGGGAGGCAGAGAGAGAAAGAGAGAGGGACCTGAATGGAATGAACAAGCTAACTAAGCCAAGTATTTTTGTCTCTGCCGTCCTCTAAAGAAAAAAACAGAAGTCATGAACAGAAGTCCCATATTGACTTTCTGATGGCATTTGTTTTTGACAACTCAGAGATAGGCTCAATTGTCACTTTATATACTTTATAGTCCATTCTAAATTGTCAGGAGTAATTCAGGCCTAATGAAACACTTTTAGAAAAAATAAGAGAAGTCATTCGATAGAAAGATCATTACTTAATGATTGATTTCTGGGGTCTTTTTGAAGTGGTATTGGTGTCATTAAATCTCAGTCAATGATGACTTTTCTAATTGGTTTTCAGCCATTTTCACTTGAGGCTTGTTCAAACCTGTTAGGAACCAGGTCAGTTCCTACATCTCTAAGTCACAACCTCAATTCCACTGCACAAAGTGAGGGAAACTAAACAAACAGGCACTAAAGATAACCCATCTGGATGCCCAAGGCCTTGAAAATTACATTTTTGCTGTTCTATAAACAATTCAAACAAAATTTGATTCATTTCTGAGCTTGAAAAATCTTGCTAACCTTGCAGGATAGACATTAGGGAAGGAACTTTTGTGACTAGTTTGAAGGAATGGGTTAGGGTGAGAAGTAGCAGAGAATATTCCTTTCTTTTCTTTTAGTATTACTTTAAAATTATGAAATGAATGCATTTCCCAGTAAAAATTAAAGTCCCATAGAAATAAAGTAGGGTATAGCTCTCCTGCTTCCCTTTTGCTTCTATATTCTCCTTCATCATGACAATTAGGCTACAGGTGCTTTTTTGTTTTCATATCGTTTCTCATGTTTCCTTTTTCAAAAGCCTGCTCTCTGTGGGCATGGGTGTGGTCACACTCAGGTGATCATGTCCCACAGGTTCTCATGCTCATCACCTACAAGTGTTACTGCTTTTAGGCTGACATATAATTTTTAAGAAGCTGATGAAAGGTTTAATTCTTTTCCTAAAAAAACAATATGCACATACAACACAAATACCTGCATATAGTTGCAGGGTGTCCAAGGAACTCCTGAGCAGAGGGCCCGTGAACTCCAGGCTAAGAGCTTCTCAGCTCTAAATACTTGGAAAGCTGCTAGAGGTCAGAATCCTAAATGAACACTGTGGCTGACTTCCCATGATCTGGAGTAGAGGCATTATTGATTTCATGTCCATTTTGTCCTCTTGTATTAAGGAAATAAATGTAACATGTTATTGCTTTTACCAGGAAGTTCCAAAATTACTACTAAAGGAGATTAATCAGAACAGGAACAGCGAACATTTGTAATTCCTTAGAACTATTCTTACTTTGGGTTTGATTACTAGAAATTCAGTTTGCATTTCAGAAATATCCTATGTTCCTTACCTGGTCAAAGATTTATGTAACATATGCAGTTTTCTCTCTTTAAGGCTAAGACTATAATTTGGACAATTCATTTATAATATATCATTTATGATTAAGGCTAAGCCTATAATTTGGACAATTCATTTATAATATATCATTTACGATGTTTTAGATTTCCATACCTGTCAACATTTGAGTTAAGCTGCCTACAAAATGATTTATTATTATTATTAATTATTTTGGTGGAAGTGCTGAGGGTTGAACTCAAGGTCTCATAGAAGCAAAGCATGAGCTCTACCACTGAATTGCACCCTGAAAATTGTTTTTTTATTTTACAGAAAGACTGTGATTTGGAGAGGGGCCCTGATGAGAAAGTGGATGAAAATCAGCACTTTGATTTAACAAATGGGCCCAAAAGCCTTCCTTGGACTAGGAAAGTCTATGAGTTCTACAGCGCTCCCATTGTGAAGTTTTGGTTTTACACGGTTGGTTTCACTACAGCAGTATAAATAGTATTAATGACCATTAGGAGCTCATGGTAAAGTGGACACTGAAGTACCTGATTTTCCAACTTGGGATAAAAGTATAGAAATGCAGGGAAAAAAAAGACAAAGGAGACACAAAGAGGATTGGAGAGGGCATGGGAAGCCAGAGTAGACGTTGGGAAGTTGAGAGCATGTGTATTCTTCTCCCTTAGAGAGTTTGAAGTTAGCACAGATGGAACTGAGCATTTGGAGCTTTGAGAAACAACAAGATTAACAGCAGTGTCTGTAGGATTAAGTGGATTCTTTTCCCATGTGGGGCAAGAAAAATCAGCAGTTGAATCAAGCTTTTCTTTGTAGGAATGCCATTAATATTAATAATAATTGTTTGTGTGACATAGACAAAAATGCAAGTGTTTGTTTTTGTCTTCAACAGCATGTGTGGATAATAAAAAGTTTAGAATCTGAATTGTGCCATCAAATATCAACTCTATTATAGATAGCAAAGATTCAGAGAAAGTGTGAATTAATTAATTAATTAATTAAATTAAATGTATTGAGTGCTTTCACATTGTTAGTAGCATTTATTTTTCTAATGCTTAGTTATACTTAAAATGTTCTTAGCCAAAGTTTTGTATTTCTTAAACATTTGAAGTGTGACTATTAAAAGATATTTATCTAAATGAGTTATATTTCACAATATGTACTTGGCTAACCACACACTTATTTCATATATTTATTGAATAAATATCTAACTCTGAAAGACTTTTATCTGTTTCTAAAAATCAAATCTCACTTCAAAGGATGTGTGTTGAGAGCCACAGCCGAAGGGGCCCCAGGAAACTTCCAGCTGCCAGCAAACTTCTAGCTGCCAACTGATTGGCTCCTCTGCGGTGATGCTCATTGGGTTGTTTCCCTGCCCTTTCAGACCACAGACCTGCTCATTGGGGGACTTTTTTGGCTCCGCCCACATGACCCAGCCAATCGGCCTCAAGAGCAGGAGTCGGGGAGGTTGAGAGGCTTGTGGGAAGCCCGTGGTGGCAGTTGGGCTCTGAGGGTTTTTCCTGAAGAGCTGTGTGGTGCGGTGTGTGTGTTCTAAAAATAAAGTTCGTTTCTTTTAACAAGTGGCTCCTGAATTGTGCCCAGCCAGACTGCGGCAGATATGGTTTCACTACTTTTTTGAATTTGCAAAAAAATATTTGAGAAACCAGTAGGAGCCCTGAGAGTTTCTTTCTTTCTTTTCTTTTCTTTTTTTTTTGTACCAGGGATTGAGTCAAGGGGCACTTTATCATTGAGCCACATCCCAGCCCTTCTTTATATTTTATTTTGAGACAGGCTCTTGCTGATTTGCTTAGGGTCTTGCTAAATTGCTTGGACTGGCTTTGAACTTGATCCTCCTGTCTCAGCCTCCTGAGCCACTGGGATTATATGCATGAGCCACTTTGCCCGGTGCTGAGAGTAGTACCATTATTGAGAAAAGAGTTAATCCCAAAAGACTCTAAATATCTGCATGTTTCTTTCCTTAGAAATTTCCAACCTCGAGAGCTTTTAGAGGGTGGAGGAAAACTGAGCAGTAGATCCAAGTCATCTGGATCTGCCCACCATAACAGATGGTACAAGCAGTGCACTCTAGTGTTTGAGTCTTGGCTCCGCATTGCTGGACTCTGCTGTGTGTGCTGTACTGCATCTTGCTGCAAATGTGATGTAAAAGCAAAAATGTAAACATTTTTGTAGATCACATTTTTCATATTGGAAAGAAACAAAAAGAGTCAAAAGCAAAACCATAAGTAACTAGAGAGATTTAGTTCAGCCTTGTTTTTCCTAGAGGTGAATACTTGGGTTGCTTGCAGCCTTGTAAAAGGTCACTCTAGACTAATGAGCAAATGGACTGAAAATAGCGGATAAGAACCCAACCTGTTCTTAATTAGAGGAACTTGTGCTCCGTATATTAAGTTCAAGCTCAGTATCTATTTGTTGGATGCATTTGTTGTCTTTTTGTTTGTAAATCTGTTACGTTCATATAGTCATACCTACATATGTTAGAAGAAAAAGTATTATGGCTGAAGATGACATAAGATCCAAACCATTCAATTACATTTAACTGAAAGCTTATTGTTCTTTCTGAAGCACAGTACAAAGCACGAGAGGTAGGTGGAAAGCAGGTTGTCAAACATAGTCACTGACCTCCAGAACCTTGCAGTTGAGTAGAGGATACGATTTCTGATTATTAAATGATAAATGATATATATTAAATTATATATAATAATATTAATTATATATTAAATTATATAAATTATTCAAATATAAAGCAGGGGATAGGCAAGTATTAATACAAAGGAACTACAGACAAATGGATGAAATATAAATAATGTATGAATAAAAATACACCCTGGAATAAAAATTAAGGGATTAATTTTTCTGGTTACTATGAAATCAATGATGAAAATGCAAAAAAAAAATATAACTGCTTTGGTAGAATAAATTTATTTAAATTATGTCCCTAGGAAGTCATAAGAGTAGACATTGAGATAAAAGACAAGTATAGAATTAGTTAACTTTACCTTAACTTTTTTTTATATGATTCTGTTCTATAGTTCCTTAACTTACAGGCAGTTAGATCTATAGTGGCTACCCACAAATGCCACCTTCTGTAAATAATATCATTCTAGTGTAGTCAGAAATGGTTTAAGCCATTTTCTTTGTTACCTGTACAGAACTAGACTTAGAACCAGACTTAGAACCAGACTTACCAACTTAGAATTCAAAAAGGCATGAAAAATAAGGATCAAGGTTAAACTAATGTTTCTTGTGAGAACAAAACAGACATTTTTCTCTCTGTGGACTTAGGATTTTTAGAAATAAGTATGGGTCAGCAAGTGCTGTGTCTTCTCTCCAAAGCTGTTTAAACAACTGCATGATTCATAACTCGTTGGTGACAATGTAAATTGGTAAAGCCTTTCTGGTGGATAATTTATTAAGATTTGTCTCAGTTCCAATGTGTGTGCCCAGCTTCTGGGTATAAATCTTAAGAAGATAAGAATACTAAATAAGATTACAAAGCTGTTACTCACTATGTATATTTATGCATGTGTTTATTATGTTTTAATTCATTGAAGAGATTAGAAATCTAGGTATAATATGTAACATGGATTGAATGTCTACCATGTGTTAGACATAGTTCTGAGTGCTGATAAGCCACAAACAGTCTATAGTTACAAGGGATTACAGTTGGGCAAACTTTTCTATCAGCCACAATATTTTAATCAACATAAATTAATATTCCCAGTGTAGTAAATGTCACAACTCATTGTATTTGAAGACACACTCCACTGATGTTGCTCATCGGACATATTTGGCAGACATACTGTCGATGTTTAAATTGAAGGGAGCCATGAGATTCTTCTCTGGCTTGCCGTTAGTCTGCTAGTATCCACATTGGAATGTGCAGGGTACTGGAAATTCCAGTGTGAAGTAAACAGGATGAGACAGTATCCCCTTCCATGCATCTGAGAACAGTGATTTTCATTTCTGCCACCAAATTTTAGACTAGAAAACCATAGATTCTTGTGATTCCCTTGATATTAGGTCACCAATAATTTGAAGGTGGCCCCCGATGTGTTTTTGTGTTATCATGTTGAAATTCATGGCTGTGTTTCTTCTGGACTCTCTGTGTGTCTGATTGGCATCCTCCATGACTGCTGGCACTCACATCCAGGGAATGTGTGTCCCCTCACAGATGGCATATCTGGCATTCCTCATGCTGTTCACTTACACTGTGTTGGTGGAGATGCAGCCCCAACCCAGCATGCAAGAGTGGCTTGTTATCATTTACATCTTCACCAATGCTATTGAGAAAGTCAGGGAGGTGAGTTTTCCTTCTATTTTTTTTTTTTATTAGTTGCTCATGACAATACAATGATCTTGACATATCATACATTTGAATCAAATGGGGTATAATTTCTCGTCCTCTGCTTACCTCTGGTAGAGTTGTTCTCAGGTCTGGTGATGTAAAGGGACAGCTGAGGGTGGGAGAGAGAATATTCTGATACTGATTTACATGCTCCAAGAAGATCCTTGGGGGAAAATTCCCCGATTTTAACCCTTCATCCTTATCAAATACTTTCTGCTGGTTACTGGACTTTGGAAGCAGTTATCTCTGAAGCACTTATCTAAGTCCTAGAATAGACAGGTGATGCATCTAATTGTTATTAACCCTCCAACTATTTGATTTCCATGAAGTGCATATTTTTTGTGGGATTGATTTTTTATGGCCTAGCATTATCTATGTGTTATCAATTTTACATGACAGAGCGGTACGTAAAGGCTGAAGTTGCAGAATACATAAGGAATTCATTTACAGCATTTGAAAGTTCCTGCTAAACAACTTTGAAAATTGAAGCTAAAAATCCCTTTGGACTCATTGCAAGTAGTCTAAGAAACAAAGCAAACAAGCTTTCATTTCTAGTTTGCACTGAGTCACTTAAAAATTAACATTCGTTTGCAGTTATAGCTACAATCACAAATAGACTGTTTTAGATGTCATTGTATATGTATTTCTTTGTCTATGCACTTACATACATTTATTTTGTCCTATTACCATTTGAGCAACATTAAATACTAAGTATAATAATAATCACATATAATAATATGTTATTAATTATAATAATATTAATAACTATAATAATAATAATACTATAATATATAATAATACTATGTATTTTTAGTAATTATACCTATATTGCCTACTAGTTACTTATGTGGTGTTCAAAGATTATAGCAAACAATTCATTATAGAAACATTTGAATTTTTTAGGATTCAGGGAGAACATGTTTGCTTTTACATTTCAGTTTGTAAAGTATTTCAAGGGTGATTTCTTATGATAGTAAGCTCCAACATCATATTCCCACTAGTTTGTTAACAATTCGCTAAATTGCTGTGGTAGGACTAGATTTTTTGGTTTTAATCCAGTATTCTCTGCATTCTATTGATCTCATGGAGTGGAATCATAGTGATGTGGATCCATTGCAATACTGAGTTTTATTTTTATTTTTTTTAAAAAGAGAGAGAGAGAATGAGAGAGAGAGAAAGAGAGATTTTTTAATATTTATTTTTCAGTTTTTGGTGGACACAACATTTTTATTTTTATGTGGTGCTGAGGATGGAACTCAGCGCCCCGCGCATGCCAGGAGAGCGTGTTACCGCTTGAGCCACATCCCCAGCCCAATACTGAGTTTTAAATTGTCTTGATGCTTCTCATCTTTGTTTTGGATCAATGAAAGTTAGAAAAGTACTATTTTCCTTTTTTAAAAAATTTCTAGGGGAGTTTCAATTAACTAGTATTAATGCTAACATTATTAATTTAATTTTTAATTAATTTTAATTAACAAGCATTAAAATATATTTATAGAATTGTTTAATCATTTTTTTAATATTTATTTTTTAGGTGTAGATGGATACAACATAATGCCTTTTTTTTTTTTTTTTTAATGTGGTGCTGAGGATCGAACCCAGATCCCGATGGTGCTAGGCAAGCGCTATAGCACTGAGACACAATCCCAGACCCATGTTTAATAATTTTTTTTTACCTGGAATAACTTTCGTCTCAAATCCCTGTGTGATGTTAGGTTTGGCAGTGCAAAAAAAGATTGAACCAGGACCTTCTGCATGCTAGGCAAGCACTCTACTATTGAGCTGCACCCCCACCCCTCTGCCTCATTTTAAAAAATTTCCCTTTCTTTCTTCTTCAGATCTGTATTTCGGAACCTGGGAAGATTACTCAAAAGGTGAAGGTATGGATTAGTGAGTACTGGAACTTAATGGAAACTGTGGCCATTGGCCTGTTTTCAGTTGGTTTTGGCCTTCGGTTGGGTAGCCCTCCTTTTCACACAGCAGGAAGACTAATCTACTGCATAGACATCATATTCTGGTTCTCACGGCTCATGGACTTCTTTGCTGTGAATCAACATGCAGGTCCATATGTGACCATGATTGCAAAAATGGTGAGTACAGTCTGGTTTCTATATGCAAGTGTTCTTTGTTATGGTTCTGCCTAATTTCATGGTTCATAAAGAATAGTTTAACTTTGGGGATTAGTTCTAGAAGCACAGACAGATCATTTCATCACTGTTTTCTATATAACCACAAGTTCATATTTAATATGAATGATTACACATTGGATCATTTATCCAGATACTCCTTTGGTTAATATGGAATTGAGTCAAATTAGTCTTGGAGCACAATAATTTCTTGTGTTAGATTTGTGTGAGGCTACCACCAAGAATATTTTCTGCTGAAGTGTTAATTAGTCTTTTATCACGCACCCTTACCACACTCAAATATAGTCCTTACTATGGGCCACACACTGTACTAAGTACCTTGTGTATATGAACTTTCTAGTCGTCATAACAACTTTATGGGACAAGTATAATTATTAGCCACATTTTACATACAAGGAATGGAGGTTAAGTAAACTCAAGGACATGTGTAGGGGAGCCAGGATCCCAAAGTCGGCCACCTGGCTCCGTCTGTCATCTGAGCTTGCCGTATAGTTGTGTCAGTTTATTCATCTGACGTTTGGCACATACCCAAGACCATTATTATTGATTTTTCCTTCTAGACCACTTGCTGACTAGGAAGGGGCAAGTTCTGGAGAGTAGGAGTAGTGCTGAAACACAGGAAGGTGACAGAGAAGGGAGAACCTGCAGGAGTCCAGAGACAGATTTTTCTTACTTTTCATTGTTTTCTCTAGTCTTGGTGACATTGGTATTTATTAATGGACTGTATGATGTAACTAGTGTATCTCAATGTCTTAGTACAAGGTCATGGGTCTCTATGCAGTCACTCAGGGGGTACAGAACCCCTCCATTTTGTGGCATAGTCATATCCCATTTGTAGCTTCTAAGGTTTCTCATAGCAGAGAATGACAGGGATAGAGAATCTAATGGCTTTTTACACCTCCGAACAGGAGGTGACCCAAGTTTCTGTCATTCCACAGCCTGTGAGCTAGAATGGGTCTCATGGCCCCAGCCTAATACCAGTGAAATAAGGGGTGTGGGAAAGCATCCAGGTGCAGTGGTGCACATGTAATCCCAGCTACTGAGTCTGAGGCAGGAGTATTACAAGTTTGAGTCCAGCCTGGGCAACTTAGCAAGACCCTGTTTCAAAATAAAAAATAAAAAGGGCTGGGAATGTACTCAGTGGTAAAGTCCCCTTAGGTTAAATCTCTAGTATCACAAAACAAAACAAAAAGTTGGATATTAACTAAAAGCTGCTCACATTTTATATATATTACTGTTTAAAAAAAGAAGCATGTATTCTCTACTCAGCATATTTGTGTGGTTCCATAGATCAGTTTGACTTGAAACACGTACTGTGCAGAGAAAAGGAAATAATTTGCCAAAGAAAATCCAGCTGTTTATAGAGTAGGGCATTTTAGTTAATGACTAGACAATATTATTGATAATGTAATTATGATGGCTGCTAGTATTTATTTTTTTTAAAATTTCAAATCTGTGGTAAAATTCCAGTTGAGCTGTGCTATTTTGCAGGCAGCAAACATGTTTTACATTGTCATCATGATGGCCATCGTCTTGCTGAGCTTTGGAGTGGCGCGCAAAGCCATCCTTTCGCCAAAGGAGCCTCCGTCTTGGAGCCTCGCTCGAGATGTTGTGTTTGAGCCATACTGGATGATGTATGGAGAAGTCTACGCTTCAGAGATAGATGGTACATAGGGGATTTGGCCAACATGCAGAAATTGAACCTTCATAGATACTCAGTTAAAAACAAATAATCTGGAGAGTACTTATCTGAATCTAAGAAGTGCATAAAGTTTGGAATTTTGCAAAGTTCAAGTGCTCAGTGTCTGGGGAGGGTTTTGGGACTGTGGTTGATCATCTCTCTCGCTCATTTACATTCTCTGTGTGTAGTTTGTTCAAGCCAGCCGACTTGCCCTCCGGGTGCTTTTCTTACTCCGTTCCTGCAAGCTGTCTACCTCTTCGTGCAATACATCATCATGGTGAACCTGTTGATTGCCTTCTTCAAGTAGGTGATTTTAATTATATTTGCTTGTTTTATTTAAATATAAGCTGGGGACAAGCATGTAGAGGAGATTTACATGTATGTTGAGAATATTACCTCTGTTTTTGTGTTTCATGTTTTATTTACTGTGGCTTTAAAGCATAGGCACGAAAATCCTGGTAGGAAGGAAGGAGAGCATGTGAGGCAAAGAATCATTATGAATAGAGAGAAAGTGTACTGAGAGCATCATGGGAAGAGATCTTGAGTTGTCATAAAGAGAGTCAGGTTAATGAAAGAGCAATAGTTTATGGGTCCTTAGAGTTCTTAATGCACCTTTTACCCATGGGTCTCAGAATATCTCGTTCTCTCTTTTCTTCTCTCTCATTTTTTACTTTATCTACATCTCCTTTTTATGGTTCATCTTTGTGTCTCTGAGCCAGACCTTGCTTTTCCTTTATGTATGTATTTATTTATTGTGATCTTGTTCAGTTCCCGTGTATCTTGACTCATTCCACTTTATATCTCTAGCCTGGCTCTTATTATACCCCAGTCAGGTAGATTTAACTGTCCTCTTCCATCACTAGTCAGAAATGTAGTAGTTTCTTTTAAATTTAAACTGTCCAGACTCTTGATTCCTCTCTTTCTCAGTGTATACTTACTCTGTTACTAGTGGATTGCAAATCTGTGAGGAAGAACATGAGTTTCTTTTGAAACAATATCTTTTCAGCTGTTTAGAAACCTGCTGGAGTCATTCTCAATGACTGTTGTTATCTCCGTCTCTAAACTGTTAGAAACTGAGATTGAGTCAGCCCTTGCCTGTTTGACCACCCCTCACTACCCTGCTCTTACCATAGAGCCTCCTCATTTAATTTTCTGCTTCAGTCTTTGGCCCCTCTATTCTGTTCTCAACACAGTAGCTCAATTAAAACTCCTTAAAAACATATGTCAGATGAGGTCACTCCTCTGCTCCAGACCCTTGAGTGGCTTCCAATTTTCCTTTGAGCAAAAATCAAAATCCTTACAATGACCTATATGGCCCATGTGATTTGGCTTCCGATCTTCTTAAATCATCCTTCATCCCACTTTTCCCTTTAACTTATTTCTGTTTTAGTCAGCTTGTTTGCCACTGGGACCAAAATACCTGACAAGAACAGCTTAAAGAAGGGAAAGTTTATTTTGGATTTTGGTTCTAGCGATTCAGTCCATGGTGGGCTGACTGCATAGCTCTGGGCCCATGGTGAGGTAGAACATCATGGCGGAAGAGTGTGGAGGAGGAAAGCTGCTCTGTTCATGGTGGCCAGGAAACAGAGAAATAAAGGGAAAGGGGCTACAGGGAAGGACCTCATACCAAATCATATAGCGTTCTCCAAACATACTGGCTGCTCTCAGTTTTTCAACAACACAGATGCATTTACACTATGTTCCCTATGGAGTGCTCCCCCATCACAGCCATGTGGCTCATTCCCTCATGTCCTATTAGGCCTCACTTAGGCATTACAGTTCAAAGTTAAGCCCTCTTTACTCTTCCATATCCTTGGCATGTCTTGTGCCCCTCTTTGTTTTAATGCTCACAAACAGTATAGACATAATCTGGTTTATGTTTTATTTATTTATCATGTTATTCTGTTATTCAGCGCCTCTACTCCACAAGAAGAAATATTTTTCTATATTTTTTTGCTCATAAATTTATCCCAAACACAGAAACGAGCATCTGCTTATTTAGTAGATGCTTTATGAATGAAAGCAAACTAGTGCAGTATTGGCAAAAGGCTGGTATTTTCTGAATGCCTCTTATATGCCAGGCACTCTGCTGGGTATTTTATTCATTGATTATCTCACTGAAGAAAGATAAGAAAAAGAAAATCAGTGCATGGAAGCTAAGTTAAAAAAAAAAAAATTAGAGAAGGTAGAGACTGGACGTAGGCAAAATAAATCATATCTCCCCCAAAGTGCATGTTGGTTTTGCACCTGGGATATAGAGGACATATCTTCCCACTTGTTACAAGACTATATGTTAACTGTCATCTCTCTTAGCCTGGCTGTTTTATGACCGCACTACATTTATTGATATTTAAGTATACTATGGCTATTTTTGATATCTCATATAATATTAAAATAGGATGTAAGATTTTTGTTTCTCAAACATGTTGGGTGTCAGCCGGGCACCATGGCACACACCAGAAATCCCAGCAGCTCGGGTGGCTGAGACAGGAGGATTGTGAGTTCAAAGCCAGCCCCATCACTGAGTGATAAGCAACTCAGTGAAACCCTGTCTCTAGATAAAATTATAAAATAGGGCTGGGGATGTGGCTCTGAGGCTGAGGGCCCCTGAGTTTAATTCCTGATACCCCGCCCCCCAGCTCCTGCCCTCCCCACTATGTTGGGTGTCAAAAGAGAGGCTGAGAAATCCTCACATGGACCCATATTATAATTTTAGAGATGAACACAAGGAGGACCAAACAAGCTGACTGACCCCCAGATCAGACCACTTGTTCAGGGGCCCTTTAAGGCAATTATAGCAATTATTAAAGTATCTGAAATACACTATGAATGTCGCCATCTGCTGGTGGACAAGCAGTAGTCATGTTTGGACCGACAATTTGTAATAGAGTGGTTCTCACCACTCAAATGAGTTTCTAATTCAGTAGTTCTGGAATGGGGCCTAAGGATTTGCAACTCTGGCATGTTCTCAGGTGATGAGATGCTGCTGGTTCAGTGGCTGCACTTTGAGATCCACTGTGCCAACCCAGCCACCTATGTGTGGGTTGTTCACTGGATGCATCCTATGAAACTTCTCCCATTATCTGAAGCTGGCTTTTCCCAGGATAGTTACAATTCCTTCTCCTTATCATTGCTCAAGTTTAGTTTGCCTGTGCTTTTATTTGCTAAATTGAGCCACTCTACTCAAATTTAACTATGCTGTTAAATTTTGTTAGTTCAAGCAAAATGCTAAGGTGGATATTCTATCATACTCTCCCCCCAAATCATACACTTAAGTAATCAAAGATCATATGTTGTTTTGAATAACTACCATTCACCATTATTTCCATCTTGAGTTTTATAATGTCAATATTTACTGTCTTCCTATTATAACTGATGTAATTTAAGGGAAAATCCAAAGTGACCTATAAAAAAGAGGTGGAAAAGGAGGATCAGAAAAATTGTACTCTAAAGAAAGAATCTAACTGCTGTTGTTTTGGGATCCCACATTAAAACCTTGTTCCTCTCTTTCTACAACTTACAGCAATGTGTACGTAGATATGAAATCCATTTCAAACAAGCTATGGAAATACAATCGCTATCGTTACATCATGACGTATCATGAGAAGCCCTGGCTGCCTCCACCTTTCATCCTGCTCAGCCACCTGGGCCTCCTCCTCCGTGGTCTGTGTTGTCACCGAGCTCCACATGATCAAGATGAGGGTGACGTTGGATTAAGTAAGTTTTTATTGGTGGGGCAGGAGGAAGGAAGAGAGTAAAGGGTGGAGGTCCATGGTGAAGACACATTGGAGCACTGAGAATTAAAATCAAGGGCCCAGGATGAAAGACAGAGTTAATTAACAATAGACTGTCAGCTGGTGTACCTGGTCTAGGTAAATACATTGACCTCATTTTTGGCCCTTTGCCAAGATAAGTGATACTTTGAAAGAAAGGAACAGGTAGGGACAGAATCTGTGTTTGAATGTGGAAAAGCTTTCTGTTATCTGGAACCTGTGTTTTCCCTGCTGACCTGGTAACTCACTGAAGGAACTCCTAGGGAGTCGTCACCTGATCCTTACTCATTTCCCTGTTGTGGAAGGTGGAATTCAAATAGAAAGCCATTCCAGAAGGCCTTGGGGTCGATGGAAAATACAGAAGCAAGGCTTTGCTTAACTGATTAACTAGAGTTCTGGGTCTCTGGTTCTGTCATCTGTGGAGGATGAAAGGAGTTCTGAAAGGGATATTTCTAATTTTTAAAAACTTCAATTCAGGATGCAGAAATATGGAATTATGGGTTCTCACTTTTTGTTCTTCTAGAGTGCAAATCTACATATTTGGACATTTTTCTAGTTCATCTTGTTTAATTGTTTAGTCTAATTAAAATTTTTTTTTTCTTTTCATGGTGCTGGGGATTGAACCCAGGCCTTCCAGCATGTGTAAAAAGCAGTCTACCACTGAACCACACCCTCTGCCCTTCTTTGCCAAATCATGACTATGATATGACAGCCACTCACTGTCCTAAGAGAACACTGTTCATTGTGCTGTACAGACCCTCTCTGATGCCTGTCAAAAATCCCACAGTTGGTACCAGGTCCATTTCTAGGTTAATTCCTACACATAGCAGTCAGTGACATAAAGTCACGATACTTTATCCCAATTCCTTAATCCAGAATACTTCTGAAAACTGAAAGTCTTAATTTTTTTTTAATAAACTGGGGAAAATTCATTTGGCCAGAAAAGGTCCAGAAGAGGGAACTGCAGTATTATTATTCGTTGATTTTATTGTAGAAATAGTAATGTTTTGATTTTGAGGAATGTTCTAGCCTGAACTAAGGAGTTCACATTATTTATAATGTATATACCATGTTACTTTTCTAAAACTAAAAAAGAAAAAAATTTGAATTATATTGCAGATAAGGGATAGTGGACTATTTATATTAATAGGGGGCCATATTGTCCCCTACAATGTTGCTATGGGGTTGAAAGGTCATCATACTCTTTCGCTAGTTGTAGCTGGTTCTGTGAAGTACTTTCTTTCCTCTTGAGTCACTTTGAAGATTTTTAAAAAAATTTTCTTCCCAATAGATTTAGCTTTTAGAAGGAAGCCAAGGCACAATTGAAATTAAGTTGGAGCCTTATAATTATACTGTAAATTTTAGGCTTCTAATAGAGAGACATCCCAGGCATTGGCTGCAGAACCATTGCAACCTAATAGGGTGTGAGCCATTAAAGAGATCCCGGAATTGGTTAGGCTTTGCCCAGACTTTCTGGTGTCCTATAAAAGAGGCTTTCCTGGGCTTACTGTTATCATGGCTTACAGGACAATTCCATTAAAAAACTCAAGTAAACTTTTCAATTGAAGGTGACTTTGACCCCAAGCTGTGGAACATTTTCATGGTGTTACTTCCGATTCTTTGTACAGAGGATAGAGACATTTACACACGGGGCAGCAGTGACACCTGGCGGATAGTCGTAGGAATGCTCCACATTTGCAAGGTGCATCCATCTCTGAAATTGCAATTTTAATAGTTTGCTTCCGGCGTCCACAGCAAAGACTCACATCAGAACAGTTTTTTTAAATTTTCTATAGCCTGTATATTTATTATATAAGACTACATAACACGGAGATAAAATGAAAGATAAAAATGATATAGTCCCAAATATCAACATGGTTATTTCTTTTTAAACATTTGCTTATTTAGATTTCTTAAAGGCTCTGCAGTCAGCATGTATTACCTCATATGAAAAGTTAGAGAAGTGAAAATTAACTATTCTTTCAGACTTCCTTCCTTCTGCTTCTACTATGTTCCTTTGCCATCTACAGGAAAGGCCTGTGAGAGTATTATTTTTTTCTGAACCATTTACCTTCTTTCCCAGTTTTCACGTAGTATATGGTACTTAATAAACTATTCTCTGTAAAAATCTCTTCTTTTTAGTTACACATGACAGTAGAATGTATTTTGTATATATAATTTTATATATACATAGAGTATGACTTGCTCTATTTAGGATACTACTCTTGTGTTTGTACATGATATGGGTTACCCTGGTCGCGTATGCAAATACAAGGCTAGGAAAGTTATGTCCTATTAATTATACTGTCTTTCCTATTTCCCTGACCTCTCCCTTCCCTTTTTTCCCTTTGTTTAATCCAATGGATTTCTGTTATTCCCCTTTCCAACCCTGCTTGTTTTGGGTTAGCATCACATATCAGAGAGAATATTTAGCCTTTGGTGTTTTGGGACTGGCTTATTTCACTTAGCATCAGATTCTCCACTTCCATCCATTTACTAGCAAATGCCATAATTTCATTCTTCTTTATGGCTGGGTAATATTCCATTGTGTATATATACCACATTTTATTTATTCATTCATCTCTTGAAGGACACCTAGGTTGTTTCCATAGCTTGGCTATTGTGAGTTGAACTTCTATAAACATTGATGTGTCTGGGTCACTGTAGTATGCTGATTTTAAGTCCTTTGGGTATAGACCAAGGAGTAGGATAGCTGGGTCAAATGGTGGTTCCATTCCAAATTTTCTAAGGAATCTCCATACTGCTTTCCATAGTGGTTGCACCAATTTGAAGCTCCATCAATATTGTCTGAGAGTACCTTTCTCCTCACATCTTGGCCAACATTTCTTATTACTTATAGTCTTGATAATTGTGATTTAGATGGTAGTGAGGTAGAAGCTCAGTGTACTTTTAATTTGCAATTCTCTAATTGCTAGAGATGTTGAAAATTTTTTCATTATTTTTTGTCCATTTGTATTTCTTCTGTGAAGTGTTTGTTCAGTTCCTTTGCCCATTTATTGATTGGGTTATTTATTTTTCTGGTGTTGAGTTTTTTGAGTTCTTTGTATATCCTGGAAATTAATGCCTTGAACATTGATGCAAAAATTCTCTATAAAATACTGACAAAATGCATACAAAAACACATCAAAAAGATAGTGTACCATGATCAATTGGGGTTCATTCTAGGGATGCAAGGTTGGTTCAACTTACAGAAATCAATAAGCATAATTCACCACATCAATATATTTAAAGACAAGAATCACTTGTTTATCTCAATAGATGCAGAAAAGCATTTGACAAAATTCAGCATTCATTCATGTTCAAAATATTAGAAAAACAAGCGATAATAGGAACATATCTCCATATGGTAAATGCCACATGTGCTAAACCCAAGGCAAACATCATTCTCAATGGAAAAAATTTGAAAGCATTCCCTCTAAAAGCTGGAACAAGATAGGAATGCCCTCTTTCACTACTCCTATTCAACATAGTCCTTGAAACTCTAGCCAGAGCAATTAGACAAAAAAAAAAAAAAAAAAAAAAGAAAAGAAATTAAAGAGATATGAATAGGAAAAGAAGAGTTCAAACTATCCCTATTTGCCTATGACATGATTATATATTTCGAAAACTCTATTGGAAAGCTTCTAGAACTCATAAACAAATTTAGCAAAGTATCAGGGTATGAAATCAACTCCAATAAATCAATTGCATTTCTATACACCAATGATATATTAGCTGAAAGAGAAATCAGGAAAACTATTCCCTTTAAGATAACCTCAAAGAAAAGTATTTGGGAATCAATCTAACAATAGAGGTGAAAGACCTGTATAGCGAAAACTACAGAACACCAAAGAAAGAAGTTGAAGGAGATCTCAGAAAACGAAAAGATCTCCTATGTTCCTGGATAGGCAGAATTAATATTATTAAAATGGCCATACTACCAAAAGTGCTATGCAGATTTAATGCAATTCCTATTAAGATCCCAATGATCTTCTTCATAGAAATAGAAAAAGCAATCATGAAGTTCATCTGGAAAAATAAGAGACCCAGAATAGCTAAAGCAATCCTTAGCAAGAAGAGTGAAGCAGGTGGTATCACTGTACCAGACCTTAAACTGTATTACAGAGCAATAGTAACAAAACCAGCATAATATTGCCACCAAAATAGACTTGTAGACCAATGGTACAGAATAGAGGACACAGAGACAAACCCACATACCTACAGTTATCTTATTTTAGACAAAGGCGCCAAAAACATACATTGGAGAAAAGATAGCCTCTTCAACAAAAGATGCTGGGAAAACTGGAAATCCATATGCAACAAAATGAAATTAAACCTGTATCTCTCATCATGCATAAAATTCAACTCAAAGTGCATCAAAGACCTAGGAATTAAACCAGAGACACTCCACCTAATAGAAGAAAAGTAGGCCCAAATCTCCATCATGTCAGATTAGGCCTGGACTTCCTTAATAAGACTCCTGAAGTGCAATAATTAAGATCAAGAACCAACAAATGGGATGGGAAGAAACTAAAAGTTTCTTCTCAACAAAAGAAATAATCAGTGAGGTGAATAAAGAGCCTACATTTTGGGAGCAAATTTTTATCACATGCACATCAGATAGAGTACTAATCTCTAGGATAAATAAAGAACTTAAAAATTTCAACCTCCCCAAAACAAATAACCCAATCAATACATGGGCCAAGGAACTGAACAGACATTTCTCAGTTATACAATCAATCAACAAATATATGAAAAAATGTTCCACATCTCTAGCAGTTAGAGAAATGCAAATCACAACAACTCTAAGATTTTATCTCACTCCAGTCAGAATGGCAGCTATAAAAAATACAAACAACAATAACTGTTGGTAAGGATGTGGGGAAAAAGGCACATTCACACATTGCTGGTGGGACTGCAAATTGGTGCATTCAATCTAGAAAGCAGTATGGAGATTCCTTGGGAAACTGGGAATGGAACCACATTTGACCCATCTCTCTCTCTCCTTGGTCTATACCTAAAGGACTTAAAAACAGCATACTACAGGGACACAGGCACATCTGTGTTTATTGCAGCACAATTCACAATAGCTAAACTATGGAACTAACCTAGATGCCCTTCAGTTGATGAATGGATAATGAAAATGTGGTATATATGCACAATGGAATACTATTCAGCATTAAAAGAGAATAAAGTCATGGCATTTGCAGGTAAATGGATGGAGTTGGAGAAGATAATGCTAAATGGATTTAGCCAAACCCCAAAAAACAAGTGCTGATTTTTTTTCTGATTTAAGGATGCTGATTCATAATGGGATTGGGGGTGAAGGGAGCATGGGTGGATTAGATGAACTCTAGATAGACCAAAGGGGAGAGAGGGGTAAGGAAGGAGAATAGAGGTAGGAATGACAGTGGAATGAGATAGTCATAATTACCCTAAGTACTTGTACGAAGACATGAATGGTGTGACTATATTTTATGTACAACCAGAGATATGAAAAATTGTACTCTATATGTGTAATATGAATTGAATGCATTCTGCTGTTGTACATAACAAATTAGAATAAAAATTGGAAAAAAAGAAAGTATGTTCTCTATATAAATCATTTTCAAAGAATAAGTGGGAGAGACTCAGCCTGGTGTTTCCACTCTTTCTTTTTTTAAAAAATTTTTATTTGTTCTTTTTAGTTATGTATGACAGTAGAATGTGTTTTGACATATTATACATACATGGAGTATAGCTTCCCATTCTTATGGTTGTACATAATGTGGAGTTACAAATGGTCATGTATCCAGCTGCTTTTGTGTAGTACTTCTCCATTAATATTAAGAATACAATGTGACAATCTTTTATCATACAAGCTACATTACTATCATTTTTATTTTTAAAAGTATTTGTTTGTTGATTTTTGTGGTGCTGGGGATTGAACCCAGGCGCTTGCTTATGCAAGGCATGTTCTCTACCCCTGAGCTACACACCCAACCTAGTTCGATCATTTTTAATACAAATGAAAAAAAACCCTCATATCCTTTGTCCATTTTGTGTGTTGCTGTTGCAAAATACCTGAAACTATTTCTGAAGAAAAGAAATTTACAATTGACTTTGTACTAGTTTGTACTTTAAGTCTCCCCTTTTACGCAGATTTTATTTTTGAAGATTTGTGACAATTTTAAAAACTTGAAGACATTTTTACACAGTAGAAATATCAAGAAAATGAAGAAAAAGTTATGTCATGAATACATAAAATAGGTATAGAAAGTTATCTATTTTATCACTACATTAAAATATACACAAAATATTACTAGTACAAATTATGCACAAAATTATATAAAAACTAAAATTTATAGAACAGTTATGGTGCCAGAGTAGTTATGGTACCATTTGCAATCAAGGAAATTTAAACAAATGTAAAGATGCAGCATTAAATCACAACTACATAACAGTAACTGTGCTACACACTATATTATTGTTATTATCTTATAGCCACCTACTCCTGTTGTGGTGAGCTCAAGTGTTTTAACTATCTACTTAAAATGCATGAAACACTGATTATCACACGAGCAGTTCATCTTTCCAGTAAATTGCTTATCATAGTAAAAAGTGATCTCTCACAGTTCTTTCAAAATTTTCACAATATATCATACAGAACACGTATTAATCATATATTTGGTTAGACTGTCAACTGAAGGCTATTAGTAGTTAGGTTTTTGGAAAGTCAAATGTTATATGTGGATTTTTGACTGCATGGGCCTCAGTGCCTCTAACCCTCATGTTGTTGAAGGGTCATCTCTATTTAGTAGGTGGCTTTGGAGGCTGAAAATTCAAGATCAGGTGGCTCCATCTGGTTGGCCTTTAGTGAGGATCTTGTAACATGGTGGATGACATCATGTGGTGGGGATGCATGGAGGTGGTTAGGTACACACGGAAAGACAGGAAGCAAGGGGTAGAGGTCCAGGCTTGTTCTAACTGGTCCTGTGAGATCTACATTAATCCCTTCCAAGGATGGTGCCCCATAGTCTGATCATCTCTCAAGGGTCTCACCACCTCAGCAATACCGCACTGAGCCCCAAGCTTCCAGCACATGATCCTCTGGGAGACACACTCAAGCTGTATCCAAACCACAGCGTACCCTGTATTGGCTTCCATTAAAGGAAAGAATAATCTTTTTTTACATATAAAATTTATCACCACAGAACTCTACCTGAGTAAGGAAGATCTGAAAAAACTTCATGATTTTGAAGAACAATGTGTGGAGAAATATTTCCATGAGAAGATGGAAGGACTGAACTGTAGCTTTGAGGAAAGAATCCGAGTGACATCAGAAAGGTAAAGTGTTTATCTCTTCAAAAATTCCCAAAGCCTGATTCTGTTAGAATATCTAAAAGAGTAGAAAGATCCACTTTAAAATCCCAGAAGTTTGAGTTCTCTACAATTTGAATCATTTTTTTAGCTTAGGCGATTTATGTAATTGATGTGTATTTACCGAGCATCTATTATATCTCTCAGGTACTCTTCTCATTTCTAGGAATAAGTGGAGAATAAGAGACTGTCCTCTTCGAGGACTTACATTCTAGTGTATGTATGTAGCGGGAGAGGGATGAAAGAAATGGAAGATATAGACAACAATAAAAAAGCAAGGAAAACATAATTTAATATTAGTAAAAGAGCTATGAAGAAAAATGAAGCCATTTAAGGGAATAGGAAATGATGGTGGTGTGAGGTCTCTCAGAGTTGGGAGTGTTGGGTTGGACTGTTGTAGATAGCCTTGTTCAGGAGGGTCACTGGGAGGAGTTTGAGGAGAAGCCCAAAGGAAACGAGAGGAGTGGGCCAGGCAGGGCCACCTCATGGAACAATGAACTCCACCAAAAGAACACGGATGTAGCCACCTGGGTCCCCAGGGGTGGAGTGCAGTGTGGTTATGAGGAGGCATGGGGTCTCAGGATAGGCAGCTGCCTGACCAGCAGTTGGGTGGTGGAGCTGGTGGCAGCCTGAGGAGCCCTGGAGACAGCCATGACAGACAACGTTTGTTACAAGTTTCTCTGTGAAGGGAATCGAGATGGAATATAAGGACATGATGAGCTCCTGGTGTTTTGTTTCATGAGGAGAAAAGAAAATAAATAAATATGGTCCTGGAAATGCACCAGCAAGGGAGAAACTGCAGAAGCAAGGAGGAGGCAGTTTGCTGAAAGGAAGTCCCTGAGAAGCTCGGTTAATGGAGGACCCAGGCTTTTCCCCCAGGAAAGGAAACGGGAGAGAATATGGCTGGTGCACCTGAGGAAGCAAGCAGGGTGTGGGCACACAGCTCTTGAGGCAAGGCCATTGGCCGAGAGTACTTGTGGGTATGTGTATTTTGGGGAGAGGATGGTGCTCTTGGGAGATCATTCAAAGATTAGAGGAAAAAGAGAAAGATGCCTTGGAGAAAGTGGATACTGAGAAACCTGATGGCCTCCAAGGCATTGCGGGTGTGTTACCGGTTGCAGATGCCTGGCCTGTGTTAAGATGTGGAAGACTGTGTGTGACTATATACATTTTTAAAAACAGAATTGCTCTGTGTTCCTTCATTTAAAAAAATGTAAGAAACTAGTTAGGTGTGGTGGTGCATGCCTTTAATCCCAGTGGCTCAGGAGGTTGAGGCAGGAGCTTTGCAAGTTCAAAGCCAGCCTCAGCAACTTAGTGAGGCCTAAGCAACTTAGCAAGACCCTGATAATAAAATATAAAAAAAATAAAATATAAAAAATAAAAATATAATACAAAATAAAATATCAAAAAAGCTGGGGATGTGGCTCATTGGTAAGGCATCCCAGGTTCAATTCCTGGTAGCAAAACAAAACAGAACACCACAAAACAATAACAGCAATGAAACAAAATAAAATATACAAGAAACCGACTACAAAATGTTTAATCTAATTCTGCATATATTTTTCCATCTATTTTAGATAGATGTGAATTCTTAAATATAACTTTATTTAAAGCTGAATCATATTATGAACTTTCTAAATGGCTCACCACAGGCAAAAGTTCTATTTATATGATTCTGTACTTTTCTATTGATACCATATTTATGTAAATGTGTTTATGTAGCTGATTGAACTTCAGGTCTTCAGAAGATGGGTCCCACAGCCTGGCCCAGGTAGTGGTGGTGGGAGAGAGTGAAGAAAATCAGAAAGGACAATTCGTGAGGCATGGTGGGGACTAGAGGAAGCCAATGGAGAGGATGGGATCCAGGATGACTGACTCTGCGGTCTGTCACAGAGGTAGTCAGGTGAAAGGTGGCACCACCAAGATAGAGCATACACAGGTGTAGGAAAAAGCAGCTTAGATCTGTGGAGCTTGAGATTCTTGGGGCACATCCAGCTGAAGATGTCCAGGAGGCTTTGGATGAATGGATCTGAAGCCCTGGGGCAAGTTGGAATTGGACAAAGAGATCATCTAACTCTTGGGAGAGTTAGTTGTAGGAGTCACCTGCTTGTTGTTGCAAACAAAAGGAATGAGGAAGCTCATTATAGGGGAAGCTCTAACTTGAAAACCTCATCCATTTTCCCTCTTGATGGAGTTGTCTTAACAGCACAAATTTTACACTGTCCTCCTTGCTGAGGTCATTTCTGGGGAGCACATAAATAAGGTGTGGGAAAGAGAGAAGAAAATTTTCTGAGGTAGCTGAGCCATAGTTTGAAGAGCGAGAGAAAGGAGATTAGGGGCCCAGTCATGTCTGCCTGCCTCTAAAGAAGAAACCACCTACAGCCTTCCAGAATGAAATAAGTTATGAACGTGGAACGAGAGCGTGCATTAGGGCCCTGTGCTGTCTTGCACACCTTACGTGGAACACCAACTTCCGTGGTGACCTCAGTCGTGCAAACTAGCTTTTCTTTTTCTTTCTGTTCTGTGGAATAATATTTTTCATATTAAGCATGTTTCATGCATTATATTTGGGAAATCCTGGGGTTCCTAAAAAATGTAAAAACTCTGTCATATTGTGCATTGTGACTTAACTTGTAGGCTTGTAGCTTGAACACCTCTCATCATTATTTGACCACAAAACCTTATTGAGGAACATCCGTGAACAACTCCCCAGCATGGGAAGAGTTGGGGACCCTAGGGCCTCCAAAGAAATTTGCCTAGATCCTGAATGAGTCTCTGAGTAGTTCTATACTGAATGCTCTGGCAATGGAGTTGCATTGTCTGAATTTGATGCCCAACCCTGTGACTCTGGATATGTGAACTAACCTCTTTTCCGTGAAAGGGATAATAGTCCCACCCACCTCAGAGTTGTTATGAGGGTGAAATGAAATAGTACGTGCAGAACCTTATAAAATGCTTGGCACCTGGTGAGCATGCGGGAGATATTATGATTATTATGATTATAATTATACTTGTTATTATCTCATTTTAAAATATCCTGTCCAAAGGCCCACAATAAAAGTTACCATCCTCATCTTTCCTCCACCCTCAGACTTTGCAAAGAGGAATCTAAAATGATAAGAATTTATTTTATGTGTCAGAATGACTGAAAGGCTAGATTAAATTAATGTAGTTGGTGGTCCAGGATTATAATTAAAATATGTTTCACAGGACATTGTGCTTTAGGAAATAAGTACCTGTAAAAGCAAGAAGACCCGATTTGAGGTGACCAGGTTATTTGTCTAACAGGTTTCTATTGTAGCCTGCTACCTGTTGCTGTGAATAGTTGCTGGTTTCTATTGTATCCATTTGATGTAGCTGCAGCTAATGGAACTTAATGAGTCTCCATTACTGCTATTCAGACTGTACTGTTTTTGAATTAGATGAAACAGTGTGCTGGGTGGGAAGGCTCCAATTAAATATATTTGGAAGGGAATATACATACACTTTGTGATCATCCTTGCCAATTCTAACTTTGCAGGTTCCAGAAGGTCAGGAAGCATTTATTTAGCCACTATTGAGTTATAGAAGTTGAATTCTATAGCAAAAGCAAGAAAGAGAGGGTTCTAACCACATAGAATACAATAAGAATGGAAGAGACCACCTGCTTGATTCTCTAATTCTTTTCTTCGAAGCTCCCAGGAAGAAGAGGGTCTTTCAATCCCTGTGCCTTGAGATGTGTTCTAGAGGTAGGGAGTCTAACGCTATTTTGGGACTTTCTTGCTACAGCTGAGCGTTTCAACTCCCCATGGAGTGATCTCTGCTTCTCCCTGTCCCACATAAGACTGAGGATCATTTTTTTTTTCAATAACTGCAGATGGTCATATGAGCTGTGAAGCTGTTGGATATATTTCCTTCCTTGCTGTTTTTTACTTTAATTTTGTTTATCAAAGATTTTCATCATTGAGAATTTGGAACTGTATCCCTCATCCCTACCCCCAAATAAAAGAACAAAATGAGGGAAGAAGACAAAGAAAAAACACTGTCATAATCCAGAGCTCTCTGTAAAAACTTTGGCCCCTTTCCCTTTAGTCTTCTAAAATATTTTCAGTTAAGATTGTACCGTATTGTTTTCTATTTATTTCCCTCCATATCAAAAATCTGTTCTGCAAGTAATTAGATATTCTTTGTAAATATGTTTTAGCTTTTATTATTCCTTTACTTATAAAATTTCATGCCAAATTTAAAAACACACAATGTAGAATATAACAGACATCTACAGCCTGGCCCCTGCCATTAGAAACAGCTAAACAATTATAGATGTCAACATCCATAAGTGTAATTTTTAATGGCTACATAATATGCTATCTCATAATGTAATGAGTATTTATGTGCTTTAGCATTGTGAAATTATAGCCTCTTTATAGATATTGTATCTCAATATTGGTTTGTCACTCTTGAGTTGTTTTAATTTGCTAAGTTAAAACAAATGTTGTTACAGTGTAGATAAAGTCATTGTCATCTTAATTTTCATCTCTGATTTCCTGGTGAGGTTGATTATTTCATCATGTTTTCTAACTTTTCATTTTATATTTAGTAAATTATTTATTCATGTTATTTGGAGTCTTTGTATGTTTTCCTTCAACAATTTTCAAATGTTTTGACTTATTGGAGGATATGAATGCCTTTATCATATTTGTTAGAATATCAATTTTCCAATTTATTTTTGCTTTAAAAATTTTTTAGGGGGTGGTACCAGGGGTTGAACTCAGGGACACTCAACCACTGAGCCACATCTCCAGCCCTATTTTTTATTTTATTTAGAGACAGGGTCTCACTGAATTGCTTAGCACCTTGCTTTTGCTGAGGCTGGTTTTGAACTTGCAATTCTCCTGCCTCAGCCTCCTGAGCCGCTGCGATTATAGGCTTGCACCACCTCGCCCCACTCATTTTTGCTTTAAAATTTTGTATGTTATTTTCACATCCAAGTTTATTTTATGTAATCAAATTATATATATTTTTAAAGTTTGTTTTATTAATTGTTAAGCTTTGTAACTGTATTAGTTTCCTAGGGCTGCTGTAGGAAAGTACCAAAAACTTGTTGTTTTACATCAACAGAAATTTATTGTCTGACATTTCTGGAAGCTAGAAGTCCAAAATGAAGATATGGCAGGACCATGCTCTCTCTAACATCTTAGGAAAGAGCCCCTCCTTGCCTCAGTTTCTGGTGTTTCTGCTTGGTGTGTGTTGCATCACTCTGGTTATAGCCATCTTCTCCCCATGTGCCTCCACCTCCTTTTTCCTGTGTGTGTGTCTCTGCCAGGATTTCCCCCATTTTATCCCATATATATGGGGGAAATATAATATAATATAATATAATATTTTATATATATATGTTGTAGATGGACACAATACCTTTATTTCTTTTATTTATTTTTATGTGGTGCTGAGGATCAAACCCAGTGCCTCACATATGCTAGGTAAGTGCTCTACCAGTAAGCTACAACTCCAGCCCAGGATTTACCCTTTTTATGTGGACATCAGCTATATTGCAAGAGAGTGCAGCCCAGTGACCTCATTTTAACTTGATCACCTCTCTAAGGATCCTGTGTCAAAATAATAGTTACGTGCTGTGGTGTAGGGGTTAAGACTTCAACATACCTTTTTTCGGGGGGTGAGGGGTTGGTCACAAAATGAAACTCCATAAGAGTTATTTACAGAGACATATACAGATAAATATTGATCAACAGTTTCTTCTTTCTTTCTCTCCCTTTGAATGAAATTGTTACACTTAATTCAACTTACTTTTTTCTTTCATAAGTATACGTTGTGCTGCTTTTATATGAATCAGTGGCTAGACAACATATTTTTACGTTAAATTATTCCAAATAATCTAAAAAATTCGCCTCATACTTTTTCTCAGTGTAGGTGTCCTAAAATGAATTCTGTTTGGAACTTAGAAAGTCTGTTTTAACATACAGTTGGAGTTTTTTCTTTTTCTTTCTTTCTTGATTTTTTTTTTTTTTTTTTTGCCCCTAGTTGTTTTTCTTTCTCTAGTTCCACATCTGATTTTTGATTTGGTTTCTTTCTGCAGATTTCCCATCCAAATTGTACAGTGATTGCCCATGGGAGATGCATGTTTATCATGTAAATTAATGAATAAAAATGGAATGATCAGATAATTGCAGAGATCACTAGCAGGAACCTGGAAATGTGGTTCTGAAATATTTGAAAGAGATCATAGATAAAAATGCAAATGTGCAGTTTTTCCTTATTGGGGTCATAGTAGGAATCCTAGGAGTGGTGTAATCATCTGGGCTGAGAGAGAAGACAGTGAAAGGCAGATTTAACTTAGGGAAGCAGCTAAGGTTTAGCAATCTCCTAAGGATGGGAGTAAGAGATGAAGAAAGCAAGAAAAATTCCCACTGGTTTAATGTGTTTATTTTTTTTTTTTCTTCACCTCCATTAGGATTACAGAGATGTACTTCCAACTGAAAGAAATGAATGAAAAGGTGTCTTTTATAAAGGACTCCTTACTGTCTTTGGACAGCCAAGTGGGACACCTACAGGACCTCTCTGCCCTGACGGTGGATACTCTAAAGGTCCTTTCTGCTGTGGACACTTTGCAAGAGGATGAGGCTCTCTTGACCAGTAGAAAGCATGCCACTCGCAGAAAACTTCCCCACAGCTGGAACAATGTCATCTGTGCAGAGCTTCTGGGCAGCATGGAGATCCCTGGAGAGAAGAAATACCAGTATTATAGCATGCCCCCTTCCTTGCTGCGGAGCCTAGCTAGAAGCCAGCAACCCCCAAGAGTGCAGAGAGGCACCCTTTTTGAGATTAAAGACAGTCAGAGAGAGGCCTCCAATGTAAGGGATGACCAGGAAGAGCAAGAAACAGAAAAAAGTATAGTTGCTTCTGGAGTATCCCCTGATAGGCAAGCATACTCCAAGTGTGGCCAATTTCTCCGGGTCCCTTCTTATCTAAAGCAACTTCCTTTTTCTGCAGAAGCTGTCTTGCCTCTGTCCAAACCAGCTGTGGAAGGAGATGCAGATATGCTGGCAACTGGACAGGTCTCTCAGAATGAGGTCCCTGTTCATCTGACTTGGCAGACCCCCGCTGTCTCAAGCCAGGCAGCAGAGGCTGAACCCAAAGGGCAGATTGAGCCAATTGCTCAGATACCAGCCAGACAAGCCAAGGCCCAGCAAGTTCCGCCCACTTTGAGTTGCACACCTGCACCCATGTCGATGGCCTCTCTTCCTTCCCAAGCCAAGAGCATGCAAGCTGGAGGTGGATATGTGAACTGGGCATTTTCGGAAGGCGATGAAACTGGTGTGTTTAGCTTCAAGAAAAAATGGCACACCTGCTTGCCCTCCACTTGTACTAGTGACTCTGCTCAGAGTGAACAATTCAGGATCCAGATCCCAGGCAGATCCCTGTCTGATAACTCAACCAGATGGACCCAGAGCTGTGACTGCTCAGAAGTCGTGGGACCATGGCTGCAGCCAAACACATCCTTTTGGATCAATCCCCTCCGCAGAGACAGACCCTTCAGGAGTCATAGTTTTAGATTCCATAAGGAGGAGAAACTGATGAAGATCTATAAGATTAAAAGTAAGGAGGAAACATTAAAAAAAATAGTCTTGCCAGGTGTGGTGGCATACACCTGTAATCCCAGCAGCTCAGGAGGCTGAGGCTTGAGGATCACAAGTTCAAAGCCAAGCCTCAGCAACATCAAGGTGTTAAGCAACTCAGTGAGACCCTGTCTCTAAATAAAAATCAAAATAGGGCTGGGGAGATGGCTTAGTGGTCAAGTGCCCCTGAGTTCAATCCCTGGTACTAAAAAAAAAAAAAAAAAAAAAAAAGTCATAAGTTCTTTGCATTACTGCCAGCTTTTAAAAACTCTATGACTCTTGAATGCATTATCAGCTCTTTGTGTAGAACAAATAGTCCCCTCCCCATGGTCTGTTAACTTTCTCATGAAAACCAATTTCCTTACAGGCCATTCACGAACCTCAGAGATAGGGTCAGTGTGGGCCAAAGCAAAGATGTTAACCAAGGACAGGAGATTGTCAAAGAAAAAGAAGAAAACTCAAGGACTGCAGGTGCCAGTAAGTGTATTCTGTAATTTAGGTTTTTGAACAATTGAAGCAATGGCTTATCTTACCTTGGTTTTTCTTTTATTGTAAAATATCACATACACAAAATAGCATTGTACTGAAAAGAATGAAAATATGAGTTATCAGAGTGAGTATATCATGATTTATGTATCTGCTCATGGGTTGAAAAACATTGAGTTGTTTTCATTTTTTGGCTATTACAAAAAAGGCTGGCACGTACATTTGTGTACATATCTTTTTGCAGACATATATATTTTCACTTCCCTTTGGCAAATATTTAGGAATGTCAGTTATGGTATTTAATTTTTTTTCTGGTACTGGGGATTGAGTTCAGGGGAATTCCACCACTAAGTCACATCCTTAGCCCCTTTTATTTTATTTTGAGATGAGGTCTCACTAAGTTTTACCCAGGTTGGCCTCAAACTTGTGATCCTCCTGCCTCAGCCTCCTGAATAGCGAGGATTACAGACATGCACCCCCATACCTGGCATGATATTTTAATTTTTACAGAAACTTCCAAACTGATTGTAACATTTTTTAAAAAAATTTTTTTAAAGAGAGAGTGAGAGAAAGGGAGAGAGAGAATTTTAATATTTATTTTTTTTTTGAGTTTTTGGCGGACACAACATCTTTGTCTGTATGTGGTGCTGAGGATCGAACCCGGGCTGCACGCATGCCAGGCGAGCACGCTACCGCTTGAGCCACATCCCCAGCCCTGACTGTAACATTTTATATGCCCATCAGTAGTTTTTGAGCATTATTAGTTATTTTTCATCCTTACCAGTCTTTAATATGCAATCTTTATTTTAGTTATGTTAGTGAGTGTGTGGTGATATCTAATGGTTGTTTCCTTAGTATTTCTGTAGTGGCTAATGCTGTTAGGAATTATTTCATGTGTTTATTTGCTACATCTCTGTTTTTTTTGGTGTGATCTGTTCATATCTTTTGCACATTTTTGAAGTTGGGTTGTTGTCTTATTATAAAGTTGCAAGTTTTTTTTTGGCACTGGACACAGTGGTACACACCAATAATCCCAGGTACCGGGGAGCCTGAGTCAGGAGAATCACTAGTTTGAAGCCAGTTTCAGCAATTTAGTGAAGCCCTATGCAACTTAGCGAGACCCTGTATCAAAATAAAAAACTAAAAGAGCTGGAGATGTTGCTCAGTGGTAAAGTGCCTCTGGGTTCAATTCCTAGGTCCAAAGAAGAAGAAGTAGTAGCTTGGCTGTTTTATGTTCTTGGAATTTCCATATAAATTTACAATCAACTTGTCAATTTTTACAGAGAAACCTGCTAGAATAGTGAATGGAATTGCTATGAGTCTATCAGACAGTTGGAGGAAACCTGATGTTTTAACAATAACAAGTCTTCTGATCCATGAACATGGTTTATCTACTCATTTAGATTTTTCATTTCTGTAATTTTTTGTAGTTTTCAGTGTACAGGTCTTGCACATCTTTTGATACACATATCTTTAAGTATTTCATATTTTAAAATTTTATTTAACAGTTATTTAAAATTTTTAATTTATGATTTCTTGTTTCCATCATATAGAAATATATGTTTATATCTTGTTTTTTTATTCCACATTCTTGCTAAGCTCACTTATTTGAGTAAGTTTTTTATAGCTTTTGAGAATTTTTTAAAAATATGAATGACCATATCATCTACAGATTTAGTTTTACTTTGCCCTTTCAAATCTGGATGTGCTTTCTTTCTTTTTCTTGTTTGATTATGCTGGCCAGAACCTCCAGTACCATATTGAAGAGAAGTAGTGACAAATCATATTTTTTCCTTATTTTTGCTCCCAGAGGGAAAGCGTTTAGTCTTTTACCATTAAATATGATATTAGCTGTGGGTTTTTATATAGATGCCTTTTATTGGTTGAAAATCTTCCCTTCTTTCCTATTTTTCTGAGAATCTTTGTCATTAATGAATGTTGGCATTTGTCAAGTGCTTTTCTTGCATAAACTTAGATGATTAGATGGTTTTCCTTTGCACTGTGGATTATATTAATTAATTTTATCATGTTTGAATAAATGTTTAGGATATTAAATTAACCTTGCTTGGATGAACCCCACTTGGTCATGTATCTAGTTTTACAAATTGTATTTATTTTGCTAAAATTTTGATTTTTTTTTTTTGTATTTGTCTTTTTGAGGGATGTTTGTCTTGGTTGTAATATCTTTGTTTGGCTTTGGTATCAATGATATCACCCATGATGAAAATCAATCAGTGCCCAGTTCCATTTCCCTATATGTTAACACCTGAGAAATGCCGAGGCAAGTATAGAAAGCAAGTTTTGGTTAAAGGATAGCACAGAGACAGTCTTCTCCATAGGGAAGGGGTCCCAGAGCTGGGTATCCAAAGAAGTAGGGGTATCCTGCCCCTTTTATACATTTTAGAATTCCTTTGTACTTATGGTCTCTCCTTGTCCCCTTATCTTGTCTCTTTCCTCTCCCATCCTACTTAGGAGACAAGTGACCCAAAAGGTGGGCCAACAGGTTGAGTGATCCAGGCAGGAAGGTAGCAGCCCAGGAGGCATTAATTAACAGCTCCCTGTAGGGAGGAACAATCTCTGGGGCAGGTTACCTTAGCAACAGGTTGGAGGAGGGTGGGGAAAGGGCTTTGGAGATATCAACATTCGATTTATTTCCTTTCCAACCAGCCCCCATCTTCTTAATCAGACCCAATTACTTATTATCTACCTGGACTACCTTTTTCCTTGGCTTCATCAGGATGGTGCTGAGTTTATTGACTGAGTTGGGAAATATGCTTTTGGTTTCTTGGGTGAGTTTACAAAAAAATAATATTCTGTCAACCTTAAGTATTTAGTAAACTGAACCAGTTAAACCATCTTTGTGGGAAAGTTTTTAATTGCAAATTCTTTTTTTTTTTCCTTTCTGTTTGATACTGGGGATGGAACCCATGAATGCTTTACACTGAGCAACATCTCCAATCTTTTTTATTTTCATTTTGAGATACAGGATCTTACTAAGTTGTTGAGGGTTTTGCAAAATTGCTGAGGCTGGTCTCTAACTTGCAGTCCTCCTGCCTTCGCTATCATTTGTGATCCTGCTGCCTTAGCTACCTGAGTTGCTGGGATTACAGGTGTGCACCACCACATCTAGTTTAACTACAAATTCAATTTCTGTAGTAGGTATAGGGCTATATATGTCATCAAAGTCTGCCTGAGTGAGCTTTTCTTTGTGCATTTCAAGGAGTTTGTCAATTTCCTTTAAGTAGTTAATTGGCATAATATTGTTTACAACATTCTCTTACTGTTCTCTTATAGCCTGTGGGACCTGCAGTGACATTGCTTCTTTCATTCCTAACATTTAAAATATGTTTTTCCCTTTGTTTCATAATCAACCTGGCTACAGATTTTTCTATTTTATTGATCTTCTTGAAACAACAACAAAAAACAAAACAAAACAAAAAGCTCTTAGTTTTATTGATTTTTCTCTGATTTTTATTCCACTGATTTCTCTCTTTAGTACTTCCTTTGCTCCATTTACTTTGAGTTTAACTTGCTCTTCTCTTTCTAGGTTGTTAAGGTAGAAATTTTGGTCACGGATTGAGACTTTCTTCTTTTCTAATATAGGCATTTAGTGCTATAAAATTCTATCTAATCGGTGATTTAGCTCTATCCTACAAATTCTGATGTATTTTTTTTCATTTTTGTTCAGTGAATCTGAATTACCAGTTCTATAAGCATTCATCTTTTATGGTCTCTATATCTTGCTTCATTTTTCTTTTTTACACTTATTTTTGCAAATAATAATCCAAGTGCATTTGAAAAAAACACCTCAGCCCCCTGAGTAAAGACAGAGGTATTGAGACAATTATGTAAGACCACCTTTTAGAGCAGAGATTAGCTTGAGGAGGAAAATTACTCTTTCAGAGAAAATGCCTTGAGTTGCCGGAACCCTGTGAAATATGCATTTAAGTAGGTTTTTTTTTTTTTTAATAGTTCAAATAGCTAGAGTTCAACTACACTGAGCTCCAAATACACAAGCTTACATTAATTTATTGCTTTGTAGTTTGCCATTGTGTCCCATTTGTTCTTTGTTCCTGGTAAGTATAGAGAATAGCCGTATTATTGCTTTATTTATTTATTTACTGTGGTACTGAAAACTGAACCCAGGGGCACTTTACAAACTGAGCTACATCCCCAGCCCTCTTTATTTTTTTATCTTGAGAAGTGGTCTTGTTGAATTGCCCAAGCTGGCCTGAAATTTGTGATCCTCCAGCTTCAGCCTCTGGGGTTGTAAGATCATAGGTGTACACCTGGTACCTATTATTTTAATGACTGAAAGAGTAAGGCACAGAGACTTTAAATGATTTACCCAAGTTCACATAGCTTTGACAGGGCTAACTCAAATTGTTTGGATCCTTATTCTATTCCCCCCACACTTGTTTTGTTCTGTACCACTGGTTCTCAAACTATAATCTCCTACCAGCAGCATGAACTTCTCTTGAGAACCTCTTAGAAATTCAAATTCTCCCTCTCCCCAGACCTACTGAATATAGATCCTGCAGATAGGATCCAGTTAGTTGAAGTTTACTTCAGGTCCTCCAGCCTCACCCTCTCAGTCCTGTTGATTCTGATGCAGACTCAAGTTACAGAACCTCTGCTCCATACCTTGTTCTTTTTTTTTTTTTTTTTTTTGGTACTGGGGATTTAACCCAGAGGCACTTTACTAAAAGCCACATCTCCAGCTCTTTTTGTGTTTTATTTTGAGACCCGGCTTCCCTAAGTTGTTGAGGCTGGCTTTGAACTAGAGATCCTCCTGTCTCAGCCTTCTGAGTCACTGGGAGATTACGCTAATGCACCACCGTGCCCAGCACACACTTTGTTCTTAATTATGTCTACAAAGAAAAAAATCACATGGGTGTTTGTATCTTGCCAGCCTGAGTGATGGGACTTGTCAGAATGTCCCAGGGAATTTGAACATGCAATCACTGCTTTCCACCATGATGCCTTTATTAATGTGACTCAGAATGTTTTCAGATTAATGTCACTGTGTTCCAATAAGAAACTTTCTCTCCAGGTCATAACAGTCAATGCCTGCTGTCAAAATGATCAAATGGATTCAGAACCAGGAGAAAATAACATCTCAGAAAAGGGGTGCAGCAAGAACTGGCTCACGGTGTCCAAGTTTACCCAGATAAGTAGGTACCAGTGTGTGTTCTTGGATCCCCAAAACCTTGACAGAGTTTTCTTGAAATATGGTCTTTAGACCATTGGTGGTTTCTATTTTATTTCAATTGCAGATATGGGAAAGAAGGTGGCAACACTCTTGAAGAAAAACAGCCTTTTCTATTTTTAAATTTTGAAGGGAACAAAATTTCATTTGTTTAAAGGAATACTAATCAGGATCTGGAAAAGAAATATTAAGATTGAGACCTGGTACATGCTTATAATCCAAGTGGCCCAGGAGGCTGAGGCAGGAGAATCGCAAATTCCAAAGCCAGCCTCAGCAATATAGCAAGGCCCTAAGCAAGTTACAAGACCTTGTCAAAAATAAAAAAAGGTTAGGGATGTGGTCTGTGGTGAAGTGCCCCTGGGTTCTATTCCTGGCACCAAAAAAAAAAATAAATAAATAAATAAAAAAGATTTGGGTAGTTTCATATATTCAAAGAGTGATTTCCTAGGAGAGTGTTCATTTAGTTGTATTTATGAGGTAGGAAGCTTGTCTACTTTTATAAATTCTTAAGGTTCATGTGACCCTAATATGGATCCTTACTCAGTGGATTGAGTTATTGTTGGTAATTTACTACAGCCCACCTTAAGTATTTATTCTGTGGACAAGTTTCCCTTAGGCTTAATGATTGTAGTGTTTGTGGAGGAGGGAAGACAACCATCTAGGTGTGAAAACCATGAGCCAGGCATGGAATGTAAAATTCCCCTGGATGGGGAGGGAGAGAGGGCAGGTCACAAACAGAAATGAAAGCAATGATCAGAACATTGAACTTGTTTTACTATTCTTAAAAAAGAAGGGATTATGTGATAGAGACACCATAAAGAGAAAAAATTATTTAAAATAATAAATGTAAAGGTGCAAGTAAATTTATATTACATGTTTATGCTTTTATACATTTTTATAAGGCTTGCTTACTCTCACGTCAGTGGTTCTCAACCAAGTTGTGACTTTGCATATCCCCACCCCTTCCTAAGGGACATTTGGCAAGGTCTGGAGACCTATTGAGTGGTCACCACTAAAGCAGGGGGTCGTGGCATCCTGTGGCAGAGGCCAGGGAAATTGCCAGATATCTTGCAATATAAGAACTAATCCTTACTCTAAGGAATTATCCAGCCCCCAATGTCAATGCCAAGGTGGAGAATCCCCAATTTATATTTAAAAAAATACTCAACTTTCTGTTGAACCACCAAGAATCAAATGAACTCTAACCTGAAGGAGAATTTTGAAGTTAAATTATTCTAAGCCCTCTCAATTTATAAATAAGGCTCAAAAGCTTAATTGGTTGGCCTACAATTACAGTTTACTAGAGACTATACATTTAAAAAAAAAAAAAGAATGAAAGAGGACACGTTTCCAGGACCAGTTATAAATTTATCCATTTTTTAAAATAATTATCAACATATTATGTATTTTGTTTTTATAAATAGTATGACCCATGTTTAGGTTCTTATATCATTTGTACTTAAGTTATTTAAGCTCTTTTCAGCAAATTTCAAGCAAAGTCTAAGATGCAGTTGTCAGGAGGGTTCTGGGAAAGACTCTCATAAAGTTGGACAGCCAGTCGGGGAGGCAAGGCCAGGGATACAGGCTGAACCTGGGCTCCGCTAATCTGTGTGGGTGATGAGGCCCAGCATCGCTCTGGAACCACACATCGACTTGAGAAGCTTACTTTTTTTTTTTTTTTCTAAACATTTTTCTGACCCAATTGAGAAGAAAATTAAAAAGTTTTAAAAAATGTTTGGGGATTGGGAGATACCTATCAGGTAGTTTTCTTTAAACACAAGAAATAAAGCTTTGAGGAAATTAACTATGAAAAGAAAAAGTATATATTTAGCTTTTCCTGTAGGTATTTTAATTATCATACTATGCTATGAAATAACTTTTATCATAATTTTGTGGTATTTCAATAGGCTATTGTTTTTTATACTATATATATATATATATATATATATATATATATATATATATATATATATATAAATTTTGTTCTGTATACCTCCCCCAAAAAAACTTACAACTATGGTCTTCTATGCTCAGTTAGAATCCTCAATAAGTAGTATTCTCAGAATTAATTTCATCAAGAATTCATTAAGTGATTATTATGCACCTACATAGTAGGTACCAACTATAAAAATATAATGTCAGTAATAATTTTTATAATCCTTTTGAAGAAGAAACTAAAATTTAAACCTTTTTGATAGCATTCCTCATTCCTGTTTTTCTTTTGTTGTTGTTTGGCCTACTGTGATACTTGATCCAGTTAATCAGAAAGGACACCTAATAATTTGTAACTAAAGTTTCACATTCTATTTATTTATTATTTTTTATTAAAAAATATATTTTTTGTGGTACCAAAGTCTGAAACCAGGAATGCTCTACCATTGAGCTAGATCCTCAGTGCCTGAGACAGGGTCTCCTTAAGTTTCTGAGGCTAGCCTCAGACTTACCATCCTCCTGCCTCTGGAATTACAGATGTGTGCCTTTGTACCTGGCACATAAAACAGGCTGTAAGATGTAGGAGTGGATAAATTTTAAAAAAACAAATAAACAACAACAACAAAAATAAAAAATAGCCTACTTAGAGTTGTTTTGTAGACGGACAGGTTATGGATCAAGTAATCTTTGACTTTAATAGAGAAGTATAAGTTGTTTATAAATGTAAAGTTACTATAGAAGAATAGAAATAGAATATATAGCTTTTAATTACTTCAGAAAAAAAGGATGGAGGAAACTTGATAAAACTTGCTAAAAACAGAAAGAGAAAAACTACATCCAAGTTTAAATGAATGTACTGTGTTCAGATTTTTCTATTTGGGAACTGTGATTTGAATGTAACACATTTCAAGTGTTTTCTAATTTTTATCTTTTTTTTAAAAACAAGGTCTAGAACCTTATATATATCAGAAAATGAAAACTAAAGGAATTGAGCAACGTACTGTACAAGTCAGTGATTATCTACAGCAGTCTAAAGAGGTAAAAATATTTTAATAGTTTTTATAAAAATCATCAGTGCAGGCAACACTTCACTGGGCCATATTATTTTTACATTTATACCATTTAATTGGCTTCTACTTTTTACTGGCATTGAATTTGAATCTTTGTTTGAAACTATGCTCAGGTGAATCCCTGTGTGATTTTTTCCCCCACCTCTTTAGATTGTTCCTTCTTGCGGTTCCTCTTTGTGCAATTTACCTATCCACCTAGTTTTCTGGGGATGTTTAGCATAAGAGAGAAAGAATTCAGGAATTAGTAGAATTGTTTTCAGGTATATGAAAGTTGTCATATGGAAGAAAAATAGGACATTTTAATAGGTTTTTAAGAGGTGGATCTAGCATGAGCATGGAGAAGTTACTGGGAGACAGATTTCAGCCCAAGCTGAGAAGAAATTTTTAGCAATTGGAGCTTTCTAAGGATGGAATGGTTTATTTCTGGAAGTAGTAACTTCCTGCCTAGTGTGGTTAGTCCAGCAGAGGCTGAAGGAACCTGTTTGCAGACATGGTGGAGGGGATTCAAGCATTGCAGGGTCAAGGCCCCTTGGTGTTTCTCTGAAGCTAAGATTCTCCAATTCTGTAGTCTGCTTTTCTTACCATCTACAGATCTATGCCTTGTTTTTGTGCTACCTGCCATTTGTGATTTAGTCAGAGTAACCCAAGAAATCTAATTTTGGTGTTGGTTTGAATATTTTCTGTTTGAACTTGGGAACTATAAGAACATTACCTATATGAACAATCTTAGATGTTCTTGTTGGGAATGGAATCTGTGAAAGGTTTTGCAAGTAGATAGTAAGACTCAATTGAGGGCAATTGAGTCAGGAACCTGTGTTCACATCCCAACTCTACCATTTCCTATGCTTCAAAGCTATGTCTATCAATTAACCTATGAGTTTCTTTATCTATATCTCTAAAACACTATCCTTATGAGATTGTCAATAGTAGACTACAAACATAGTACCATGAATAATACCTGGAATATGCTGAGTTAAAGAAATATTAGTTTGATAAGTAGGAGGTAGAATGAAGTAAATTAAAGGTTAATATCTTTTTTTTAAGTACTAGCAATTCAGTCCAGGGCCTTGTAAATACTAGGCAAGCATTCTACCACTGAGCTATGATCCCAGGTCTAATGTAATTTTAAATAATCATTATCACCTGGCATATCATCTATAGATGCTAGGACACGAGTCAACTTGGACCATCACTTCCTTTTCATGTCATTAACTGATTTTGTATAGTCAGTCCTATTTCTGTAGAGTTTTCATATATTACATTTTCTCTTCCATGTCCCCATAAAAGTAATTGTATTTTGTTAAAGTCCATCAGCACATTAAGCTACTCTGATATTATGCTAATATTTGCATCTTTCTAACATGGTTTTAGTTTGTTTATTAAGAGAAATATTGAGCTAAAGGAAAGAGAAAGATCTATCCTTTAAGGAGTGTGTTTTGCAAGTATTTTGCTGGAAGCTTGGGGGTGGCAGTGTGTTGGATGCACATGTTGTTCTTTCTTTTCTACTCAGGATCTGAGCAAAAACTCTTTATGGACTTCCAGGAGCATCAGCCTTACTAGGAGCCCAATGTGAGTATTTCTAAATGTCTCTCCTTAAGAGTCGTTGGATTCTATTTTTTAACCTGATTGGGAACAAAATTTTGTTTTTGGTCAGAAGAGGAAGACAAAGGGTGTCAAGTGACAACATTTTTATTTTATTAGCAAGAATGAAAACAATTTCTTATCCAGGTTTTTCTGTTTCTGGCACCAGCATCTTACCTGAGTCCCTTTTAAAAATACCACAATGAAACACATACTCCTACAACAAAATAGACATTTGCCTTTTCAGTGTCAAAAAAGTTACTTGGAATAATGATTAAATATCTTTTCAGAGAGGTAAGATTGTAAATTTTCTTTGAAGAGAAGAAATAAACATGTCTTGCCTAAAGAAAAAGACTGAAGTCCTGATTATATTTATTCTTTGTTTTAAAAATTGTTCTTTATCCCCCTCCAATAATGTTTTCCTTTTAGCTTATGAAGTTGACGTTTTGGATTTTTTTTTTTTTGTAACATCCTAATTGTCAAAGCAGTAGTCTGTGAAGGATTGAGACTGGGAGGGAAAGAATATGGGATGGAAAGAGTGTGCAGAAAACACAAATGGGTATCCTCATGGGGTTTTATTTATTCAGAAATAAAATTTGAAAACTAACCAAGAAAATATGATTCTATTTTATTTTTATTTGTATTTTTTTCAAGTGATGGAGTCTTGCTATGTTGCCCAGGCTGGCCCTGAACTCCTGAGCTCAAGTAATCCTCCTGCCTCAGCTTCTCCTGAAGCTTGAAATACGGGTGTATACCACTGTGCCTGGCTGACAATTTCATTTTGTTTGTAGTGTTTTTTGGACTTTTCTAGTGTTGTTATCAAATTAAGTGTACATAGAGTTGTGGGGGGCAGAATTCAAAACTTATCTTCAGGTACAAGGTGACTTTCATTTGCGGTCAGCTCTCTTGGAGATGGCCTTTCTCTGTGGTCTCCGTGCAAGCCTGCCTCCAGACTTAAAGGACATATGACTTTCTTCTCCCAAAGGTTCAGCAATTTGTGCTCATGCAGAGTAGTGGGTTATTGCAGCATGAAATTAAACAATAATTGTAATTGTACTTTCTTCCCTAAGGACCTTAAATACTGGAGATATTCTTTGAATGCATTTATTCAGACTTGCCCATGGCCACTTGTGCACTGGAGCAGGGCAAGTAACAATTTAAAGAGAGCTAATTTCAGCCTGTGAACATTTAGGGGCCACGTGGGCTAATGAAACTGATTTGTAGACTTGTCCAGAGACATTCACAGACTCATTTGTAGGCATCTCCTTTGCATAGTTCAGGAACCCTTTAGTTTAATTGATCCAGAATAACACAAACACAGTTAAATCTTGTATTTGTGGTGTGATCACATAGCTAATTAAAAAAAAAAACCTCTGTTAATTTAGCTTTAGGCATATACAGTGAATAACTTACATGCATATCTTATGTTTATTTTTCAAGGAAAATCATTAGGGGGATAAATTCCTGTATTAGTCGAAGTGGGGATCAGATGTTACTGATACAGTATGTATATGTAAATATCAAATATATGTACATGTAAAATTTGTTTGCTTGTTTCACATACTTTTTCCTTTCTTTGATCATTGAAAGATTTTAAAGCAGAATTATCTATATAATTTTGTTTTTTTTCCCTAAACAGGTTGAGAAGTTCAAATGGAGCTGACAGTAAGCTTGTATATTTAAACATTTTATTTTTATTTTTGTCTTATGAATGGTGAGGTTCAGTGTCCTGCTGAGACTTTTGTAGTTGTTTAATTAGTATTTATAATTTTTGTCTAGTATACAAAGTAGAACATTCAGTATAAAGATAGAAAGTTGAGTATCTTTCTCCAAATAAATCAGGGCTGATATGTGATCTGTTCTTTTCCAATTACCTCTTTGACTGTGATTTTACTGTTTCCTTTATGAGTGTGGGGATACCCTCTGACTTCATTTTGACTTGTCAACAACTTTGTCATTTTTCTACGCTTTGCTCATTAAGAGCAAACCATTCGGAAGAGTATATGTGAATGCCTTTTCCTGTGCAGTTTCAATAGCACTTTATGCCCCAAATTGCTAAATAGTGTTAAGTCTTATAACCAGAAGCCTTATCTGTTTGCTCCTTCTCTCCTGCGTAGGCTAGTACCTGGCATACAATAGGTGCTTAGTAAGCGTGTGTTGAATAAACAAGAATAAGGTTTCACAGCTTCTTAAGTGGTGAAGTCCTGCTTGACTCAGCTTTATCACACTCTTCAGATATTTACACCTTCAGATATTTACACCCCCATGAAGGTCTTCCCTCCAGGTAGAATTAATGTGGTCCCAAAACCTTGGTACACACACCTCTGTTATATTACTTAGCAAACTGTATTGTGATTCTAGTTATGTATCTTTTTCTCTAGTATGTTGCATATACTTTTCTCTTATTCCTATCTCCCTTGCCTAGCAAGACCCGGAGTGGGTGCTGAATATATATGTATTTGCTTATTGAATGAATTCAGAAAGGAATAGTCTTTTCTGCTGATTTTACTATTTTATCATACACCCCCAAAGGAAGTGATGCCTGCTCCTTTCTTCTCCAGCAACAAGAAGCCAGTGAGATCTGTGAGACTGGGCTCATTATGCTGCTTACTCTACTAGGTATAAGGAAGTTGCCACCATGAGACTAAAGTTTCTCCACTTTAATTTTGATTTTATGAAATGGCAAAACTGTTGCAGAGTCTTTCTCTGGAGCCTTGTAATTTAGCCTGGAGCAGATAGAAGAGAATGAGTTAAACTTGGAGGGGTGTTCCCAGCACACAGAAGTTGCTTCTCCAAGCAAATCCCTTGGTGCTGTTATCCACCCACTCCTTTGTTTCTGGTATATACCCCTTAATGTGTTTTCATCATTTTGCTCTTATTTTAGGTCAGTGAAGTAGTCTGCTAATAACTTGGCATTAATAATATCTTTCTGTGGATACTGTGTCTTGGTAGGGAGCTCAGAGAATCGTGCTTCTGGGATGTTGTGAAGTGTGATGGGCAGCTGAGTGCTTTTTGCAACCCTGAGGTGTAATTGGTTCAGAGGAAATACATCTTTGAGGCTAATATTACCTGTCTTTCTCCAATTCCCTATATAAATATGTTTGGAGATATTACATTGATGATTGGAAGCTGTCAGGGTACCATGTGCAATAATGTGGTTAAAGGATATTAGGTAAGCTTTTTCAAATCCAGAGAAGCCATTCTGATTAACCTGTTCAATAATAACTTTGAAGTCAATATATTCATAAGCATGTATTTATCTCCAGCCCAGTAATTAAAATGCCAATCTTCTCTATAATTTCAGAGATCTCAGCCTCCTTAAAAAGCCCTCAAGAGCCTCACCATCATTACTCAGGTAGGAAGTGTGTGTGCATAGAAGGTCATCTGAACTCAATGTCTGTGATTCTGCACTTGGAAAAAGAAACATCGGGGAATTCCATGTTATTGATATAGCTCCAAACTTGGAAAATTGTTCACTTTGTTGGAGAACAACCTTTAAGTTTTTTTTCTAGGCATTGACTTGGAAAGGCAAATTGTGAGGAATTAAGAGGATATAGAGTCAAAGTTTTTATTGGCAAGTTCCAAATTGTGAAGGAGCAGGATGTTCTGGAGGTCTACAGATTCCTTGCATACTCCAAGGCAACCTAGAGCCAGAGATCTTTTGTATTTTATATCGAGGGAAAGACAGACCTGGAAGTAGTTCTTTGAGGGAGGGTTTTTTACCCTCCATGGGCCCTCAATAAACATATCCACAGAATAGATGCCACCTCACCTAGAAAGTTTAACAAAGATGCCTTACACATATATTATTAAAAAAAGATGTCCAGGGTCTTGACTCTCTTAAGCAATATCACATCATAGTGCTTCAGCTGTCTTTCTTTCAAAGGGGGAATAACTGTACTTGCTTTTCCTGAGGAACAGTCTGCCAAAGGGCTGGGGGAGAACTAAGAGGAAAACACTTTGAAATGCAAAACAATAGAACAACCAACTGGACTTGTGCCACTGGATGGTTTCTTGGAGGTCACTGCTCTCAACCTATATGACATAATACACGGGTCAGCCAATCTTTTATACAATCTAAAGCTCAGTACGTGGGCAAGACCTTGTGCTAGAGTTACCATTCTTATTATAATCAAGGTCATTTTTTAGGGTCCAGTAATAGACTGCCTCATCCTGAATTCTCCTCTGTAGTGAATAATGTGTTAGTGGATTCCTCATCCCAGGCTCTTATAACCAGGTCTCTCAGCTCAGCAGTCATCCATTATTTTGACTCCAGCTGTCAACTGAAGAAAGTCTCTGGTGAGGAATACTGCAACTCATATTGACTCAGATCTGCTAGGATATGGCTCTTCCCAGGAAAATGCAGATCTCTTGCTTCTAATTAAAATGAGTCTTCACATCTCTCTGGGAAAAGGAGTGAATTGCACAAAATCACCAGTAGGTGTCCCCACAGTCCACTGTGCATTGGATTTGCTTTAGAAAAGGAAAACCAGAGAATGAAGACCACAAATTAAAATGCCATTTAAAAGACAGTTCCACGTATGTATGGGTTGGTGTGTGGTTTGCCATTCAGGAGAGCAGGGGACATAGTCCTTCCTTGAACCATGTCATATAACCTCATATAAAATGTTCCTAAGGCTGGGATTATTATTGGCATTTAAGGCATAGTATATATTTAAAAATGGTATAATTTATCATATATTGATAATGGCAAAAATAAAAGGCCTTTGAAATGAAATATTCTCGCATTATTTGATTATATTGATGGGGGAAGATTTTCTGTAAATTTAATCCAATGTTTCAGACTTAAAAGGGTAAAACTGTTTTTGTTTGCAGCCATTGAAAGGAATAATTTAATGAGGCTGTCTCAGACCATACCGTTTACACCCATCCAACTGTTTGGTGAGTAGCATCTCTACCTTCTTGAGGTCACACCAGGGCAGCGGCATAGGACATTGGAGTGAATCAAAGGACAAATCATGATACAGTATTTTACTTGAAAAATTTCCTTTGACCATAATTATAGATTAAGATTCATTTCCTAAAATGGAAACTTGTTGTGGCCAACATTTAGGGTCAAAATCTGATACTATGGGATGAGACCTATAATGAGCAGCAGCTGGGAAGAAAGCAACAATGTTGCACCTGGCATTCACTGACTGAGGCTGGAAGTACACAGTAAAAGAAAAGAATAAACCAACCACATATAATAAGCACAGAAGAGAGCATGAAATGTCAATATGGTGAAAGCCGACAGGCATCTAAAGAGAGATACTTTGTATGTTGTTTTTTATTTGTTTGATGTTTTTACATACATGGATTGATCTTACCTCAGACTGTAAATGTCATTTTGAAAGGTTGGAGTAGTAAAGAACAAGTTTGCTAGAGCATAAAGTTCAGAGGATAAAGCGGGAACCAATTGACAATATAACAAGGTCCCCCACGCTGCCCTTGATTTCCATTCTCTTCACACTGTTCACATGGGACAGACCAGGTTGGCTTCTGATTGTTCATGCAGACATCTCTTTCCAGTTGGTTCCGTTGCTGATTTTGCAGATCAGTAGCTGTGCTCTGAATTCTCTAGGGATCAGGACTCCAAAGAGATCTCCTGTGGCATTTGTCTGGGAACCAAGAATAAATATTTGAAAACGAATTACTAAGCATTCCCCAGATGTGTTTACTGGTAAGGAACTAGATACAAGAGTGAGGGAATGGATTCTTTTCTAGGTAAACCAGTACAGTGTTCACAACAAACACACAAATAACAAAAAACAAAGTAACAAACATTTGAAGCAAAGATGTAAGAAAAAAAATGAGACAACCTCAATGGGAAGTCTATCATGATTCTGTTACATCTGTCCTGAAGCATTAACACTGTGTTGATGGAGTCCAGGTTCAAAAAGAATTGTGCCTATTCAATAGCTGAATAATGGAAGCTATGTAGCAGTTAAGTACCATTTTGTCTAAATTCCTTTGAGATTGAGTTTGTATCTGACTTCATCCATGTCAGTGTTTTTAATCTTTGCAACAACCCATTTCATCCTCATTTTACTGATGAGAAATTGAGGCTTTAAATGACTTGTTCAAAGGCACTAAGGGAAGAGGGAGAAGCTGTGGGTATGACCCTGGTATTATCTGACTCTAACTGCCTCAGTGATATAATAACATCCCTAAAGGAGAAAACCAGAAAGCACAACCCTTATTCTTCTGTAAAAACCACATCATATATATATATATATATATATATATATATATATATATATATATATATATATATATATATATAGAGAGAGAGAGAGAGAGAGAGAGAGAGAGAATATAAATGTATGCATATGCATTCTTATTTATTTATTTTGCTTCTGGGGATTTAACTAAGAGGCACTCATCCACTGAAACACACCCCCAGCCCTATTTTGTATCTTTATTTAGAGACAGGGTCTCACTGAGTTGCTTAGTACATTGCCATTGCTGAGGCTGGCTTTGAACTTGAGATCCTCCTGTCTCAGCATCCTGAGCTGCTGGGATTGCAGGTGTGCACCACTGTGCCTGGCTGCATTCTTAATGTTAATTAGAGATAGGGAGGGCAATTATGGAAACAGGCCTAATAAAGCTCCTTTAGGAATGATAATGAATAGCCCTTTTAAAACATTTCTGTTTAATAAAAGCATTTCCATACTACTTTGATACTTTTTTTTGTCCAGTTGTAGTCTACAATAAGACTAACTTAATTCTTACATGTCATCTGATACTGTCCCTTCTTCCCTCCCCATGTTTATAGGACACTAGCTTGATCCATGTCCTTATTCTGCCCTACTCCCTTCTTCTCTGATCATGGGGACCACTGAACTAATTCTGAGCTGATATCAAGGTTGTTCCCTGTCCCAGACCCGATGACCTCATTGAACTCCTGGCCTTCACTTCTCTTTGCAGCAGGAGAAGAAGTCACCATCTATAGGCTGGAGGAGAGCTCCCCTCTGAACCTTGATAAGAGCATGTCCTCTTGGTCCCAGCATGGAAGAGCTGCAATGATCCAGGTGTTGTCCCAGGAAGAGTTGGACGGGGGCCTCCGCAAAGCCATGCGAGTCATCAGCACATGGTCTGAGGATGATGTTCTCAAACCGGGACACGTTTTCGTTGTGAAGTCTTTTCTCCCTGAGGTCGTGCAGACTTGGCATAAAATCTTCCAGGAGAGTACAGTGCTTCATCTTTGCCTCAGGGTGAGTCTGAAGTTCAGAGACTCAGAGCCCAGAAGGACAGGCCAAAGAAAGGAGACTTGGCTACATCTTTTCTAATACTACCATCCAACTTGAAGGAAGTCTAGTATTATTTTGAAGGTGGTGAATTTTGTTATATTTGTTTTGTAGGACTTTCACTTTTGAGGGAGTGGAGGTAGCTAAATAAGGTGAAAAATCACATTTGGGAAGCCTCTAGTGAATTCTGTGATCGTTAATCAATAGGTGTCAGTAAATGTATACATACATACACACATTTATATAATATCAATAATCCTTATTTTGTAGGAAATTCAACAGCAAAGGGCTGCTCAAAAACTAATCTATACCTTCAACCAAGTGAAACCGCAAACCATTCCCTACACACCGAGGTAAGGAAATCTTGGCAAAATGGCCCTTCATTTTAAGTAGGAACTCCTATTAATCTCTTCTCAGCCCATTAGTTATGAGAAATATCAGACCCATGGGAAAGTCTCCCATGGCTTTATTTTTGGGGTTCTTCCATAGCTATATAGACTGGAAAAAGGGGAATTAGATGCCCCAGAGATGTGTTGGCCTACATCACTAAATTTATGGGAATGGAAAAAAAAAAAGAATTTCAAGTAGATGCCATCACCACCATTTCGATTATGCAAAACAGGCAGATCCTGGATGTGTTACTAATGTCCAGGATCAGTGTGGCAGAAAAGCATCTCTATTTTAAGCATAGTTTCTCCCTCAGTGTCTTAAAGAAATTAGGAACTCTGTAGGATTGAACTCTGGTTACTTTTACTTGAGTGTTTCCAGAGAATTGCATTCACTCATCAACACGCTTAATAATTTGGTGCTGAGGACTTAGGGTAAAACTTCATTGCTCTACTTACAAGGAATGTCATGCAGTGTGACAAAACAAGTTGGGTCTAGCCTGGTGTGGTGGTGCATGCCTGTAATCCCAGCAATTCGGGCGGCTGAGGCAGGAGGATTGCAAAGTTCAAAGCTAGCCTCAGAAACTTAGTGAGGCCCTAAGCAACTTAGTGAGACCTTGTGTCACTAAAAAATAAAAAGGGCTCGAGATGTGGTTCAGTGGTTAAGTGCCCCTGGGTTCAATCCCTGGTACCAAAAAAAACAAAAAAAAGTTGGGTCCAGGATTTATAAAAGGGTTAGAAAGTTTTCTCAAAGAGAAAGGAGGCATGAAAACATGGGAGAAACCCTCCTTGTCTTTGTATTCCGTTCCTTCCCTTCCCAGGAAGGGCAAGGTCAAGTTCTCCTAGGTTTCATTGGTCAGTCTTAGGCGAGCTCTCCTGCTGCGGACTGTCCTGTAAAGGAAAGCCTGCTTTTGCTATCTTCTAGGGGATCATGGCTTCTTTTTCCCTCACAGGTTCCTGGAAGTTTTCTTAATCTACTGCCACTCAGCCAACCAATGGTTGACCATTGAGAAGTACATGACTGGGGAGTTCCGGAAGTACAACAATAACAATGGAGATGAAATCGCCCCCAGCAACACCCTAGAGGAGCTGATGTTGGCCTTCTCTCACTGGACCTATGAGTACACTCGGGGAGAGCTGCTGGTTTTAGATCTGCAAGGTAATTGATGACGCATGACTTGATACAATAAGTATGAGGCAAAGTTCAGAGAGATCCAGGTTGGGCAATGTGTGGGGTTGCTCTCACCAGCTTTGAAGGGAGGTGGAATTATTGGGCAGTGGTGATCATGAATACTTATTATGTTGTTTCCTACTTCGAGGGGGAAATGTAGGGAGGCAATTAGCTGCTTAAAATGTAAAGACATCTTAAATTTTGGAATAAATGTGGAATGATTTTTGTATGAATTTTTCCAGTTTTATGGCCTTGCCTTGCTCTAATGTTCATTGTAAAATTTAGGCACACATTTGTACACGTAGGGAAGTTTAAATTCTGGGCATTTTGAGTTTATTGCCTTAGCAATTTGTAGTTTTAGCTTGCTCTCTTTGCTCTGTCCCTTGATATGACAGTTCATGAAAGAACACACTCAGCCTGAGAGAGGCAACGCACTGCACTCTTATTTAATGGAAACCTTTGATCAGCACATCTCCCCACTATCAACACCTCACATGTGACTTCTAATCCTACAGCACAAACAGTATCTCCAGCAGACTTTCCTTGCAGGGACAGAACAAAATATGTATTAAGGTCAAAGTTTTGTCCTTGGGCTCACTGACTAGGGCTTTGGTTTTAAATAAGGGATTTAGCGCAGGAACTTTCATAGAAGTTATATCATTTAATCCCAGAAGCAGCACCTCAAGGTAGATATTATGGGGAATTTAGGCCCAGAAAGTTTAAATAACTTGCCCAAGGTTGCACAGCTACTTAAAGGGAAGCCAGGATGCAGATTAAGCTGGATTGACCATCTGTGTTCTGTTCTTTTCACTGTTCTTTTTATTTCTTTAAAGAGTTTCTTACCTAGAGGATGCAACCATCTTATGGCTCATTTAAACCACTTGGGCCTTTTTATTGTCCTCTATGACTTTTTCTCTAGCTCTCCAGTTCTGGCATTCTATGCTGAAAGCCAGGCTTGGAGTCTGGGGAATGTTGAGATAAATAATCCAGGGGAATCATGAGCAATGTCCAGTAAGACCTCAAAGTCACCCTGAAATTGGCGTCTCATGCTCAAGGATGTACATGCACTTTTTAAACTACAAATACGTACTTCTGACCTTTGAGATTTCTGCTGTTCACAAGATCAGATTATATTTCTATCCCTCAAACACAATATTTCAGGAAGCAATATAAACAAAATTAAAATGACCATCATGATTCAGCTTTTTAAACCAACAAGAATTGGATCCATATAAATTCTGAGTGAGGCTGCCTAAGGCAACTGTTTTTGTGGCTCAAGTTTGGGAAAGGTTGATTGTTTTCATCTGTACTTGACTGTTTGTGCTTTGAGTTTTGGGTGGAGTTGATTCTAAAACAAAAGCAGAAACAAACAAACAAACAAAAACAACCAAAGAAAAACTTTAAGGAATTAATGATGACTCTTCGGTGCATTTTGTATTTCACTTGAATAGGTTTTTGTTTAATGGTGTTTATGTTTGGGGATTTTTATGTCTCTTAGTAATTCAAAGTGACATTAAACAGAACAAATGCTGTGCTGATAGTCTTGGGGGAAAAAAGGGAATTAAGTTTATTCTTTTACTGAGCAATTATGTCAATTGCAGAAATAGGCCACTCCAAATAAACTATGTCAAAACATTGACCTTCAAAGAAGGGAAGAGTGGACATCAGAGAATGATCATGATGAAATTTGAGATGCTTATCAGAGAGTTGTGGCTAATTGGTTAGGCCTGAGTTTAGGAAGAATATGAGTCCTGTAACAGTAATTATAAGCAGTTATACTATTACTACTGCTAGCTAACATTTACTAAGAACTTATTTTGTGCCAGGCACTTGGCTAAAAGCTCATGTGCAATATCATGTTTAATCCAAACCAGGTTGGAAAGGAGAAAATATAACATGTTTTTAAAATCTCATAATGGGTTTTCATTCAGTTTTATATTGTATTTAATTTATTTGTATTTCTGATCTTTGGAGAGAAGAGGTGAATTGCCTAGGAGGTAGGGGTGAAAGATGCGAAGCTGGGTAGAAGCCCTTGGGAGGAGGAGCTTTCAAGTTGCAGTGACAGAGTCTGACTCCTGGCTCTACCCTGAATTGATTTCATGACCCCAGGAGTGGCTTTCAAGTCCGACCTGCCTCTTTTTGTAAATGGGAAAAATAATATTATGCACTTAAGTCATTAGGCTGTTGAAGAGTTCAGGTGAGACAAGTTCTTGCAGGTAGTAAGTCCTCAATAAATGTGAGTTATTGCTATTTTTATCTCAGTCTCTGCAAGGTTCTTTAAAATGGAGGTTAATCATCAGTGGGGTTCTGGTGCTACTGTAGGGAGATCCCAACTTAGGTCTCTGTTCTCTACTGCATTGAGAAGAAGAAGGCAGGGGAAACAGGCAGTTTATTCTTTCAGTCTCCCTTCTTTCTCAAATTTCTTACAAGAGAGTCCCAGTCATTAACCCAGAAATTGCCACACCAGGTCAAGAAACTGAGCTCTAAGGAGAGGTGTGACCAATTTCACATCATTTGTAATTATACTGAAGCTTTCTGGTCTTTTTCCACTTAAAAATCCTGCATATGAGGTTCTGATTCATCATCATTATACTTGAAATCCACTGTTTAATTCCCAGCAGTAGAAATTAAAAACAATTGTATTTCAAATTACCATGGTGCACAGCTTTGTTTTTTTTTGTGGTGCATAGCTCATTATGTTTTTCAAGGGACTTTTGGAGATACAGTATTAATTTCTTATTCAACAAAGCCATTTCCAGAATAAGTCAATATCCACCGCACTATGATAAATTGTAAATCAACAAAGAAAGTAACTTCTTTGCACAGATGTAGAAGATAATTGATGGATTCAAAGTTGATTGAGATCAGAATGCAAATTTGTGAGTTTTCTCATATTACCTGGATACTGTTACAGTCATTAGAGAGACGCCTTGGGGGACTTTTAGGTGTTGAAATACATCATTTTCCCATGTTTTCCAAATGTTCAGAAAATATATGTGTTGGGGGGTCATGATGGTAGTTTTCTATTTGGATGTTCCTGTGTAGCTGGGAGAAACAGAGTGGAAGTGGTGGTGGGTGTGACTATGTGGATGCTGGTGGTTCATTGGTGTTTGGGTGGTCTCTCTCTCTCTCTCTCTCTCTCTCTCTCTCTCTCTCTCTCTCTCTCAAACACACACACACACACACACACACAAAGATACACATACACACATTCAGAAGGCCCATCTTCCACTGGAGGGCCCCAAAATATGTATTTAGTAGTTAACTTTGAACTGTTCAGTTGGGTTTGTGGATGCTCTGTCATTCTTCTAAGGTATCATGTTTGTTAGGAAATGTAGTGCTTTAGGGAAATAGGATAATCAGAAGCATGATTTTACCAGTGGCAAAAATATAAAGTTTAATTTTATAAGAGGTCCTTCATAGAAGAAATATGATAAAAATAACAGTTAATATATTTTAGTTTCATATGTGTCAGATAATCTGCTAAGCACTGTGTATGCTATTGTTCATTTAATACTCTCAGTAACCCTATAAGATAAGGCACAGATTTCCCACTTTCAGACGCTAAAACTGAGCTTCAGAGAAATGAAGGAAAGTCCCCAGGTCCCCCCTACTCGAAGGTGCTGGTGCTGTGAGTCCTTTGACTTCTGTGACTCTGATTTAAAGTAAACAGGGGCTGACATGATTTTGATGGATTTTTTTTCCCCCTACAAAACCCCCTTTTTGTCAGATGCTGTTATCTCTTCAGCTATGGTGTGTCCTCCTAGCTTAAATTCACACTTTACTTAGATACCAGCCTAAGTTTTCATCATTGCTGTAAACTCCAGGCTTGATGTTAGGTCTGCACTCAAACAAGTAAAAGATTTGTTAGCCTCTCTACTGGTGCTACTTGGGTATCTTTCTGGCGGTCGTGCTGTTTACTTAATTCATGGTTAGAAAGCATCTCTCTAGGCATCACTCCTTTCTTATAGGAGTGGTAAGAAGAGCATGGAAGGACTAGCCTCTTCCTGTGATTTTATTCAGAAAGGATAGGGGATGAGCAGAGCAAGTTTTGCATACTTCCTTTGAGCTATATTTCAACCTTACTTTATTTTATCCCTATTCAAAATCAGTGTGAAGTTAATATGCCAAGAGTTTTTTAAGGTGCTCCTGGGTCAAATTCAGAGGATATATGGATTTTGATGAGAAAACAAATTATACCTTATTTGCATTAACTGGTAACTGAAACTTGTCATTTTCTTCAGTTACAGTAGACCACATACCACAGTGATATTAGCAGTACTTGTGTTTACAATAGAAATTACAGATATTAACATAGTATTTACAAAGATGGCAGATATCTCAATATATTGTTAGTATTTGTCACACGTTGGATGTTATGGCAGTTAATAGATCCAGGAGAAATCCTGTTATTTAATTTACTCGTAAAGAAGCACATGTATTGTAATACTGTAATTAAAAAAATATTTTGATAACTGCATTTCCATGTCATTGGTTTCTTTTATAATCCTACATATTTAATCATGTAAAACGTTATTCTGAGAATGGGGTCCCTTACCAGATTGACAGAGAGGGGACATGACACAGAAAAAGTTAAACACTGCTGCTCTAAGCTCTGACTTGCTCTGTCATTTTCCTGGGGAAGTCAGTTTTTAGGGGAAAAGTCTGTAAGGATTATATTTTCTTTTTTTTTTTTTTTTTGAGAGAGAGAGAGAGAATTTCAATATTTATTTTTCAGTTTTCGGCGGACACGACATCTTTGTTTGTATGTGGTGCTGATGAGGATCGAACCGGGGCCGCACGCATGCCAGGCTAGCGCGCTACTGCTTGAGCCACATCCCCAGCCCCAAAAGATTATATTTTCTTGTGGAAGGTTTAACGTATTTAAATATATAGAATACAGAAATATTTTTAAAATAGTGTTTAGACACAGCTGTGGCTGTAGCTCAGTGGCAGAGCACTTGCCTAGCAAATGTGAAGCACTGGGTTGGATCCTTAGCACTGCATACAGAAGTAAAATAAAATAAAATAAAATAAAGGTTTGTTGTCCATCTACAATTACAAAGAAAATATTGGTTAGACAACATGAGTTTTAAAACAGTGGTTAGAAAACATGAGTTTCTTTCATGAAGTACAATACATACCAATGTTGTAAAGTTCACATAAGCTTTAAATAATCTTCCCACAAAGCTAATCTCTTTCAAACACAGAGCTAGAGCAAGTTAGAGAATGATCTCAGACACTGTAGCATGGTGCCCGTTTATCTGTGCAGCTACGTGCAATTTCACCACCATTGGAAATCAGCCTCCTCGACATTTGAGTTTTATGAGATTCACTTTCAGCATTCATCCCTGTTTCTTTTTTTTTCTTTTAAATACACTTTGCTTTAAATTGAACCTATATTATCTGTTAAGGCTTTGGTGTCACATTGTAACAAGTAAATTTTATTGAAGACTCATATATTCAGAAAAGTGCTGGTAGCTTAAATTGAACACAGAGGTGCAACCAGCAGCTGATCAACAACTTGGTGTTGATTCATTGTAGTGTCTGTAAGTGGTATAAATAATTTGATGTATCCCTTTGATGGAGCAGAGGCTGTACTTGCAAAACCTCATAGCACCTTACACCTTGCTGAGCACTGATGGAGTCCATCTAAGGGGACCCTGAATCAATGGGAGGAACACGACTTCCTTCAGCTTTAATCTGGTTATGATCATTGATGAACCAAGAGACCTTTGACAAATTACTTAATCTCTTTGAACATCAATGTACTCATTGATGTAAATGAGATTCACATGTAAAATTAGGATAAGAGACTAATATCTTATGATTGCTGAGAATTAGAGAAAATAGAACTAGAATGTCTAGTGTGCATAAGTGGCAAATTAATGGCAGATGTCACTATCAGTAACTGTGAACACACCACCAAAACATTCATTTGTGGTCTACACGTTTATTATAACAGAGGGGATTGTGGGAGACAGTGCCTTCACTAAAATTTCCAAACATTCCTGGACAATTTTTATATTAGATTTAATTCATATGATGTTTAATTTACTACACAGCGACTGTAAGATCAACAAAAAGAAGCTAAGACTTGATTATTATTTTCTTGAACTTATAAAAAAGTAAAACCTCCATTTGCTAAGTGAATTTTGTTTCTTCTTTTGAGGTGTTGGAGAAAATTTGACAGATCCATCTGTTATAAAACCTGAAGACAAACAGTAAGTTAATTTATGTGTTATCATTTAGAAAATTACATTTAACTTGTACATGTTTCTTTTTAATTATTCTTTAACCCTTACATAAAAATGTAAAAATCATACATATTAATAGGGAACCATGTAATGTTTCAATACATATATACACTGCATATTGTTTAAATGGTACATGGTTTTTAAAATAATTTATAAACATACAGCTTGTTGCCTAGATCCTAGAAAGATTTTGAAGCAGCTTTTGTATATAGATATAAAACAATAAGATTTTAGATTAGAAAATGTGGGTAAAAGGAAAATATGGAAAAAAAATCATTAAATCTGGAATTGGGTTAGTTTATATAAATGGAAATTATATAGTAGTCAGAATTTGGTTGCAAATTCGATGCTGAGTTTCCTAGTGTCCCAAACACAAGAGAAATGTGCTTAAGTTTAGCTTGTGTTGGCTTTGACATGAAAACAGTGTCCTGTGGAATCATAGCATCTTATCATGGGCAGCATCTTCTATCACTTGCTTATAAAATGACAGCTGAGGACATAAGTGTGATATCCAGTCACAACAAAGCTATGAGAGGTCAAAACAATGGGGCTGAAATAACAAGCATCAGGTTGTCCAGCTTAATTTACAGCCAAAGTTATATAGAAGGAGGAGTCATCTGCCTGTCCTTTGAATTCCCGAGGACATTTTGTCCCATCAGCAGGCTTTTTGAAAGACTTGACACTAAAGGATCTGAGGTTGTGTTCTTCTGTTAAAGGTGGAGTAAAAAGAAGTGATGGTGCCGATTGAGGACTGATCAATACGGCAGACAACAATGGTTCTCAAATGTGAGTTTGCATCACCATCACCAGGAGAACTTGTTAAAGCGCAGATTGCTGGGCTCCACCTCCAGAGTTTCTGATTCAGTAGGTTGGGGGTGGGACCAAATAATCTGCACATCTAACAAATTCCCAGGTGACTCTGATGCTGCTGGTCCATAGACCACACTTTGAGAACTGCTGGCATTTAACATTTTTACTTCTTAGTCATCTTAAGTATCTATATGTGGTTCCTAGGTGGTAGAAAAAAATATAAACCTACATATGTGGGCAGTCCTTATACAATAAAGTCTGACGTTTTTACTTTTCCTCCCCCAGAACTCATAGATGTGCACTGCTGTAATGCTCTGTTATTTTACTGAATCTAAATATGGTCCCGCTTGTAGATTTCTATGCAAAAGCCTATCTACTAAGTGTATGTTGGATATTTAATTGGATTAGGTGAGCTAGAGAAGGTGAGGTGATCATATTGCTCATATGCATCATCTAATTCTCATGATCTTTATTTGACTATGGCATCCATGTTGTAATCATTAGGGTACACATTAAGGCTTTATTATTTTTCACCTTAATAGGACTAAAGTTTTTTTTTTAACCTAAGAATATTATTTCTTCAGTAGCCCTGTGTGCCCTAGGTTTATAGTAGGAACCTTGTTCTGTACATTCTTTATAATTTTGCAGTGAAAATTTTTTGCACATATGATGAACCTAGTTTATACATATTCTCATTCATTAAATTCTGACCTTGGCATATATCACTTAATATGACCTGAATAGCCTATATTTTTTAGGATTCCAAGATTCTGTTATCCCACTTGACAGTTAAGTATTTAATTGCATTCTATGGGCAGTAAGTCTCAGTTTTTATTAAGGTCTCCTGGGGAAATTAAAAGAAAAAAGATGCGCAGGATTGGCATCCAATTAGAATCTCCAAAGATAGGGCCCTTATGTCTGTATTTTTTAAAAGTTCCCCATGTGATTCTGTGGGCAACCAGAGTTGAGAATTTTCTGTCTTATGGCAACTTTACCTTTTATGACTTGAGGATGAGAACTCTGGAAACTGATGGGATGGCATTACCAAGTCCTGCCTGGTTTTGTGGGACCACCCAGTTTTGGGTGCAGTTAGTCTTCATGGTGACAATAACAGAAAGTCCTATTTTCTCATGACTCATTAGTTCAATGAGAATGACATCTAATTAATTCAACGAGGCACTTCTTGGTCAGAAACCCTGGCTACACAAAGCGTGGACCTAGGACCAACAACAACAGCTTCATGGGAGATTGTTACAAGTGCAATGTGGCCGAACTCCTTTAGACCTATAGAATCAGAATCCGTGTTTTTGACAAGATCTTGCAGTGATTTGGTGTGAATTAAAGTTTGAGAAGCACCAATTTAAGCCAACACTTTCACATATGTTATTTATTTTAGCCTTTGCAACAACATTGGAAGTAAAGCATTTTCAGTCCCGGTTCGCAAATGATAAAATTGAGTCTCAGGGAAGATAGGACAATAACTTGTGTATGAGGAAAGGGAGTCAAGATAAGGGAATAATCCACTATCAAAAGGGAAGGTGTTTTTTTGTGGTATACATTCTAATATTGTTTCTCATGCCTATTGTCTCAACTTTCTCTAATCTTCTGCCTGTTTTATTGGTAGTTTGAGTTTATATCTTTTTAGATTACTGCCTTGATGGTTTTGGGCATTTGACAAGCATGAAATGATGAGATGTTCTTTAGTAAATCTATGTATAGATGGCACTAATTAGCGTTTCCTCGCGTGTGGAACCAAGCGACCACCTGCTTTTCCTATGTTGTGAAAAATCTGGAAAACAGCTAGTTGCATTTTTTTTTTTTTCTTAACCTGATTATCTGGACTGCAGGGCCCTGGGCTTTCTGTAAAGTGTAGATGCAAATGAATGTGCCGGCAATCTTTTACCCTCTGCTGCATGGGGGTGGGAGCGGTCGAATCCCTGATATATTCATTTTGGAGTAATTTTGGTTCTTTTGTCTTGACTTTCACATAGCTCCTAGGGGAAACTGATTTAGCTTAGAGCTTTTATCTGAGAATCAATGTTATTTCTAAGTTGGGGGTTTTCATTCTTTTTTGGGAGGAAAGAAATGGCAGGTATGAAAGGCAAACAGGGACATGATGGAGAGACTAAGGAAAGGAATCCTTTGATGGGAATGACTAATGCCTTTAGTTTTCACTATATTGGGATTGTAGAGTTCTGGTCTAAATTGCTAAATACCGAGCAATTTGACTTTTTTTTTTTTGCCACCTTCAGTTTCACCTGATTGAAGTAATGCCTTACCAAATGGGCTGAAAGGGAGGCATAGCTAACAAGAGGCAGCTTTTGAAGCCTGGTAAACACCACCAGAGCTGTACTTTGTAAGAGTGATTGAGTGACCAGGAAAGTTAATCCTAAGTGTCTTTCCACTCTGTCTTCCCAAGAGATTTCCTCCACCTCCTCACCACAGAGCAAAGAGGCAATCTGAGATCAAACTGACATCAGCCCTCATTCTGAGCTTGGCACATCTTCAGAGCAGCTACTGTTCTTCTGCCAAAAGGAAGTGGAAATTGAGATAAATGTTTCAATACTTGGATGGAAAAAAGTCCATTTTTACACCATGTCCCCTTTGAAAAACCGCATTCCTTAGAAGCGAAGTTTATTGTTTCCTTTTGTGATAGTTTGCTTTGCTTTTTTCTTAAGACGTGGTATTTAAGAGTGGTAATTGAGTTCAGACTTTTTAAATGTGCTGTTTCCACTCTGCATGTCATTAAAATAAAATATTAGCTTTCATAAAGTTTCTTTGGAAGTGTTTCTGGTGTGCTGTGTTCCGTGGTGTGCCGAATGGCATGGTCTGAAGAATCATGGTTATAGGCAATATGATAATGGATGAACACAATCCTAGAATCTGCTGGAGATCTATTACAATGATAGAATATTTGAAATGTGCCTCACATATACCGATTCTATTTGGTGAGCATACCTGGTTTACTTCCATGTGCACATGATCTAATAGTAGTTTTGTTGTCCCGTAAAGAGCAGTTTGCAGCTTAGAAAGTGGCTTTTGAAAAAGCCACAAATACTGTCTCTAGGGTTCAGACAGGTATTTATTTTTGTGGAAGGTTATTTTGAGAAAAGTATTTGGGTTTGCAATGATGTATATGCATCATTTTAGAAGGTGTGTTCTAATAGCAATTTTACTTTATGCCTTACCTTTCGATATTTTACTAGAACATTTGGTAATGAATGTCACTCTCTCACCCCATATGCATTAAAAAGGGTTTCACTGTATTTTGTTTTAATGTGGTACATAGAAAATTCACTCTTCTATCAGATTAGCGTTGAAAATGAGTTTCACAGTAGGTCTTGGAGTTGGGTACAAAGATTTAAGTGCATTTGAATTTTAAATTTGCAAACCTAACATTGTTGCTTCCCCAAAGTGCTCTGTTCTTTGTTGGCTCCTTCAAGTTACTGGGTTACTATGGGATACTGTTCGGTATCTTAGAGAATCCTAATTGAGCTCCTTTTTTCTTAGCCATGATCTAATTGATATTCTGATATTTCCTCTAGATCAAGAGGAATGGTGTTTGGACCAGCTAATTTAGGGGAAGATGCAATTAGAAGCTTCATTGCAAAACATCGTTGCAACTCCTGTTGCCGGAAGCTCAAACTCCCGGGTAGGCCACAAACAATTCTATTTTTCTCTAAGTAAATCTCTCATAGAAACAACATCTCTTGTAACCTGGGATCGAGTCGGAAATCTTAATCACATTTTTATCTCATTCACAGTCATTCGCAGAGTCTGACTTTCTGACTGCAAAATTTTCAAGACTCCGAAGGGATTAAAAGGACAGGGATTTACTTTAGGTTCTGCCAAAATGTGATAAAACAACATGGGGCCCAGTACTTGTCACAGTCACTCCCAGGGAAAAGTTTCACTGACTTAAACGCACCCTGGCCTGCCCCTTTGATTCCAGCTTGCTCCTACCCTTAACATTTCAATTCTATTCTATTTTGCCATTGGACACTTGGGAGGGTGGAGTCTAGAGGGAAACAACAAGTGTCAATTAAATTGTGCTTCTCACAATAAAAACTTGTCACTTTATTTAGTTTTTGCTGTGCTGGGGATTAAACCATGGCCTGACATTTGCAAGGCAAATCCATTAGCACTGATCTACAAGCCACCACATTAAACACATCTTGTGATTGCTGTTTTAAAAATCTGGCTAGATAATATGGCATAGCTTCTCTGAAACCAAAACAGACACCATGGAAAATATCCCTGATAAAAAAGCAAACAGCTGGAGGTCTCTGCCCTCCAACCTGACAATCCCAGCTCCATGATATTCTTTAATTTTGTCTCAGAAGGGGAGCTTCATGTCTGCCTCACCCTTTTCTTAGGTCACATCAAACTTGATCTGATACTGGACTTTCACATATTTTAAGCTAAGTAGCCCTTCCTACCATACCAAAAATTATATTATACCCTTGAGCTGTCTGTGGTGGCAGTAAGCCTATAGTGCCAGTTACTTGGGAAGGTGAAGCAGGACGTTCCTTGAAAAGCCCAGGAGCCAGCCTGGGCAAGGTAGTGAGACCCTATCTATTAAAAATCTATATCATACCCTCAATTGGAAATCAGTATGAGTACTGGTCATTCCCTTGGATGAAGCAGATATAAATTTATAGGGTAAAGGGAGGGAGGGAAGGAGGACTTTTTTTTTTTTTTTAATTGTAGAAGGACACAACACAATACCTTTTATTTATTTATTTACTTATTTATTTACGTGCTGAGGACTGAACTCAGGGGCACTCAACCACTAAGCCACATCCCCAGCCCTGTTTTGTATTTTATTTAGAGGCACTGAGTTGCTTAGTGCCTCACTATTGCTGAGGCTGGCTTTGAACTTGCTATCTCCTGCCTCAGCCTCTGAGCCTCTTAGATTATAGGTGTGCACCACCGTGCCCAACATATTCTATTTATTTTTATATGGTGCTGAGGAAATATCCCAGCGCCTTGCACATGCTAGGCAAGTGCTCTACCACTGAGACACAACCGTAGCCTGGGAGAGGAACTTTTGTGGGCAAAATTTAGCAAAAAAACTGGATTTTAGAGCTGGCCTCCAGTTCCAGTAGGAATATAGTGCATTAGCCAGTGTTGGGGGCCAGGGTGCATATGTTGGCTGGGGAGGTCAAAAATGGAGCAATAACAGGGGTAAAGCCCAATTCTCATAGCTACCCAGACTCTGTCTCACAAATCAAATACCAGACTAGCTGAGAGATCAGTACCCAGCATTTTATCCTCCCCTCTGGTCAGAAGCAGCCCAGGCTGGGGCTGGGCTGAGAGGTCTTAGGGCCTCCCGTGAAGGGCCCTATGGGAGGCAGGAGCTGACAAACCCTTGAGTTATCCCATGATTGCAAGTTGGACTCTTTAGCTGCATGTCCTCAGGCACTGGCCCGTCCCTAGCCTGATTCATTGTACCCTGGACAGGGCAGTTTCCATTCTTAAAGACACAAGCATCGTATCTAATCAGCCAGGAGCCAGGGAGACTTGAGCCATCATGTACTACTTCCAGTTCCTGAACCCAGTTGGCTGTTCTGTCCCATTAAGGTTGAGATCATTTTTTAAGTACACTGGTGGGTTTCAAGTAAGTGATTTGATAATTTCTCCATCTTTAGACATAATCTGTGTTTCCCTTCCAAACCTTAGTTTTAAACCAACATTTAAATGGAAATAAGAAATATCTTTGTTTACTCGGATGTTTGTGATATGGATTTTAAAAAAATTTAGTTTGGGAAACAAGTTTAGAATTGACTTTTCTGTCTTACTTTTCACACTTACTTATTTGTGGAGAGGCAGTTTAGAACAGTGTTTAAGAGTCTAGGACCTAGAGCCTGGCAGTCTGGGCTCACACACCAGTTCTGCTTTTTACTAGCTGCAGGAACTTGGAGTTCAGTACCCTCATCTGAAAACTTGGGGTAACAGTACCTGTCTCATAAAGTTGGTGTTTGGATGGAGTTAATAGATGTATTTGTTCAATAGATGTTGATGATTATTAAAATATGTATTAGTTTTATGACCAGAGAATCCCCATTTAACATTAAAAAATGCAAAAAATGCATTTTCCCCCTTTGGTGAAGCTGGAACTCGGGGCCTCGTGCACACTAAACATGTGCTGTACTGCTGAATGACACACCTAGCTCCCGGGTAATATACATTTAAGACTACCAAATTTAGTCAGCGCATCACAAAAAGTTACCCACATGTTTAAAGCTCATTTTCCTCCAGGTCCTTCTCCCAAAGATTACCCCTATGAATGTTTTTCCAATTTCCTTTTTAAAATGGAAGATGGAGGGCTCAGGAAACATAGGATCTGATAATTGGATAAAACTTTTGTAGGTAGTGCTGAACTTGAGGTATGTTTTTGTTACAGAAAGCTGACCCATTTTGGCTGACCTCCCTGACCCTGCCCATAATTAAATAGTTTCTCTTTCTTAACTCTGGCCAGGTTATACTTTATGGAGTACTATACATGAAATCAAACTACCATATCTCTCCTCCATGTGTCCAGTGCTCCCCACAGCAAGGGAGTTAGAGTTACACATGGGCATTGAGGGAGGACTTGATTGGATCATAGCCTGGGGAAGTAGAACCCTCCCTGAACACTTAGCAGAACCTCAAGTTGAGTATATCTAGAGGATATAAGTGTGTTTGTGGGGTATCCTAGAACTGTCTTGTCTTCCTTGCAGATTTGAAAAGAAATGACTATTCCCCTGGAACAATAAATTCCAGCTTTGGATTTGAGAAGGAAAAAGAACCAACTGAGGGGCCTCCAGCAAGAGAAAGGAGTAGAAATTCCCTAGAAGATCATACACGACTCTAAAAGGGGGAGAAGCAAGAAGATGATGGCCCTCAACCTTTCTGCCATGAGTTCTTTGGTGATGTAGATTGATGATGCAACACTGATTACATCAGATCAAGGGAGCAGGATGGCTTTGTACTGGAACACATCTGTCCCTGCCCAGAGGCCTCATTGGTATATAATGAACGGATTCTTCAGGATGTTGACCTATGAAGGATGTTTGGCATGCATTCTCTATCCTCAGGTTCCACAAGAAGACACTTGGACAAGTCAGCTGGAAATACTGTTTTTTTGATACCTCATTGCTTTAGCTGCTCACTTGGAACCCTTGGAGTGCTGTGTGCTAAGGAACTAGGGGGATGAATTTAATTTATTTTCTCACTGTGTATGCAGACTGTACCCCCCCACTGCTGTTCACCACCTCACCCACACATTGTTCTTATGTGTGTGTATATATATATATATATATATATATGTACATTAAGAAGTTATTTGACTTCCTCCTCTATCCTATTCAGTAGCACAGAGCTTTGAATAGCAACAACAAGGAAACAATGGAATAAGGGTGTATTTGCACAGATCAGAGCACACTCCTGTACCAACTAACCAGTAAAAGTTAGTATCCTGGTGAAATCTAGTTGGGTTTGAGTACTGTCAGTAATCTATGTGCTGTCTGGGCATTTCAGGTTTCTCTAAAACAAAAAATGAAGGGAAATCTAAAACAAATGCCTTTCCTTTTATTTTTTTATTTTTTACAAGGAATTGTAAAACTGGAGATAAATTAAGAAAGGGTTTCCCTTCCTTGATCTTAGGGGTGCTGTCAGTCATAGAATTGATTAGGTCAACCTCTATCATGCCACTTTCTTTTCCAGAGCTCTGTCTGTAATATTTATAGGCGGAATCACTGCGTGTCGGGTCTTATGAAGAAATATATGCTTTCAGACTGAAACATGTTTTGCAGGTGTTTACTTCGCTCCAAGATGGAGTTCCGGTGGTTTTAATCTGGCTTGAAAACGTGTCATCAGTTTCTGATGCCCAAAATGAAGGATCTCTGGAAAGTACACTGTGTGACATTTTGGAGGGGTCAGTTGTGCCTCTTGCACACTAAGTTGGGTTGCCCTACCTCAAAACAAGTATGAGCTTTGCACACAAGCAGAGATGGAGGGCTGGGAATCCTCTCCCCTCTCCCCCTGCGTCTCCTTTCTTATTATAACATGTTCCAATCTGCCAGCAGCAAACCTCCTGGGTTTGAAAAATTTCAGCTTATCTTTATCTTTAGTCTTTACATTACATATCTTGCTTCTGAGCCTGCTTTTCAAATATATGCTCCTGCATTCTTAGGTTATACTTCAGGGAGCCTGTTCCCAGTGGGTAGAAAATCAAGGATTTGTTTGCAGTGATTTTGTCAGATTCTTTTAAGTTTGAGTTGCTTTCTATAAGGGTTAATCTATATTCCTTTGACTTTGGTCTGGGATGGTAGACAGTGGGAAATTTGGGTGATTTCTTGATTGACAGTGAGGACAGATAAAATGTTAATATTTTATTCTATTTTATGAGTCAATAAAGATCAATTGGTACTTACTTCAGTGCTGTATTGAAATCAAATGGAAATAGGCAATTTGTCCAAGGACCAAATCAAAGGCATCAATTTATTGGCCAACTACTTGTTACCTGGGATAGAACCTGAAAGCAAATACATTTTGATTTCAAATTTTTGTGGTGTGCTTAAAAAAAAATGTGAAGAAAAATCTACAGAATAACATTTTTAAAAGATGAACTGCTAAGGGGCGGGGTTGTGGCTCAGTGGTAGAGCACTTGCCTAGCATGTGTGAAGCACTGGGTTCGATTCTCAGCACCACATATAAATATATGAATAAAATAAAGGTCCATCAATGTCTAAAAGAAAAATTTAAAATTAAAAAAAAAAATGAACTGCTCAGCAAAGGTCACTAGGATTGCTTTGAAGGCAGCTATGCTCACCACTATCCCACCAATGCAGACAACTAGGATGGCTTGAATACAATGTGACAATAACTTTGATTTCTGATCACTAGAGTGAAATGTTTATTGTTTCAATTTTATTCAGCAGATATTTATTAAGTGCCTTTTCTACATTGCATGAAGGATGAGGATGCAGAGATGAAAAGGACATATCTTTGCCCTTAAAGAGCTTTATGTCTCCTACTTACTTTTGTTTATTTCAAATTTGCACTTCTACCAAGTGCTAGAATTTTTTATTTCTGGGCAAATGTTGAACTCAGAGATGTTTCATACCCTACCTGCCAGAGCAGTATGTACACACTGAGACAAGAGAATTACGGCAAATAAGAAGACATAGCTAGGACTGGTTTTAGGAACCTGTGAAGAAAAACAGACCGCATAGTCCTTTTCTGAGCACAAAGCCAGCGTCACAGATGGGATCTGAATCTGGGGACCAGAGAAACAGGCAGGATCCAGGAAATTCTCTACTGGGGCACTCACTGGGCATATAGAATTTTCTTTCTACGAGGCTGTACATGCCTGGAGTGACTTCTGCCCCTGCTATCTTAGAGCTTTCTTACAGCTCTGAGGGATGAAGTTTGATGTGGTTTTGAGTGTTTCTTGCCCTGTTGTCTTCTGAGGCTTTGTAAAAACAAGTACTGGCTGACCCAGACTTCCCAACATTCAGTCAATACTTTAAAAACTTTCTGTTGTTGTTGCTTGTGACTGTTATTTTAGAGGAAACGGGCTACTCTGGTTCGAGAAGTCATGCCACAGATGTCCCTGTTATGTCCTGTGCTTTCAGACACCCACCCACATCTAGCACAAAGCTGGGCACATAACACACTTTCAACACTATTTTTTTAAAAGAAGTAACAAAACCTTCAAATGATAGTGGATTTCATTTACTAGGTAATAGATCAGATTTGCATTTTTAATCTAGAAGAAAATGATTACCAATTCCTTAAGACCCAACACAATTCTTTTGATCTCTCTCTGTTTTAATTTTCTAGGAAATAGCTTTTAACAACCTACACCTTGTCTATTGAATTCCCAACCAGTTCTTGCCCTTATCACCATCAGTGACAGTGCCAGAGTACAGTCCTTTACCGGTGACTATTGAAATGAGATGATAACTTCCCAGAAACTGCCTAGGAATAATCATCACTTTATTACCCTTTGAAAAGAAGATTGATAGAAAAGTCATTTGAAAGATGGTTCATTACCATGCCCTAGTACGATTTCTTTACTCACATCTCTCCAAAGCATGAGAAAGGGAGGATTATTCTCTGAGGTCGGAATTTGAAGGCTGTGTGTTTGCCTCTTTGAAGTCTTGGTATTTAATTTTCTGTAGTCATTTCTTGGGCAATTTTCTAAGAAACTAGTTGAAGCTAATTTATCATAAGTTAAAGTCAAATGACAGAAAAGATTTTTCCCCCTTAACAGCATTTTATTCCACAGAGGTTAGCTTCTGAAGGAAAATGAGACTTAAATAGTATTTCAAATCTCTAGCCACATGGGTGGGTACAGAGAATAGAGAGAATTCTGGAAACCACACTGGCTTTTTATTTAGCACAGTTATTATTTTGTGACTTTTCTTTCTAGACCCGATGTACAGATAAAATATTGTGTTTTTGTGAAACACCCTCCTAAAAATAATTAGAAAGGTTGCTTAATTTTTCAAAGAAAAGCTGTTAGTCCTCAAGGGATAACAAATCTTGGTATCTATCATTTTCAGACTTGTAATATAAGTTTATATAATTTGGTTCACCTTTCTGTTAACCCCTAACTCTGAAATGGAGATGAAGATACTTACCTTTTCAAATGAAGGTGAATGATAATGAGAGAGCATTTATAAAGTCCTTTGAGAATCTCATTTAAAAATCTTCTTGTGAGCATGGGATTCAGTTCAATAAATAATAAGGGGTTTTCATTTTTGATATGGTGTGATCATTATTTAATGTTTACAGAGGATACTCAGTGGACCCGTTTCATTTCAAACACAAAAATGATTCTGCTGTTTCTCCCTTCCCAAGGGGAAAAAGCTCATGGCTCTCTTTTTGGTTTGAAGCTTAATTAAATAGTTTTAAATCAGGAAATTCACGATATCACAGCATCTGCTTCTTATTTTGCTTTTTTTAAAAAAATTGATTGATTGATTGATTGATTGATGATTTTATACGATTCTGAGAATCGAACCCAGTGCCTCACACATGCCCGGCAGGTGCTCTAACACTGAGCCACAATAACCCCAGCCCCTTATTTTGCTTTTTGATGGATTTAATTTGACTTATAGTTTTTGTTTTTTTCTCTGTGTCCAAAAAAAAAAAACCCTTCTAGGACAAGAAGTAGAGTCCAGCACTGGCACTATCATTGGTGATAGTTTTGAACGTAAATAGCAACTTTAGAATCTTCCAAGATCATATAAGTACCCAGGGCTAATCGATTACGCCACTGGAGCCACTGTGCAAATTTAGAAACTTACTGCTTGTTAAATGATGATTTTTTAAAAGTTCAAATTAATGGTGATTTAATTTTGTCAGTGTAGGTTTGCTTAGTAATAAGAAAATTCTGCCTGAGAACTGCCTGTAAAATTCTCATGTTCTTCTAGTGAATTTTTTTATTGTGAATCATTAGAAATTATATGGGATTCCTTAGAAAACTTGGAGTGCAACCACCATTTGACCCAGCTATCCCACTCCTCAGTCTATACCCAAAGGACTTAAAAACAACATACTATACTAACACAACCCATCAATGTTTAAAGCAACTCTTTTCACAATTGCTAAACTGTGGAACCAACCTAGATGCCCATCAATAGATGAATGGATAAAGAAACTGTGGTATATATACACAATGGAATATTACTCAGCACTAAAAGAGAATAAAATTATAGCATTTGCAGGTAAATGGATGGAGTTGGAGAATATCATGCTAAGCAAAGTAAGCCAATCGCCAAAACCAAAAGGTCAAATGTTCTTTCTGATAAGTGGATGCTGATCCATAATTGGGGGGCATGGGAATAATGGAGGAACTTTGATGGGGCAAAGGGGAAGGAGAAGAAGGGAGGGGCCATGGTTGAATGAGATGGACATCATTACCCCAGGTATGACTGTATACAGGTATGACTGTACATATGGTGCTACACTACATTGTGTTCAACCAGAGAAATGAAAAGTTGTGCTGCAATGTGTACAATGAATCAAAATGCATTATGCTTTCATATATACCTAATTAAAACAAATAAATTAATAAAAAATAAAAAAATAAGTTGTTAAAAAAAGAAATTACATTAGTTTCAAAGTTTTAGCAGATATTATGGTAAAAATCCTTTTGCTAATGAATGTCCAAATGTGGATATGGTGATTGTCTTGGATGGAAGTATTGGGGGAAATCATCCTTAATGACATTTTTGTTTGAATATTAGCTTCGAATGGATCTATTTCTCTGTACCCTATTGGTAGCCAAGCAAAAGATCACAAATCCTAGGAGTCTTTGGAGATCCAATGAAATCCCTGGTAGGTTGTCATTTTGGGGGATTCCCTACTTGCCCTTGAAAGTTTGCAGATTAGGACTTGGAAGTGCTGGTAACAACAATGGAGATGAGGAAAAGAAATGACTGACAGGTGGGTGTGTCTGCTGTGGGTGAGGTTACAGAGTCGTGGATGGTTGGCAGGATTGGTGATGTATTTTACTGAGTAGGGAGTGGTGTTTTCTGGAAGCACATTGCAAATGCAAACAAACATGGGCTAGGCTTTGTGGGATGAGATGTTTGCCTACTGCTCCGGGGCTTCTGGGGATATTTTATGGTATAGGGTGGGAAGAGAGGTGTAGTATTGATTCAGGGTTTAGTTCTTAGCTTTGTGGAAGTGTTCATTTTCTATCCAACAAACTTTTTTGAGCCTTACCATGATGTCCTGACGCTAAGGTTAAATTTGTGAGATGAAATATGTCTGCTGCAAGCTTCTCCAAGACAAATCAGGAATTCACTATATGTTGATTTACCATTGTTACCAGGTAACATGTATTGTGTGCTCCCTATCTCCTCTATATTGTGCTCAGTGCATATTGTACACAGTCATTCAATCTGAACAACAACTTAATGGGCCACCTCTACGAGGCTTTTGATATTGATTTGAAAATGTTGCATATGAGTTAAGTAACTTGACAAAGTCAGCAACCCAAGGAGGAGCTGGAATTTAGTGCTGGAGCTAATCAGTGACATAGAGAACAATGTGATCTTGACCAACCACACTTAAAATTACTACAATTCGACTCGACTACAATGACTGGAAACAGAGATTTGAAAGTTGGGACCTAACTTTGACCATCAGATAAGAAAAATCTAAACTGGGTATTGTAGAATGTTTCCTGGTGTCCTCTTTGCTTCTGTTATATCAAGAAAATCTCTCTTGCTCCTTAATGCCATTTTTGGACCCTGTGAGTCCATAGCAAAGACACTCCCCTTGGCATGTCTTGAGGTAGGAGTAGGAAAATAGTTTCTTTGAGGCTGGCATTGGATTTGCTAGCAAATTTTTTTCTGCCTCCACCTCTATTTCTGTCATGGCTCCCTTTGGCTTTCCTAGACAATTAGATATTTGTTGGTCAACACAACAATACTTACCATTTGATATCTTCTAGTGACCTGCTAGCTTATCAATTTATAGTGAAAAATAGAACCGATGCAAGCTTTACCAAACTGGCCATTACACAGTGTCTCTCCAGGTCTTGGAAGCTGGATTCTAATAAGAAGGTTGCTTGGAATCAGAACAAAGATGGGTAGATCAATCAACTTTTTAATGGTGTTGGCTAAGACTTCTGTTCATCTCATCTTCTGCTGGCCTGCCAGTCAGAGTAGAATATTCAAAGTCTGAAATTCTTCAGCTTGATTCTAAAGGATGCAGCAGAATTTCAAGCAACTCTTAGATGAGCCCTGAGAAACATGGATCATGATGAGAAAGTATTTTTTTCTTTTTTTAAATCCTTTCTCTTCACTGTATCTTCCTTCCCTCTCTTTTTTTTTCTCTTTCTTTTCTCTAATTTCCTCTTTTTGTCACATCTTTTTATAACACACTGGCTACAAAGGTGATCCAAGATATATCATTAATTTTCCAAATGAGGCACCGATTTTCCCAGAATTGTAGATTTAGAAAATGTGAGAGCCAAATAAAGATAGATGAGGACCAAGAGATTAAAAGAGATGTGCTTCACCAAAGTTAACATAACTATTGTTAAAGGAGAGAATTCAGGCTTCCTAAATCACTATCAGTTAGCTTAATAATCACATTAATACAGTAAACAAATTATATCCTCTTATTTCGAAATTTTGTTTTGAAAAAAATTCCAGATTAAAATTTTGTGATTAAAAGTTTTACTGGGAAAACTTGTGATTAAAATGAAGTCAAGTGAGATTTTTTTTTGTCTGCTTTTCAGTGAGACTAATTCATTAGATATGTGCATATTAATTATCTTACCGGTTTTCTTGGCTTATTTGCATGTCTGTGTGCATTTGTGTGTGTGTTGTGTGTGTGTGTATATGTGTCTGTGTTTACATAAATAGAAAGTAGCTATTTGGGTGACCATGGAATCTTTTAAATGAAAAGTCTAAGACTTGGATTTCAGTGAATGGTTCAAATAATTAATTTTATTTGAATTATTTTTAATTATTTCCTTTTATAGTTTGGAACTGGAATGCCCCTAGAGGCTCCAGTGTTGAAGGATTGGTCCCCAGCCTGTGTTGCTATTAGGAGGTGAGGCATAGTGGAGGAAATAGGTCCCAGGGGTCATGCCTTTGAAGAGTATGATGTGAACCCAGCCACACTGTTTCTGTCTCTGCTTCCTGGCAGCTATGAAGTGAGCAGTTTTGCTCTCAAGTTTTTTGTGCCATGTTGTTTTGCCTCATCACAGGCCCAGAAAAATGGAACCAAGTGATTATCGATTAAAACTATGTTGAGATCCCCATTGAAATCTCTGAAACTATGAGCCAAAATAGATATTTTCTCACTAAGTTGATTTTCTCAGGTATTTCATTATAGTGATGGGAAACTAACAAATTTCCCATTGTCAACGACAGTCTCTTAGGTCTGTGGAGCCTTGTTCGCAGAAGAGTCCAAATGGAATGGTAGAAAATTCTCTAGGCCTTCGAGTTGGTGTATTTGGGTTTGAAATGAGGCTCCGCCATTGAGCAGTTGCCAGTCTTGGGCAACTTGTTTGGCATCGTTAAATTTTGGTCTATCATCTGAAGATGGCAGGACAATCTATTAACATACTGACTTGTGTTTTCTTCTTGTTATTGCCATCCATGAAGGTAGGTGAATGCTGGTGCTTTGGGACGCTGATTGCGTTTCACAGAAGTTGTGAGGTCCCTAAATGACAACTTTCTTCTAAGACTTCTGGGAAAATTGATGGGGCTATAACTTGGAGTTGCTATTGATACAGGAAGACTATCTGGGAAAGAAAAGAGAGGCTTATTCCTGGAGATGGGAAGATGAAAGTGTTTTTGGTTAGATGTGGAGGGCTAGTTCATGGTTGTTAAGAGGACTAAGTTGGAACTATGGCCTAAGAAGTCACACGCAATGATTGGTGTCCCTGCTAGTCCTGGAGCAAACCGAGAGAGCTGCTGTGAATGGATCACATAGGCCTGGATTGTGGGCCTGATGGCCTCAGAGGTAGAAGATTTTTCTGTTCTCCAAGCCCCTGAAAACTGTCTTATCTTTGTTCTTACACATTTTAGAATCCCAAAATATGACTTATATTGACTCTATCATGTGGAGAGGAGACATATGTCTAGATTTAGAATATACGAGAAGGTGGCATTTTTGCACCTGAGTATTTTGGAGGAAATTTATCACATTTATAACATAATGTCTTACCAAGCAGGATCATTTTCAGAATTAGAATGTACTCCAAGCACTTGGTGTAGTGACTGGCATACAACAAA